ATACATATTAACTCTTCTGCCACCGTCCCGGGAATGCTTCGCATTCACACAATTGAAGAAACCCCATCGAAACCCATCCACCATACACCATAACCAACCCAACCCCAACCACCAAACCTCCCATCTCATCACCCCAACCATACATCTCAAACCAAACCAAAGACAACAAAAAACAAACAAATAAACAAACAAACAAACAGCCGAACCTAGGAAATCGCAGTAAAAATCAGACGCATCTAGAGCGGACGTGCCTTAAACGGAAACAAATAAACACACAAAAAAAAACAAGTAAAACATAATCCTCCACCCTCACCATATGGGTATCACTATGACACTTGGTTCCCAAGTGCTGCAGCACATATGTAGGTTTTCTGCCCCCTAAAAACCCCCCCAAAAACGCTTCCGAACCTAGGAAATCAAAAACAGCAGACGCATCTGGGGCGGACGTGCCGGAGATGGAACTATCTAGTAAAGGAGATTCTTTTTTTCTTCTTCTTTCCTCCTTTGCTGCATTGCATGCATGCAGCCCATGACGAGTCAAACCGAAGTCCTTGAGAAGATCCAGGACAAGGTTATCGAAAAACACCATACCCCACACATATATGCATAGTATACATGCACGGCCGAACCAACCCGAACTGAACCCAAAAGTCGATACCGAGATTTCATGTCCGTCCGTCCGTCCATTGTAGTCGTCACTACAAGGAGAGGAGGACAGAAACCGAATTGAATTGGTGGGAATCGAAAGAGGTGAATTGAGAAGATGGGGTTTGGAGGTGGGAGTTGGCGGTGTGGTGTGGTGTATTGTAACACCAGGTGTATGGGTGGGTGTGGTAGTCTTGTATCAGGCCATTTCCAAAGTGTAGATTGAAGTGGAGTGGAAAGGCTCTGGTTCTGATACGGTACCGGGGGAAACAATCGCACCTGTTTTTGTTTTTTGTTTTTTTGTTTTTTTTGAAGGTGTGGTTTGGAAATTGTTGGTAGGGTAGGGTCGGGACGTGGAAGTACCGTTTTTTTTTTTTTGGTTTTTGGTTCAACACTACGAATATGGGTATGGTGGTAATGGTGGTAACCCTTTTTGATGTGTGGAAGACGCCGATGTAAACCGAAACCCAGTGCAATCCTTTCCAGGACGAAGACGAACTGATGAGTGCGGGACTATTTGTGAGATCGCCGCCGCAGGTGGAACTGACAAGAGAAGAAAAGCTTTTTTTTTTGTGAGGGTTTTCTTTTTTCAAATGTTTTTGGGGGTTTTGAGAGTCAGTGAGGTGAGTGGATTGGATTGGATACTTAGTAAGTATTGCATTCAATCGTGCGCCAATGCCAGCATTGGCAGGAATTGGTTTTGGGGTCGACATTGCTGGAGAGGAATGTCGAGTGTTTTTGAGATGTTTTGAGATGATACGGAAGGGAGTACGAGGTAGATATCGCTGGCGAGACGAATGGCTACATCGAATCGATCCGCATTCCGATGAGAAAAAGGTAAGGGTGGTAGGGTGGTGTGGAAGTGGAAACTACTACCTGTAGACAACGCTGGCGAGACGAATGTCTGGTGGAGTTTGATTGATTTGATGTGGATGGTTTGTGGTGGGTGGCATGGATATCGTCGTTGATGAATTTTGGTGACGGATATCAATGCCAGTTTAATGGTGACCCCGAAAGGTCAGGTATGGTGGTGGTGACCATGAGATATTGGTCGGATATGGTGTTAGTATCCCCAAAGACGTCGTTGGTGGCGAGCGTCAGATGGAGTTGATACTGAGAGAGTTTGGAGTTGATTGGTGATCAAGTTCCTGAGAGAAATCGTTGGCAAGACGATGGTCCTCGAGGAAATTGAGGTGGAGTAATTGTCATGGTTGGCATAGATATCGCTGGTGATAAGTGTTGGCAACGAATATCAATGTCGAAAGAATGGTGACCTTGAGAGAGAGGTCGGATATGGTGGTATTGACCATGAGGGAGAGGTCAAGTATGGTGTCAGTGCACCCAAAGACGTCGCTGGCAACGAACATCAAATGGATTTGGTACTGAGAGAGGTCAGGTTAATTTGGTGGTAGTTTTCCCGAGGCATCGTTGGCAAGACTATGATCCAGGAGGAATTTGAGGTAGAGTGGTTGTAATGGTTGGCATCGATATCGCTGGCAACGAATATCAATGTCGAAGGAATAGTGACCTCGAGAGGTCGGATGGTGGTAGTGACCATGAGAGAGGTCAGATATGGTGTCGGTATTCCCAAAGATGTCAAACGTCAAGTATGTTTGATACTGGGAGACCGAGGTTAATATGGTGGTAGTGTTCCTGAGAGGTATCGCTGGCGAGACGAATTTTCACAGGATCATGTACCGAGAAGAAATTGAACGTGGGGTGAAAGAATCCCAGTGTATGTGTGAGTGAGTGTGTGAGTGGTGGTATTGTTTCCGATGGATATCGCTGGCAAGACGAATATCCAAAGGATTATCATACCGATAACGTGGTAGTGAGAGACATCGTTGGCAATACGAATGTCTAACGGATCTAGCACCGTGAAGAAGTTGGTGCGTGGTGAAATAATCCCAATCGAAATCGCTGGCGACGAATCTCCAAGGAAAGGATTATACCGCGAAGAAGTTAGATGCGGTGGTAAAGTTCCTGCTAGACATCGCTGGCGATGAATGTCCAAAGGATTGAACCGAGAAGAAGTCGGAGGTGAGTGTTTAATTTCCATGATAGAAATCGCAATGGATATCCATACGGAAGAAATTTTGACAACGAGAATGGTTGCAATATCAAGTTGGAGTTAGATATGGCATTAAAGTTTCTCGGATATCGCTGACAGCAAATTGTCAAGGGATTTTGTCATCGAGGAGATCCTCGCAGACTGGAGAAGTGGAAAGATGAAGACGAAGAAGGATGATTTCTTGAGGAAGTGTTCAAGTTCATTTCCTCGAAAAGGTGACCATGGAATGGTAGAGACATCCATTGCAGTTGACGCTGCGTTTGAATGTCCGAAAGGTCCGAAGCTGGAAGAGACCAAAGACCAAAGAAAAGAATGGTCCGAGGGAAGAGTGGGGGAGTGGAGGTTTCTTTTTTTTTGGTGGTTTTCTCTTTTAAATTGTTTTTGAGATTGTTTTTGCTTTTTTGTTGGAATTCTTACACCAAAGATATGGTGGTAATTCTCACAACAGTCACCGCTGCTGTGGTACAAAAGCCGAAAGACGATCCTTTCCAGGACGAAGAACCAGGACAAAAGATGGAAAGAACAACAGACAAGAACCCCTTTTTTTTGCATGTTTTTCTTTTCAAATGTTTTTGAGGTTTTTGGACAGAGTCAATGGAGTTTGAGTACAACAACATCCACACAGCAGCCGCCGCCACTGTGGAGTAATGTCGAGACTAAAAACCGAATGGACCGTTCCAGGCTGAAGGAGTGCGGTAACTTTTGTTATTATAGCCGCTACTCGTTGATGGTGGCATAAGCCAAACCGGGGAGGCAGTCCTTATTCAGGACGCAGACACCAGAGAATAGACAGAAGGCGCAAAATGATGTGTCAGTAGTCGTAGTCCAGACGAATGATTTATAAGTAATTTCGAAGTAAGTCCGATCCAGTGCGAAACCCAACCAAACCATTTTAAGTAAGAGAGAGTCGACATCGAGGGTACAATTTCAACGACGAGGATTTCTGCATGGGATCCTTTAGAGCTGAATCCACCTTAAGTTTCCCGGACTTAAGGCTTCCTGGCTCTCTCAGGTGCGAGAAATAAACTTGTTCTTGTATCATTGTATGCGAGTCGAGTAGATAGACAGTTAGGAGGGGTTTGTGTTGGTTGGGGGTGGAGTTTCGTAAGCTGTGATTTTGGCTCACTTCTTTGGAGGGTTCACCGCAGTCCGTTGCGCAGTTGGCTCTTCGACGGATTCCTGAGGCTCATCCTCAACAGTCGGTTCCTCCTCGTAAACGGCATCCTCAACGGCATCCTCTACATCACCATCGTTGTCTGAGTCATTGACAAGCTCTTCACTTCCCGCGTCGGCATCTCCGTCTAAAGGACCAGGAGAATTGACTGGAGAAGGTTTATCCTCAACAGGGGAGGTAAGTGAAGAAGGGCGAGGTTCGGAAGGAGGAGCAGCGGGAGAAACGCTTTGCTTGGAAGGCTTATCTACAGACTTGGCTGCAGACTTGACTTCCTTGGCAGGACGAAAATCCGAATCTGAATCGTGGACGAAGCGACCTCTTGTAGGAGGAGAAGAGTCAGAGTCCTCAGCAAGGCGTTTTACCTTGAATGGAGGAGGAGAAGGCGAAGAAGACAAAGAAACACGGGGATGGGCCATGGCTGCGGGAGCGGGAGCGGGAACGGGCTTGGGATCAGCCATATCCTTACCACAATGTCCGCATGTACCATCGTTGAATACAAATCCGTGTGCGCATTCATCCTCATGGACAGGGTATTGAAAGCTGGTACTAACAGGACCAGCGACTGCAGAAGCAGCCAACTTCTTACCACACTGTCCACAAGTATCGCCGAACACAAGAGTGTGTTCGCAGACATCTCCAGGCTCCGGGGACTGATCGCAGTCAATGACGGGATCTGCGGGAACAGCTGGACGAAATCCGGTTCGTCGAGGAGGGACGATATACTCATCACTCTCGTAGTCCGGGAGATCGTCGAAAGACACCTTCTTGCCACAGTGCTGACAATCGTCGCCAAGAACCCAGTCATGTGGGCATTGTTGTGGAGCGGGGGACTCGGAAGCTTCCTCACGCTTGATGACAGGAGAAATCGAACGATTGACAGACGTAACCGCATTGCCAGCTACACGTCTGTGAGGAGGAGGACTCGAACCATAGAGATCCTCAGAGGACTCATTGCCAGACTCAGCACCCATCTGCGTATTACCGGGCATACCATGGAAAGCAGTATTGAAATACGCCTCCTGGTTGCGTCGGGCAGTGCTCTGGTTATTCAACAACTCTTCTTCAGCTGCTGGCAGAGATTCTGTGGGGCTTTGTCTGGTTCGAGATTGTGCCCGGCTTTCAGCGTTAGCATGGAGTGGGCGTTCGCCCGAGCCTCCGGCCAAATTGCTGTTCCAGCCGACCAATCCCTCAAGATGCCTAGCTCTCTGAGTCTCAATGGTGAGAAGTCCTTGTAAGCGAGTCAGTTCTCTACCTACAGTGCCAAGATCCGATCTGGCTGCCGCGACCTCCGCAGGTGCGCGTGGCGCCGTCTTGACCGTTTCGTTGAACCAAATTTGCCATCGGTCGGTTTCGGCGGCAAGTTGATCATTACGATCTTGAAGAACGTCGAGATGAGCCAGGAGTTCGTGGTCATTCTGACAATGTGAATGCACCTCCTTAAGGCGATCGAACTCCATCTGGAGATCAGATCCCTTCCTGACCTCGTCCTCGATCTTCTTGTCCTTGGCCGTGATCGTGATCTTCTGCTCCTCGACCAAATCGTTCGACTCCTTGTACTTTCCCTTCCACATTTCGTTCCCCCTCTCCCCCTCTTGAACCAGTACCTCGGAGCTCCTGAGCTTGTCGTTGAGGATCCGACCCTCTTGCCTGCAGGATTTTAACTCTTCTTGAGAAGAGTTGAACTTGCTCAGAAGCTCCTGGTACTGGCTGCCCAAGAGACGGGTTTCCTCCTTGGCGGCGGCGGCGGCTTCTTTCAAAGCCCTTTCCTGGGCTGCAACCAAATCTTCGTAATCTGTACGCAGACAATCGTACAGACCGGTCGAAGTGGTCAGTCGCCCAACCAAGTTATCGACCGACTTGCCAAGGTCGGCGATCCTCTCGTCTCTCCCGAACTTGAGTGCATAGAGAACGTCGTTAACGCGCCACAAATTGACCAAGTCCTTCTTCTGCTCCTCCAACGATGTGAAGACTGCCAGCTCAGCCTTGGCCGCTTCGTTAGAGGAGTAGAGCTGCTCCAAGGACTCTTCGTGGCTATCCTCCAAGTCGGAAAGCCGCTTGTTGCAATCGTTGATGACGTAATCCTTGAAAATCAGCAACTCAGCCACGAGCCTGTTGGGAGTACTAGACTCCCCATCGTCTGCCTTGATTTTCAGAATACTGCGCATTCTCCGGTTGTAGACAGAAAGTCTATCAACTGTGAGATATCGCGGCAGATCTTCTTCCTTCACCAAGAAGAGGTACTTCGGCTCAACAGGCTCCGGTGCGGCGAGAGAGGAAGAGGTGGGGACAATCGAGGGAGAAGAGGAGACGTCCGAGGAAGACTCGTCAGTGGCCTCTCGAGCAACAGCGGCGGAAACCTCGGTGGTATCTGTCTGCTCAAGACCGACGAGCTCCTCGACTCGGCCGTCTTTCTTAGCAGCCAACCCGTTTCGTGAACTAGTCAAACCTATTCCCTTGTAACCAGTAGGCCCGCGAGGACTTACTGGGCGGGAACGGGAAGGAGAAGCTTTCAAGCCGAGCTCGACTTTTCTACGCTTTGAAGAACCAGAAGATTCGCTACCTGATTCTTCAGCGCCACTACTCTGGCTGGAGCTTGCCGCAATACTTCTCTTGCGGTGGGAGGTGGTGATAGGTTCCATGTTAACGACCATGGTATCGGTAGACTAAAAGATTTATGAGTCAGTGATGATATCAGGGAAAGCTTTCGGAGGAACATGGCGAGTTAAAGGTGCATGAAAGGAATGAAGAAATCGCACAAAGGTGAAACATGAAGGTGGGATTTGGGACAGACAACATATTCGCGTATCAAAAGGTATGAAAATTAAATGGAACAGATAAAACTTACGGAGGTGGGGTCAACGTTGGTAGCTTGGACATTGCCAACCGTTGTCTCCTGGCTAGAAAGATTCTTCTCGTCGACAGACGCGCTCTTGGAAGACGAGCCTTGGGTGTTCTGGACGGAAGACATCTTGAATAAGTAAATATTGATGAACGAGGAAACTCAAAATCAATGTAATAAGAGGTAGAATGGGTAATACTACAATTGTAGTATAAAATAAGATAAAGTGAGGGTTGAAAGATCAAGTAGTCCTCGATACTATGAAGTGTATGGTAAAGAGTACGTTGTTAAGTAACACGTTTGAAGATGGGTATTTCAAAGACAAGACTGTGTTGCAAAGATGCAGTGGGAAAAGTGTTCTGAAATCAGATAGAGTGCTTTTGTGAAGAAGAAGAAGAAGAAGTGCTCGTTTGAGTTTCAGATTGCTAGTGCGAGATGTATTGTTGGTCAAGGTTCAAGTTGTCTTGTGTTGTTTCTTTGATGTTGGGTACTTCTGAAAGTTGTGTCGTGGGAATGTAAGTGGGAAAGTGTTTTGAGAATGAAGAGGGATTTTTGAAGAGGTATTCGCGTATCAGAGTTGAAAATTCAAATCCGTTAGCGCGGTCGCCGAATTGAATTTTTGAGGCAGTGAGGCTATTGTTGTGTATATTCAATATAAAAATTTACTCGCTTAGCGAATCACAGCTCCTGTTCAACCAAATATTCAAGAATTGTGGTGGGCAAGTTGCTTCCGTACTATTCTATTGACCCGTGCTGCTATAATACTATACGAAAGTACAGCTAAGCAGCTACGGCTTTGCAATTTCTGATTGAAGGGGGAAATTACTTATTGCAGGGAGCTGGTGGAAAGTTGAGGTTGATTGGAAACCGCGCCATGATTTCCTTGAAAATGGCAGAGTATCCAAAGATGAATTAATTCACTTTAATGAGTCAAACTGTTTCTTGGTACGGGAGATTACGTGTATATATATGACGCCCATCATGTCACACGGTGCGTATTGGTAGAACTTAGAAGCACGTTTGGTAATGCCTTCATATCAATGGCCAGTTCTGGAATCAAAATGGCCATAATTACAAGTTCCTCGGTCTCAACACTTTCGGTGATAGAAAGTGAATAATTCCTGCAATTTCAAAAAATCAAGGCACTTGGTTTTAAAATTTGTAATGCAGGGAATAGCGGTTCCGATGAGGCTGGGGATAATTTTTGATGAAGAAGTTGGTTTCGCACGAATATCCTGAGGTCGAATGTAAGGCTGTCAATTCTTCAACTTTGGAGTCTGGAGTCTGGAGTCTGTATAGAATCATAGATCTGCACAAGTAGATGAAGGAAAATAAGTTGTCTAATGGTCACAAGTGTAGAAAAAAAGGATGATAGAGGGACGTTGTATAATGTAAGATCTTATCTTTACGGTAGAGTATCAATTTGTTGAGACAACGCAGCGTTTTGAAATTATGTAAATGACAGCAAGTATTCCTGTCTACATGTGATGCCGCCAGTCATAATTCCCCAGATTTCAACGCAGATTCCAAAACCTTTACGCAAACCACTAAACCATTCATGACCATAACTATCCAATTGAAGCCATCAGTCATAATTTTGTACGTAAACTTGCACATCCCGAATCTTGAAAATTACACAAAAGCGTTCAGACCATCTATCACCACATATAGCCAGAAAACAAACCACAAAAGTCCACCACCACTCCATACGGGTAGCACTATGCACTCGAGCATCCACACTCGAGAGCCGCGGCACATATGGGCGTAACAAGGAAAAAGACTGCAAAAGAAACAAAATCAGGCGCATTGAGGGGACGTCCCCAAAATGGAATACAAATTTTCCTTCTGTAATCCGACACCCTCCCCAATGATTTATGTTCAACACAAAATATCTTCTCGATAAAGGAATCTTCGTAGAAGGTCGACAGAAGAACGGGTATCGAGAGAAACGAAGTCCACAGAGTGTTCGAACTCTATAATATAGAGCATATGGGCAAGTCGTTTGATATGTCTAGGTGTGACCAAGTAGAAGCTACTGTAACTGCTTCAACACAAGATATCTCGACAAAAAACTGTTCGTAGAAGATCGACAGAGGAACGAGTATCGAGAGAAACAAAGTCCAGAGTGCCCAACTCTACAAGATAGAATCGGCCGTATCGATAAATTGTTTGATGTGTCTAGGAGTGACCGAGTAGAAGCTACTGTAGACTGCAAACGTTGTTATGAAAGGCATGAGAGTTGTATGGAAATCGTAACAGCAACCGAAATTGAAGTCACAAAGATGTGTAGAAATCGCATTGAGGAATTTGATCGGAACGAAACCAAATTATGATATGCCGCAGGAAATTGCGCAGAATCTTGAGAATTGACCGGAACGACGTCGAGTAAGAGATTGTCTCAAATGTGGGAGTCATTGTGAGAAATCTATGGGAATAAAATGGATTATGTGCCGCAGAAGAATGTGTAAAACCTTGGTAATCGACCGGAATCAAGTCGGGGAAGTAGGCACACTATGCGAAGGAGTGTAGTTGTGATAAGGAATGGCATTTCGATTGTCGCAGTGTCATTGAGCTTTGTTGGGACGTCTCCCTTCAAAGCCCAAGAGCACTTGGCAGTCTACTCGAGGTTGGAACGGTCAAGTTTGTGTATAGCTGGTCGAGATACAACAAAACGCTTCTTTGGTAGGGGTTGTTAGTGAGAAGTCCCTGAGGTCACCAAGATCAAAGATATGAATTTGTTACTATGACCCATTAGAGCTGAATCCACCTTAGTCTGGCCAGGACTAAGACTTCCTGGCTCTCTCCGGGCATGAGTGATGTTCGTCATCATCGTTGATCTCGCTATGCTGCTCTGCTGATTTCTGCCTTGTGAAAAATTCGGTGTTTGGCGGATGGTTCTCCTCGGCCTGTAAATATCACAAAGTTAGTCACTACCTTTTGAGGCGAGGAAGTGTAAACTGACAGGAAAAACTCACTATGAAACTTCCCTTCTCATGACCGTCTTGTATTGCGCTGAGATATAAGATCGGTCTTTTGCACAGGCTTTGCTTGATGGAGTACTTTGTAGGCAGATCAAATCGATGCACGATCTGGTCAGTAAAAGTTGTACTATGTCTGCCTCATGGCGACTGGTTGACTTCGTATGTCTTAGGTAGAACGGGTGATTTAGGGGTGACTGGTAGTGTAGCAAAAGGTAGACCCTCTTCTACAATCTGAAAACCGGAAAGGAACCATTTCTCTGTAAAGATCATAAAGTCAGAAAACTGTCAGAATATCTTGCGAGTCAGAGAACACTTACAACCTCGATTTAGATCACTAGTGGATGAATCAGAAGACAGACAACCTCAGATAGCTAGGAATATTTTCGATTGACTGCATCGGAACGTCACAGCCCCTGATGACATCGGCCAAATATTCTTCTATCTCGGCTATTTCTTCATCATCAGCTGCTTCCTGAATTGCAGCCACCTCTTCGGCGATGATACTAGGTCCGTCGTAATTGTGGGAGATGAAGTAGGGGCTCTATGAAGCATTAGTATGAAGCATCACGAATCTATGACGATAGGAAGCTTACCTTGCGGCCTTCAAACGGAACATATGAGGCTTGCTGGTGCTCTCTAACCTTGTAAGTCTCATACTCCTCTTCGAGGCTGTCGTACTTTGCTTGAAGGTCGTCTGCTCGCGTGCAAGCATTCCCAAATCTGTACTTCCAATAATTGGACTGTCTAGCTTCCGATTCGACTGTTTTTGTCACCAATGCAGCAAGCTCCTTGATCGCAAGCGAGCGGCTTTCGCATTCTCTTTCCCAGAGTTCGGCTTTTGCTTCAAGCTCTTTGATTTGATCAAGAGCTGGTTCTTCGGGGATGACTCGCAAGTCGATTTCGGCGCGACGAAGTTGCTCGTCTCTCACTCGTAATTGCTCGCGAAGTTCGTCTTCTCGAGCAACGCCCTCGAGGCGAAGTCTCTCGCTTTCTTCGAGCTTCATTCTCAACTCTGAAATCTCGTCGTTCTTCTGTTCCAGGAGGAAGTTGACGACGGGCTCTTCTCGTTGCTTCGAGACAGGAGGCTGCGAAGGGGCGGGTGATTGGATGTCCTGAGTCACAGGATCAACTATATGACCACCGTTGGCTAGACGGGGAAGCGGCGCGTAGGTGTGAAGATCGGTGGATGGTTGGTGAGTAGGGAGGGGGCTAGTGGAACCATTGACACGGGAGCTCGTGAACAACACTGGCTGTGACTTGGAAAGGACCTTTCGTCGAGAAATTGGTGGATTGACTGGTACAAATGGAGTCTGCTGGCGCTTGGTACGCTTTACTGGCTGTTGTTCTTCGCCGCTCGTAGACTCAGCACGATGCTTTAGTATATTGCCGGATGGCAAGGCGTTGGAGGTCATCTTGTCAGAAGAGCTCGCCGCTGAGGTATAATTCTCTGAAATATTCATTGTGAAGATGGATTGATTGATTTGGTAAATAAAGGTAGAAGGTATTGTTTCAAGTGTTTACTTGTAAAGGTAGTCAAAAGAATTTGTGAATGTTGGATGTTCTTGTAAATGTAAAATTTAATCGCTGAAAAATGGATCGGTGTTTACGTTGCAAGAATCTTGAGGATTGAAATTTGAAAAGAATTTGGAGAGATATTATACCTCAGATTTCATGCCTGCCAGCCACAATACAAAACGACGTTAAGAGCCTACGATTAATTTGAATTGACAATAGAGTAAAATTACTTTTTGAAAGTTGTATAAGTGAATTTAACGTCTAAGCGTTCATGCGTTCAAGCGAGGGGTTTCGATCCTATTTGTTGAGGCGACCGCCAAGAAATACGGCAAAAGAAGAGAGGAGATGATAGAAAGAGATATTACCTCTCGTAACCTTTATACAGATTAGATTGTGGTAATTTAGCCATTGATCAGGGTAGTCATCCAGAACTTTTGTTGCATTCTGGCGTACATATATCCATCTCATGATTTTGGCTGAGATCGAGGCAGCGTCAGCTCCGTCCCTAATTATTATTGGGCTTCTATTAATCACTATGACATAACTCGTTGGGCTGACTGTTTCCTATTTGCAGCAACTTGGCCAGCCTCCTTTCGAACAGTCCACTCCCAAAGTCCCGTATAAGACTTGCTTCTTACCCAATTTCTCCATTTCTCAAGCCTTCCGCGTCTCATCTTGAGTTCAAGGTATATATATGAGCGAGGTTGCCCATTTTCAAGGCCAATGCTATTGATTGTGAGTGCACCGTTTATAGCGTACTGCTGCATCTCTAGGCATAGAAGCGATGGTGTGTGATATATATACTCAAGCTGAACTCTAAACTATAAATCTGATTGTAAACCCGAAACAAGTGAGCAATTGCAAACACTGCACACAATCTTCAAGCTCAAACAAGGAAATACTTCATGCTCCAGCCCCAATAATCTAATTTAACTTCATTCTGTGGCCCAGACTAATGGTGTGGTTGGCCATGTATGTATCAAGCCTGATGCAGTTCGCTACTTCTGTATCATTGTATTCACAAAAAGTATTCTTCCAGTAGATTTGTTCAATTGCGTAAGATGTTTGATGAATTATTTCCAACAAGGACAAGAAAACAAAGACAAACAGCATGCGTATAAACAATACTATCTACAAAGGAGTCTGCGGGAAATTGAAACCACAGCAAACCGCTACGTACAATGTAGATGAATGTAAATAGAAAGTTGGAGGTTGAAATTGAATTCCTAGAGTCAATAGCGTGCGAATGAGAACTATAACTAATACAAGAAACTTAGATCGAATTCAAGGGGACAGACCACATTCCTTGAAGACTGCACCGTTCAGCATATGGAAGTGTCGAATGGGTACCAGGTTGTTAATGCCCAGGCCAACAAGCAGCTCTGTTTTACCAAAGTAAACATCCTGCAAACATGCGTGAATGATACACTTGATGGAATAAGCAAGCTCTGAGCCTTCTGCTAATTGTGTCACAGTGAGGTTCTTTCACCAACCCATTGAGAAGGAAAAAGCCGGATGTCGATTCAAGGGGATGTGTTAATGGTACTCCTGTCAGTATCGGCTAGACATTGAGACCCGCGCAAGCCAACAACTTTGAGTACATCTTGGGTACACCTCACTCGATCTTAGACGATGCTTCTTTCACGAATACTGATGTGCGAAATTGAGTGAAGTAATAACTTGTATTTCCGCGGTGAGTCTTCAGCTACAGTACCATACTCTCACAGAAAGGTATGGCCATCAATATTCCACTTTAATGACATTATGCGCATCTTCAGGAGGGGTGACCACTCCAACTAGTTGTACCAAAGAATGATGATCCTGATATGTGCATAAACCATTTCCATCCATTCCTCCAGAATACTAGCCTATCAACAGGTCAATTATATCCAAGCCATTGCCTCACATTGCACGAGACATCCAATTGGCAGTGAAAAACGACAAGCACAGCTTCCAAGAACAACACCCATGTTCTACACTACTACCGTCTATGTCCGCATCATCAAAGAAGTTACTTTCCAACTGTTGTTTCGAAGCATTGGTTTCCATCGATATCCCACTCTTACGCTTGCCACCCTGTTTCTTCGGAGTTGAAGTTGGAGTATCTTCCATATAGAGAGGCTCCCAAATAGGAATATGTGAGCGGGGTTCTTGACTGCTGGATGAATCTAAACGAGGCATGAACATGGTGTTGAAAGGTGTGGGGTTGGCTTCTCGCTCGGAACGATATGAGGTGAAGGGTGGTTCGCGGGCCCATGGCACAGTATTTCGTCGAGGGAATCGATTGGCTTGCTGGAACTTAAAGGTGTTGGATTTGTCGTCAGAGGATTCAGAATTAGAACGATGACCTTGAAGAATCATCATGGCTAACAGGTGATGCAGATGACTTGAAATTGCTGTTCAAACGGTGAAAACAGACTGAGAAGGCTGTGAGGAGCGAGTAATATATAACCAAAAGTCTTGGAGAGAATCTGAGAAGTTAGTCCTTGGACTCCAAATGAGAAGGTGTGGGAAAGGAAGTTACCTTATCAACAAATATTCATACCGTGTCAATAGGCGTATCGTGCAAACCTTTGAACAGATAAGTATACACAATTATGTTGCAAGATATGAAGAACCGCTATGGTACTTGTAACGAGAAACCATATCGAATATTAGCAGAAACTCCCAAGTTTTGGAAACTGCCAATGGGCCGTCCATGACCCAATTCTGGAAGGAGCTACGCAAAGAGCAGCCTCATGTATCAAACTCTCCTTACGCTCCTTGAAGTAAGGAACAGCCCTCCGAGTCAATCCGAGAAAAGGGTTTTACCACTTGCACTTTTAATTCTCGATTTTGGAGCACGGGTGAGAACAAATGTGGTATTCACTCATTTGACTCTACAAACACCTACTCCTTGACCACAAAGTATTGTGTTCTAGACATCACAATATCCGCTGCGATATGAAGCAGATATCCTGCTTCTCCAGCTTCTATAGTCCATGGTCAAGATTCCACCCTTCCATTCAACCGTTCAAAGGTCGAGGAAACTTGATTGCCGTTGAAAGGCTTTTCTATGATTTGATATGGCTGGCGATATAGTGGCATTGGGTAACCCTTAAGTATATCGAAAGTTATCTCTTCCGATCCAGTAGTAATAAGCAACCGCTAGAACAGGCCATCAAGGATTTTCCGTTCGTTTGATTCGCCGTCGTCGCATTTACCTTTTGCCCTTTTCCATTATGAAATTGCGATGTATTATCAATTGTCAACATTCGCGTTGATTTTCCGCTGGCTTTTGCATGTAAATGTTACATTTTGGTTGGTGTTTTGATAATTTCTATTCGAGATTGTTTTGTGGAAGTTTATATTCTCGGTTAGCTTTTGAGAGTGGGGTCATCATTAGGGGGGGATCAAAGTGGAAGTGGTTGCATATCTAGAGTGAATGCAACTGTAGAGCGAAGCAAAAAGATAGTACACACTCGTGAGATGAACAGGGGCTTAAATTAAAGCCTTAAGAGATAGCGTCCGCGCTTTTCGCTTTTGCCAATATTTCAGAGATAAGAACTAGCTCCTGTGCCTCCAAGGTATTGATGATGTCTCTGCGGTTGACAACAGATGTGATACAGGTGTCCTTTATATGGTTGCTAACTACAGTCCTACCGGTTGCATTTCAGGAGATTTTCGTTACACCATTCCATATAACAAGCGGGACGATATTCAGTCGAAGAGCTCGGTTGACATGAATTTTTTGTATGCTCTGGCTATATCTGTGTTTTTTGCTCAAATCCCCTAATACTCTACCGCTTTCATTTTCTTTCGTGGTTAAAACTCGTCACAAATCAGCAAAGATTCGATTTTTTGGGTTTGTTGGTAAGCGTAGTACATATAGAGCATCCCTTTCGTAAGATGAACCCGATATAATGGACAAAATCCTGCAGCGAGTAGCACTTAGCAGGATCTCGGGGGTAAAAAAATGAAATGAAACACCTGGCTCATAGTAAAGTTTTCGCTTAGTGCGTCTAGATAGCTTGGCATACATACCTGAAGAAATCATTTCGTACAAGTTCCGTAGATTTTGAGACTCGTGCTTGGTGGATGCTGTTAATTTCACAATTACCTATCTATGTGACTAGCCCAAATACCTATTGCGACTGCCAGGGTCTATCAATTTTACTACTCAATAGAGTTTCATGACCCCACGAGTCGGCCAACTTTAATACAAGCCTGATTAATTAGTGGGATGAGGGTGAAATGCGAGGTGGGTATGATTATAACAAGCTCCTCCATCAGGACATGTATATTGATTAAGTGCTATTCTCACATTACCAACTCGTCTTTGATGTTATACAAAGAAAATAGTGTAGAGTTTAGTGATGGCAGAATTAGGCTTATGGTAATGATATCTGTAAAATTTACCTTCGTATATTACAGAAGCTTGCATCTTATTTTGATACTTGGTAATACTCTTTGAACTTACGCCTGGGGATAATATCTTGTTCTTTTCCCCTGTTTCTCGTTTGTGCCTGAGTTGCCAAGTTGAAGAATCAGAGATTCGGAGAACACTCGATATTGCCATCTATTCAGCATTTCTGGAACAGACCTTATGAGTAGGGTCATGTGCTTTGATGTTCTACTTAATTTATTGAATGTCATATCGGGCGTGACTGATCTAAAGAAGTAGTTGTCGCTTGTTTGGAACATGAGAGTAACAGCAGTTTCAAGGAGAATATGAGGACCTTGATGGTGCTAAAAGATCAAGTGACTGGGAACGCAAATCGAGTTGGAGGATGAAGACCGGGCTGTCCTTATCTAGGTTGATTTGGGTCAATGTGAATAAAAAGTATGCCTTGAGAAATCTTGAATTCACTACGGCTCTGGTAAGAGACCACTCACGCGAATACTCCCATATTGGTACAGTGGTTTATGATTCACTCTACTGGAGTCAGAAATACTAGGAATATGTTCGGTTTTCTTTTTTAAAGGGCGCTCCTATGCTATCTTTCTCATCCACAACTCTGTCTTGTTTATTGCCACTCTTGCAAAGACCAGAAGTGCTACCAGAGTTAGATTTGTTTCTTTATAACACAGTTTGATTTTATCTACCACATTACCCATCTCCTTCTTAGTTTAAACTTAAGTTATGCAAGTGGCAAGAAAGTTTGTTTTGCTTCAAAGCTGTTCGATCTTCAAGACTGGTCTTAGATCGAGATCTCAAATGATGGAGTCTATACAAGCTACACCCATCAACCACCCTTTTCATACTCTTGGTCGATCGCATGAACTGTCTTCCTTTGTCACAGTTCTGGAGAAAATAGACCCTCGAAAATCACACACAACAACAAAGGTCGAGGGAACTATCCAACCTGCCCAAAGAGTTTTTACTGTGGCCATCTCGGGATGTACATCATCTGGCAAAACGACATTGGCATTGCTTCTCTCAGAAATCTTCTCTTCCTTTCCACCCAAAGAGAGTTCAGCAGATAATGACTCTCCACTTGGATCTGAAAAGGAAAATCTAGGCGATTCACAAGCTACCACCTCTTTCGCGACTCCCTTTACAACCACGATTCATCAGGATGCTTTCTTTATTCCAAAAGTACACTGCCCGTTTGTCGAATTCAGCAGCACTCATAAAGACAAGAGTTTCATGAAAGAAAGTGTTGCCCAAATATATGAAAATCCGATCTACTTTTACTCTTGGACTGGCAAAGAAGGAGAAGGAATTGCGCGAATTGCTGGACCAAATACAGATTGCATGGATGCAGTGGATTTTGGCAATCTTCTTCGCAAAGTGAAAGCAGCACAAAGAAACAAGATTGAGCCAGAAAAGGACGCTCGGTATAAAGATGATGCTGACAAGAAGCAACTGATTCAGAAATATTCTGGGGTGATCGCAAGCATGCGCAAGAGAGTGAAGGAGCACTTCGCATTACCAACAACCAACCATACCTCGGGCTATGGAGGGAGTATCACAGACTATATCAATGGATGGGTCTTTGTTGAAGGATTCTTACTATTCAGTAAAACCATGCCTTCCGATAATCAATGCTCGGGATTGGATGACTGCTCGAAGGATGATCTTCATGCAGAGGGTCTGAAGGATTTGCAACCAGAAGTCAATGAGGAGGTCATGGCGATGGACAAACAGTTAATCAGAATGAAGACAGAGAGAATTCCATCCAAGGATGCCTTGATGCAAGAGTTCGACGTCAAATTATTCCTGCCCACAACTAAGGAGGTCGCTAAGCATAGGAGAATGAGCAGATTTCCATATGTCGATTTTCCTGTGGGTGGAAGACATCTGGGCCAAATGTGGAAGTCAGAAGGATATTTTGAAGATGTTGTTTGGAAAGATTATCAGGATTCGTTTGGTTGGTTGTTGACAGAGACTGGGAAGGAGAATGTTGATGGGGTGTTTGTTAGAACCACTTTCGATGACACAGTTGAGAATACAGTTGAGTGGGCAGTTGGGATTATCCTTAGAGTTCTGAGTTCCAGAGGAAAGAATTAAGTGGCATCTAGCAACCGGGGTTTAGATAACTAAGTTTTAGATAATAAGTTCGTAGGTTTAGGTTACTTTGTTCTGAAAGGGAGTTTTTAAACGATTAGTCTGAGGTCTCTTGCGCAGTCCGACTCTCTTAGGTCTCAAGCCAATGGGGGCGATTGGTATATGATCTGAGAATGTGAATGTCTCCTAGCTTTTACCAATATTTCATGATAGCAAGAAGCAAAATTCAACAAGAACTTTACTAATGAGGCTATTGCCACATTTTAAAAGAGGCGCGAGAGCTTTGTGGCTGAAAGGTGGCTGAAAGGTGGCTGCCTTGCGCAAAAGGCTGCAACTTTGAAAACCCAAACCTCCAACCACCGGAATCTCCATCTTATCATTTGTTTACAACGAGCAACCATGTCACATCTTTACAATCCTCTGGCAACAGCCCAGCAATTATACCAACATACCTCAAACAATAGACTTCCGGCCGAACTTCAAGATAGCATTCGATTCTATACCGCACGGGTTACACAAGCTGCGGGCATTCTCCTTCGACTTCCCCAGGATATCACAGCTCAAGCAAATGTTCTTCTTTACAGATTTTGGCTTGTGGATGATTTGATGCAATATGAATACAGCGTACGTGATGAATTGGTATATGCCTTGAATTCCATGAAATAACTTATTCTCAGGACGTCTCGGCAGCTACTCTCTACCTAACCGCCAAAATTTCCGCTTCTCCTCGTTCCTTTCGCAGTATAACAAATGTATATGCTTACCTCCTCTCCCATTCCGCATCTCTCACGACTTCTCATACGCCCGAAAATAATCCCTCATCCTACTATTTATCCGAATCTGCCTACATTTCCTACCGCACACGACTTCTTAACATTGAAGGCCAAGTCCTAAATGCTCTTGGATTCAATACACATGTCGCTCTTCCACATCCTCTCGCGATTACATATCTTCAAACTCTCGACATATTTTCGCCAGTACATAAGAAGGGTAGTGGGAAAGAAATGGCGAAGAAAACGATACGATATTTGAATACAGCGTTGCTGAGTCCGCAAATGCTATATCTAACACATCAACCATGTGCATTAGCAGTAGCGGCAATATATCTAGCGGCGAAAGAGGAGGGTGTCAAAATGCCGGAAGAGGAATGGTGGGAGGTATTTGATGTTGAGAGAGAAGAATTGGGGTTTTTGGTTGTAGGAATGAGGAGTTTAGAGGGGGTGACACGGAAGGGGAAAGAAATATTTGGGGAGAAGGTGATGATTAGTAGAGATGATATCACGGAGGAATTCGGGAGAATGGGCTTGGGGGCAAATAACGAAAATAGTAATGGACATGGAAAAAGGATAGATGAAGAGGATGAAACGATGAGAATGATGGATGAGAGGATTGAGGATGCCTGAAGTTTGAGGAGTTAGAGAAGGATATTCCACATTACTCCGGATAGAAGCCGTCTCTATTTTGGACCGTCGGGCATGTTGTTTGCATCGTGCCGATTTTGCCAGGTGGAGCTATACCTGGTAGCATCTTACTTCTAAGAGGTACTGCAGCAGACAAGACGATTTGAAGCTTTGAGGTTGATGAATAAGCTCTGTCTTGCTCCTCCTTGAAGAAGTCCTTCACATTCGATATATGGTCACCTCGAACAAAACGCCTTCTTAGACTGGAGTAGAGAAATGAGAAGACACTAACATCATGTCCGGAGAACGGTGGATTTCGACACCAGCGGGCTTTCCGCAGAAGGGAAAATGTGGGAATTGGTATGCATATACGCTCAACATCATAATTTGATTGAAACAACAAATAAATCACATATAAAGCAGTCTATTTTGATTGAATCATTACAACATCCATATTTTCTTTACTCACAGTTCTAATGGCGTATGTTCCATATCAAAGTTGAAGGGGAATTATCGATTTGCCGAAAGTAACTTTTATATGCCAATTTTGGCCTGTGATTTTTCCTACAAAGGCACACGAGATTTTATGAATATTACATATCTTCACATTGTCATATAAAAATTGGGATTTTCCAGACGCGAACTTCCTCCCTTCACCATCTTCAAGCGTGCTTGGAATCCGCATTTTTCGGCCTTCATACTTTGTTATCCAGCGCGACATCGTGCAACCAATCTCTGACGTCCGAAGAGGATACTGGTGCCTAGTCTCAAGAGGGACGGTGTGGGGGAGGAGGTTAATGAAACTAGAGCGAAGACGGGGTACTAGGACATACCTTGTGTTGTCGAGGAGTGAGGATACAAAGGCACCACGAGTTACGTCGTAATGTCCATTGATACCAGAACCAATAAATAGAAGTACCGTACCGCAACTCCGCAACTTTTAGTGCCCAAATGTCGAAGGAACTCTTATCCCATAAAAATAGACAGTTTCTTTTGGAAAGATACCTAGATATGTGCGGGAAACGTAACTTGAATTTCGGGTAAGTGGCTGAATATTACAGTATTTACATCAAGCAAGGAAAGATCGAATAAACTTTGCCGGTGCATATCAGGTCGATCTCGGATCTAGCGGAAATATATACCTATCTAGTAAGGTCTTAAATCATCGACAATTTCCGGTTTCCAAGCAGTGATGGCTTGAGACAGATCTGAGATGTCAAAGGATAGTTTTCTTATGAGTCTTGATGATTTGGGATATATTGTATCGAAGACCGCGCCTGGGAAGAAAAGAAAGTACAGACTAGAGTTCAACAAGGTGGGACTGAAGATGAGGAAAGCGGTGCGCATTTCCATGAGACTTCGCACTGCAGAAGAAAGTCTTAGACTTTGTGGATTGAGGTGAATGTTGTTAGACGATTCCAATGAAGTCTTTCGGTTTATCTAGATTGGGGGGCGTGACGAGTTTTTATTGACATGTCTAGGCAATATTCTTTAATTATATGTACAGTAATTATTGTTGGTTCTGGTATTTCACGCGGATGAGATCATCGCTTGACATCTCACATGCATAGTGACCAGGAAATTAAGGTAGATCGATCGATTTTCTATGTACCGATAGAGATTTTCATACAAGCCTTCCAATATTATTTCCATCGACTCCAGTTTAATACGAAGTATCAATCCAAGAAGCCCAATTGCCCCCCCACAATGTGGTCTTGCTAACTGCCCCTGTAGCAACAGTTTCCTACATGCACGGTAAGTAATTATTCTCCAAACCGACAAAGGCTATTGCACTTACATAGATCCTCGCAGATGTACTTGCACCATCTCCCGTATTCGCATATTCCTCAAAGATGCTATATCCCGTCAACCCTATCCACAGAAAACAAGAGGGAGAAACGTACGGTGTAGCATCAGCAGCAAGAGTAGTCCATCCAGCTGCATTAACCACTGCTGTCAATGCAGAATTTTGGAATATCACACGAGCCAGACCTCGCCATGGTCGGCCGAGATATACTTTGCCTGTCAGGCTAAACCCAGATGCTTGGGTGATCTGGAGTATATTAGATATATGTTGTGTTGTTCTGAGAAGTAGTGGGGGTTTTCTTACAGTGCCGCTGTCGATAACATACCAGCTGGTATCAGTGGCAAGTGTTCTGGAGCTCGCTGTGATTGCACCACCTCCATTCGAGGCGATTGTACCTAAAGGCCTGAGGTATGTTGTATTCAATAACTAAATTATCCTCGACAACAACATACATTCGCCAAACCAAGCAGCAGCGTCACCAAATATATAATCCACGGCCCCTATCTGAATTAGCACGGTCGACTAGTATTCACCAAGTGTTTCGGAAATTTACCTTCAATATAACAATTCGAATAATATTGCTTGCCAGTTTTGGCATACAGAGTATCTTGGTAGCCGGTGAAAGAACATCCATAATAGCCTTGCTGATCTCCACTAGCGGTTACGGCCACAGCCTAGAAAGAGTACTATCAGTCAACCATCCTTACGATATAAGGCGGTTTAATGGGAGAACCAACCTGTACACCAGCTCCATAAGTATTCGCGAAGTTGACATTATATGCCTTGAAATTGGCGCTTGAGATTTTGGCAGTAGAGCTCGCATCTAAGCCTATGGTAGTGGAATTGATACCATGTGTGATTGTTACTGTGTTACTCTTATAAGTTCCAGTGCTAGTACGTATTAGTTGCATATCTTGAGAGTTTCGAAGGGCGCATCAACTTAGTAGTGTATCCATAAACAGTAAGATTTCCGGCATAGCTGATGGAAATCTGTTCGTTATATGTCCCGCTGTATACAAAAATACATGCGACGGCATTTGAAGATCCCAGGGCAGTCAACGCAGCTCCAACTGTGCTATATTCGCCGGAAAGAGTACCACTTTCTCTGACGGCCAAGCACCCATTTGGTGGGCTAGTTCGACCAGTTCTCTTTTGTAGTAAAGGGGATGCATCAATAGAAAGAATAGAGAAGGAAGTAGTAAGAATAAAATTTCGAAGATAGTGGAAGGTTGCCATCGTTTTGATATCAGACCTCGAAAGGATATGGTGAGCTGAGTTGACGTGGGAGGAGAGCCTCTTAAATGCAATGAGAATAGTATTTGATCTTATTGCTACTTAGCTGAAGCCAAGACGTCCACCCTCGGTCAAGAGTTCCCTGCTCAAATGGAAATTTTACGCCCATTTCGAAGTTGGGCAAACTTTTTAGGATCTCGGTCTTTACGGATGATATTAAAACTCCTGATCTAACGTGCGATTTGCAGGGAGTCGAGATCTATTTCTCCGTTCTTTGATAAACGGAACATTGTGGGGTTCTACTTAGCTTAGTACACCTCGGGTCTAAACTTTGATGACGTTAAACGACCGTCAAATTGACGGTCGTCTCTATCTTAGGCTGAATAAAAACTAATTGTTTTCGGTATATTAAGGGGGGTGAGGGCACATGCCGCGGTACGGTATGTGCATTCAGGCTTATTATCAATGATCTACAACCAAAACATAGCCCTGCAAATGAAGGAACATTCCTATTACGGATCGTATTTGGAAATGGACGTAATGGAGGTTTATGAACCAAATTAAAAACTTGCGAAAGGGGTTAATAGATTTCATCCGATCCCGTCATCTCGGGGGAAAAGTTATCTATCTATACGTGGAAATATTTGACATCCAATTAATACTTTATGTCCCTTCTTATTTCGTGTCGGCAATGGTCTTGTGGTATCAATATCGTTGAAGAATTGTTCTACAAATAGAAATATAGCACACATACTTGACCAGAACAGCCAGCTGCGAAGAGTGTGTGTTTTGTGCTTTCTCTTTGGACTTTCATCTCCAAATTACACTACTACGACAGCAACTATGCTCCACGAATTTTGGATGTTGGCGCTAGCCATATCGCTTTGCTCATCTGTACATGCATCGCCAACTGCTTTGAGAAAGGAAGCGAATAGCGTCAGTCTTGCCAAACGTGCTACTTGCACTCCTGCGTCCGCAGTAAATTCCGGTACCGACGACGTTCCAGCCATCACTGCAGCCATCAAATCATGTGGAAGTGGTGGTGTTATTCAAATTCCTGCTCGTGTACAGTATGCAATCAATAGTGTCCTCGACTTCACTGGATGTGCTGGATGTACCTTCAATATCGAAGGTACACTGAAGGTCTCGGACGACTTGGATTTCTGGGAGGGAAAACGAGCTATCTTTTATGTGAATGGTATCAACACAGCAACCATTCAATCCATTACTGGAACGGGTGTCATAGATGGAAATAGGCAAGCGGCATACGATTATTTCGCCTTGAACTCTTCATATGCTCGCCCAACATTGCATTATATAACCGGCGCATCTTCCAACATCACCATCAAGAGCCTTCGAGTCAAGAATCCACCAAACGTTTTCTTCAGTGTCACTAGAGCATCAACGAATGTTGCATACTCCGACTTAACCATGACTGCAGCTTCAAAATCGACAACTCTCCCAAAGAATACGGACGGCTTCGACATCGGCGACTGCACATACGTTACACTGAATGACATCAAGATCACCAACCGAGACGACTGCGTAGCCTTCAAACCCGGCGCAAACTACGTCACCGTCGACACAATCTCCTGCACTGGCTCCCACGGAATCTCCGTAGGATCCCTCGGACACAAGCCGGCACGACCGATTCCGTAACCAACGTATACGTCACGGGAGCCACCATGGTAAACTCGAACAAAGCCGTCGGGATCAAACTCTACCCGGGAGGAAGTTCATACGGGGCGTCGATCGTGCGCAACATAACATTCGACAGCGTGACCGTCAAGAACAGCGACTGGGCAGCTCAGATTCAAGGCTGTTACAATGAAGACGCCACGTACTGCGCCAGTAACCCCAGCAATGCCTCCGTGACCGACGTATATTTCACAAATTTCAAGGGAACCACGAGCTTGAAGAATGCTCCCAGTGTGGCAATTTGGATTGTCCCGCGGGTGGAACTTGTGATGTGCACTTCTCGTCTTGGTCTGTGGCTCCGACTTCTGGCTCGGCTACTTTCCTGTGCGCCAATGTGGATGCTTCGGCGGCGGGGCTGACGTGTACTTCCGGTGCGTCGGGATGAGTGAGTGGTAGATTGTGGTATTGGAAAGCTGGGGAATTTGTTGTACATACATCTTTTGATGGGGAGTTTTCGTGTCCAGGATAGAATGATTGTGAAATTTAGTTTTGTAATTAGCTAAGTCATCTTCTGACAACTTTGCCAGAAAGTTCTCTCCGGGGTCTTCCGGGGTTAACGTATATATATATATATATATATTGTCTTCATCTAAGTCGAAGAATAGGCCTCAGAATTCCTTGTCGCTAGTTTCCTTCGTGAGGAGTATACTAAATGAAAACTCAACGATCATTTGCTAGAAGAAAGATGAAACTATCGAAACAATAGTAACCTTTCGTGGATATCTGATATTCACATACACACTCGCTCAAATACTATTTGGAAACCCTGCGATAATAGCCATGGAAACTCATCCTTCCCAGCTCTAGCTAGCTCATAAATCTAACAGTCAGTCCAGTGCAAATACCAAACCCCCGTCACGAACACCCAATAATAGTATTACCCCTATATCAGGAAAGACACCACAGAACTGCCATCATTCAACCTCATGCATTGATACGACATACCACTTCAAACTCTTGACACCGAAGTATCCCTCCGACAGCTCCAAATGTTTTGGCATATTTGCAATGTTTTCCCATCCTCCGAGCAATACGAGTAATCTGACCCCTTGTCCAGAATTATCTGATAATTGCATCAATACTTCCGCCCAATACCTCGGCTTATAGATTGGGACTAGAGGAAGAGTCTCTGGATCGCCCTTCAACTCGAATCCCAACATCCCCTCCTTCAATCCAGGAAATAGTCTGACATCGCGGGACTTGATGGAATCTAGATCAAAATCCGCGGCATAGTAAAAATACACCATTTCGGCGGGAATTAATTGGCTATGAAGCTGTGCCTCGTTAAAGGGATCATTTGATCTTGGTGATGGTAAGGATGGGTTTTCAAAGGAGATGCCTGACTCAAATGTGCTGAAAAGAGACTTAAAATTGTTGGCAGCTTGTATAAACTCCCTGTTTCGATGTTGCATTAGGCAAATGACCTGTAAGCTGGGATGGCATACCTCGTCTGTAATAACCTACTCATCCCTTGGTCCTAAATCTTCCGCACTAGTCCTGTGAGGCCAACTCAGCTTTTCAAACCACCCACCAACGTCCTCTTCCAACATGTCGAACTGCAAAAGAATCACCAATGTAGAGGGCTCTTCGCGGGCGTATCCCCAGTATCCAACCATAAAGCCAGGTGCTGTCTTTACAAAACTAAGGAATTGGAGAATGACTTGAATCTGTGGCTCGTTCTGAATGGAAATGTCGATTGGGGTACACAGGTGACAGACAAGTACCTTTGAGACCACTCCAGCCATGATTCCGGAATTAGACCCAGCTGTTTCTGGTAATTCAAGCTCTTTAGGTTGTGCTTTAGTTCCAGGCAGAGAAGAGGTCATGGGGTAGTGATGAGACGAGATAGTAGATGAGTAAAAATACCAAGATATCTGAAGTAATATAGCTAATCACGGGTAGGTAATTCGTTCTTTCCCATACTATCTTTGCTATCAGTCCAGGAATTTGAAGTAGCCAGCTCATACCAGGACTCTGCCCAACTTAGTGTACCAATATACACCATCTAGAGTAATATTCCTTTGCTGTGTCTAGTTGAATAAAATTATCTGCAAACATCTTGTACCGCCGCCCATGTCTCTTTCCTCACTTCGATCACGATGTCTTGTTTTCATGCCCTGCGTTCTGAAAATGATTTTGATATTCTTCGCAAGGTAAACGGAAAGAGTTTTCGCTCTAGGGAGAGTGCATCTGGCAACAGAAACGAGAGAATGACCCACTTGGCCTCTTATGATGAAACAGTTCAGCAAGATCAAGTGTCATTATTTTGCATTTGGAAGTGAGGACTTGGTATTAGTTCACAATAATTTCACAAGCTTCTATTAGTAGCAGGTTTCTTTTCTTGCGCAATGAATTATGAATTGCGAATGGCTTCGGTTTGAATCAGGCTTCAATTTAACTTAGTCGGCCTATGCAATGATGATATACCTAAATTCTATATCTACTATTAAATTAATATAAGTTGAGGACTACTAAAATAACCATAATCAACTCACAATTCGGTCTTTCTATCAGAAGTGATGTCTCTCTTTTCCCTTTGTCCTTCTACCCGTGGCTGCGATGGGAAATAGCCCTCCAAATCCATCCATTCTCCGACAAACGCGGTTACCATTTTAGCCCAATCTTCTACTGTTGGCATATCTAAATGCTCACCATCATCTTCAATACGATGCCAGACATCCATCGGAAATGGGGTCGGTATCATATGTAAAATTTCCACACCCCGGGCCATGAAAGGTATATGATCATCTTGTACACCCCCACCACCAGAAAAGGATGTCCGGTCGGAATCGGAAAGGAAATGGTGCTGAGCTTCTGATTGAGCTATTCCAAGCCATCGTAAACGATTTTCAATGGTCGCAAGACTTTTGTAGGCCCAATGTGTAGTTTCGAAGTATGAAGGGATATTTGGATTCTCGTGCCCGAGAAGATCAAGAAGAAGGAATAAAGTAATCGAATCTAATGGATTTTTGTAATTCGACAAAGCTGCGTGAGGTGTCGTTTCCCATGTTTCTGCCAATGCCCTAAATGAGTTGGATTAACGAATGTAGTAAACTGAGAGTAACCTCTCACCTTGCACCGTAAAGAGAGTCATCATCAGTCCAGCTTAAGAATGCCTCTTCACCATCAAGAAACAATATTTGGACACCCTTTTCTTCCTCCAAACCAATATCACCAGCCGTTTTCATCGCAGCCCATTTATTCGTCAATGCTTCATCCACACTTCTGGCTGCATGCATAATCATCGCACATGGAGCTGCGCTGTCAATTGCGCCAATGAATCCAGTAGGTGTAAGTTTACTATCGTAATGGGCCACCAGAGCTAATCTTCCAACATTTCCCGACTTTGCCCAAGGAGGATCGCGCGTTATAATGATATTAACAAAGGGTACTTGTTTTTCGCCAGTGACAGGAGTCTTCGAGGTCGAGTTCTGAAACTCAATTGTCCATTCCGGAAGACGCGTTGTAAAGAAATCAACAAAATGCCTTTGAACGGCTTGGATTCCTGGAGTACCTGGAACACGCGGTATCAAAATTGGTGAAAGAATGGCTCCATTTTTTATATCAAAATCTGCTTCTCCAGATGGAAGACCGTGAAGTGTCTCATCGGACAAAGGAGTATATGCCGTGACGTTGATACTCAAGATGATGCAAATCAAAAGAACCAGTGTTGTAGAGTATTGCGAAACCATTATGCTGAGTCGGAAGGCGAGCGCCTTGTTTATTATCTGCCAAATCTCCGCAATATCATAGTTCCTCCAAGTGTATTGAACAGACTCAATTCAATCCGATCGTGAAGTCGTAATCTGTTACATACCTGGGTAGGTATCGGCTGATGACAAGATATGTAACAGCGGCTAATTATCACGGCCCGTGGCGGCTAACGCGCTTGATCACTGTATCAAATTTATATTTGTACTAGAACCAGCTCTGATAATTACCATAAATATTGCAAAACTGCCAAACCTTTGAGATTTGATGTTTTGTTAGATCAGCCGTTTGGCTACACAAGGAGTAATGATTGATTGATTTGTTGAGTCCCAATACATTCTTTAACGCCATCTTTCTCTCCAAATACCCGTGATCAGGAGCATCGATGATATCACTCGCACGATTATCCACGCCCAGGACGCTTGCTACTCACAAGCTCTCTGCATATATTAGGACTGGTACTTTTAGATACGTCAGTCAAGCCGTCAAAAGCAAAAAACCAAGAGCGGCAACTCCACGCCCTGTGGTAACTCCACAGTATGCAAGCAAAAAGCTAGGTTAGTACATTTGTATCCTTGGAAGCGTTTCAAACTGACTAAAACTAGCATATCCTGAGCTTCTGCTCGTCTATCATTCTGGAACTGGGAAAACTGTGTTTCTTGGCTGTTTGAAGATTACTACTATCTTCATATTTGTATTTTTCACCCTGGTAGTAGCACCGGCACATTACTATGCGGAAGATGAGCCACGATGGGTGGCACCTGCCGGTAAGTTGAAGCTAGCGAGCTTAACTCTTATATATCTTATGAGCTTGAATTGCATCAGAAAGCACTGATGTTTTTTTTGCTCCCAATTACTAATGTAATTACAAGTTCTACTATCTGGAGCTGTACCTATGATATTCGTAGCATACATCACATCTCCATTCGTCAACTATATACACCTTAAACTGCCCACTTTTGCTCGACAATCACGGGATATATTGATGAGGTATACAACGAACCCACCAAGGGATGCACAAGTCGATATCACGACGATGAATTTTATAGGAAAACCAAGAGTGTCTAGGCTCGATATCTGCAAATTGCAGGCTGCCAAGCAAAGGTTTGGAGTGGGGAATTTTTCTCGAGATACGAAGACCATAGACGCCACAAGAAAGTGGTGGATGCCAAAGGCTGTACGATTGTTTGGAGTCCATGGTGGAACAGGAAGAGGAAGAGAGGGGGAAGCCTGGGAGAATATCGCGAAGAAAATACGCAATGCCTAGGGTAGTAAATAGCCAAAAATATGAATGCAATTGCGCAGGTGGAATTGGGGTGGTAAAATTCAACGCTATTCTCTCTAGTCGAATTCACTAAGCAACGTACCCCTGGGTATCAGTTGTGTGTCCTGTTCTCCCAAATGAGGGAGTGCAAGGAGCGTAACAGATTGTCTTCAGCCAATATACTTTACCGTCTGGTCCAGGGGGCAATAACAGCTTTCAGGATCTTGACTCCTGAAGGTTTGATTCCAGTAAAGATTTGAAATCGCCGAAAAACCCCACCATAGCTTCTTTGCTTTTGTTTTCATCTCCTTTGCTCCATTCCATGCCTATAGTTTGTAGGAGTAAGAGTCTGAGCTGCAATCTCTTCTAATGGATGGGGGAAATTCAGAGAAAGGATCGATAGTGTTTATACCATCATTTCATGTTCTGGTGACGACGCCATTTCTACTGACAACCCAACAAATTGGTCACAACCGAGTGGATATTGGCCCAGAGTTTTGAGGGGGTGACCTTAATTTATGGTTGAGCTAGGGAGCTATTGAAATTTGGGTAAGCTTTGTAGTCGAAGGAGGGGAATGGAGGGGTCCGTAGTCGTTCACGATCATCATTCCTTTCCGACCATCTATTTACCAACTATTTACTTGTATCCACTTTTTGGAATGTGCTCACCTCGAGCTAGTCTTACGTTTGTTAAATTCAACTCTTGGTGAGGAGTACAGGCTAGACTGCTACGTATCAATGCGATGTAGTTAGTATAGTCAAATGATGCAGATAAGTCAGTAATTCGAAGACGAAGGTCGGGTAGAACTGAACTCGCCATCTCCATATAGGAGATACCTACCATACCAAAATAGATCTTCATGAAGGTAGAGCCATAATAGAGGTGGCAATTCTATTCTGTATGTTAGTTCCAGCTTTCCGTATAGTACAAACCTTCTATCTCTTCCAAGTCAAGTTCATAATCTCCTTTCTTGGGATATTCGATGAACCAATCTGCGCATCCAGCGCCTCTCCATGCAATAAAGATTCTTGTTCGATTCGTATCCAAAGGTTGGGCCTCAAACCGGCAATAACCTCCGAAAATGGACTAGCAAACCAAATAACCTCCTTTTCTTTGATCTGTCCCGTGTAAGTAGCGGTTGACGTGTGTCTCCAACGTGAAAGAAGCAATTATTCCCGGTCAAAATGGTGGCGTCTTGAGTTTGTACTCCGTTCTTCAGAGCAACAATCCTTCTGGTCATCCCGTTATTCAAACTCCTCTCAGATATAATAACAAAACTCTTCTATGTTGGCAATGTGGCGGATCGTTGTGGGTCGAAGCCTTTCATTTTTCGTGGTTGAGTATTCCAAGAGACCTTCACCTCTGTTAAATTATATCATGCGGCTTTTGTTGAATATTACGCCCTATCCTTTGACCCAATCAGCAGATGTCGTCCAAGACTTACCTACTCCTTTTTCAATATGTTCTTCCACCACAGATGTCTCTGTTTACTACATGTCATCTGTTCAGATTCTGGAAGAGTTTTGGTTGTTGCAGTCCGCCCAAGAAGAAACCCATGCTTCCTCTTGACAACGCCATCTTGCTATATAGAAAAGAGGAGATTGTCAATCTAAAGCGAAGGGTGGATATATCGGTCGCATTCGAATATTCGAAACGTTTGGGGGCTTTTATCAAGTCGGTCTTGGCATCTATCTCATCCTTCCTAGCGAACCTTTTATTATCTACAAGCAGACCTAGCCTCCCATTCCCCTCCTTTATCTCCACTCCTCCAACTCCTTCTTCTTTCTTCTTTCCCTCCTCCCCTAACATCGTTCCTCCAAAATTGATTCCACACAATTCCACTCCAACTCGTATCGTGGATCCACCCAAGGCTAAGCGACGAGTAGTGTACAGTCCAGGTTCAGGCCAGTGACAGCGTTCGAAATTAACCGGTGGCCCCATTTCAGTTCAAATTATAATCATAAAACTCGTGTACTGTAGTCGTGTTCATCATCGTCAATTCCATCACAGTCGTAGCTATCGTAGTCGGGTTCACAATCCCTCTTCCACAGCTTTGCCTTGTCCATCCTTATTTATCCGTTTGCCAACCCCGCTTCAAAAGAAAGAAAGCCTATTCGTACTTCCAAGCCCACGCCATTTGGATCATTATCATATTTCCAAAACAACTGTAGTCGGAACAGATCCGAATTTATCGAGCTAGCCCTTGATTAAAATTCGGTAGCCTTCTCCGAACTCAGTCCACACTTGCTCTACCAAGTTTTCTTCGTCGTATACTGGAGATCCTCAATACAGTAAGCGAGTAGTCGGTCCAGGTCCAGGTTCTCCATTCACAAAGTGTGCGGTCAAAGTTGTAACCGCAAGTGTTCATCTTAGTCATGCCTATCACTTCCTTCCATCAATCTTGCCTTCGCCACAAAGTTGGCAGTTCTCCGCGAATAAATAAGAAGTCATCAGTGGGTGTCCGTCGGTCGCTCCCAGGGCCATCAGTCCTGATCCAGTGCTTCAATCGTTACTATCTTCCTCTTCTAGGTGCTATCCAGCATGAAAGGTTGGAAAAGATCACTGCGATTTTTCTAGTTTGTCAAGTGGTTGTTGGACTTACCTATTCCCAAATTTGAATTGGGCAGAAAAGACAGGTTCGTTCCCATCGATAATAGGTGTGCCGACTTCCGAGACGATCCAACAGTATTCAAATTCTCCTTTTCCAAGGGAGGTCCAGAAGCAAAAGGCGGATCATATGCCTGGGGTATATAATTGGAGGAAAGAAATTGTTTGTTCACTCTCTTCATGTCGTGGTTACCCTTTCCCTCAATCCTCAATACCATCAAAGTCGAGTGTCCGTCGCATTACAAGACATATTGCGTTATTACATCGCAGTATCCAGGTCCCAATATCCCTAGGAGTACAATCTGTAAAGTCATAGTTGTGCTCATCTTTATCTCTTCTCCAGTAAGATTACTGATGTGCAATATCTAGTCCAACTGGTCGAACCCAAGCTCCTATCAATTTCGTCAAAACCCTCTTCGCCCTTTGTCGAGAAAATCGCATTCGAATCTGTCCAAATCCATCAAGTCTATTCTCCACCTCGGCCACAATATGTTAAAAGAGTCGTGAAAAGGCCCATCCAATTTATGTGGTCCTTTGTCGAGAAATTCGTATCGAAACCCATCCAGAAACCCATTTAGTCCATCTTCACTTCTATTGCTGAAGTCGAGTCAAATCCTTTCAGTCCATCATATCCTTTATAGGCAAAGTCGCATGGAATCCATATACTCCATCCACCTTATAATCTGTCGGAAAAGCCGACATGCATCAAGTACATTTCCATCTTTATCACCGAAGTCGCATAAAACTATAAATTCCTCTGCCGCCAAAGTCGAAACCCACCAAGCCGATCTCCTCGTCGATCGCGAAAAGTCGCATTTTAATTCCAAGTCGTGTTAATCCCATCAACTTCTCCATTCCCAACCATAAAAATACCACGCAGCGTATGGATCCAGATCATTGTCGCGTTCGTGTTAAAGAGAAGAAAATTCTCAAGCTGAATCTAGAGTTGGATAGTGAATTGGGGAAGTCGCGGTATAAACAGTTCTTGGGTCACGTGGGCGTGACTAAATGACCTCTCCTCGTCTGCCACCCCGACCAATGAAACGTCATTTGTCCAGCTTTTGTGATTTTGCTACCAACGAGACTTCCAAGAGATGCGCCTTCTCATACTCATACTGATGATGTCTCTAGGTCCCGAATGCTTGACAGTAATTACCATAAATGAAGATTGTACCATGAGATGTAAACGTGACCCCCTTACGCTTCGTCAAGCGGAGACGATTAGCTATACCCAATCTACTTCTCTGACATCCCAAAAGTATCTAAGATATCTAAGACTCTAGCGCTATCGATCTCTCACCTCTAGAAAGAAACCCGACAAGAATTTGATGTGTGGACTTTCGAAAAGTGCTAAAGCGCAAGTGTAACAAGAGTCATCGTCATTTTGAAGGGTCTCATCAAGTGAATTTCAAGGACGGAAGTGGCCCGGCTTGATACCTGATAAGATCTCAGAGATATGAAAGGATGTATATTGACCAATCTATTGACCAATAATTTGACGATCGCAAAGCTTGGGTCCCTTTGCGCTCGTTCAATCATTGGTGCCTTTCTCAATTCTGGATTTTGAACAAGGGTCCGTTGTTGAGACTTGCAACCAGACGAATATAAGAGTTCTATCATTCACTTTTGATGTCGCCACACTGCCTTCGAGAAGAACTGTTGCACGTCTGATAATTTGAATAGGATTCCCTAGAAGAGTATGGGGAAGGCAGAAACGCGGCAGATACGAGACGTGGGACGGTGGGAGCTACCGGAATGGCAACTAGCTTGAGATCTAAAAGATCTCAAATGTAGTTTTCAAGAAGCCAATGAACGAATGAGCGCAAAGCTTGGGCCCGTTTGCGCTCGCAAAGCTATTGGTTCCCTAGAATTGCTGACGTCAATTTCAACATCCCTCAGATATGCAACAGTTCTATATTTCACACTACCCAGATTCACACTAGATCTACATGGATAGAGGGCAGACTATACTAATTTGCGATCGAAGGTCTATTGGCTCCTCAAGATTGATTACGTCAACTTCAATGCTTTTCAGATATGCAACAATCTAAGATGGGCACAATTTAATTCACTTTAAGCTTTAACGCCATGTGAAGAAACTTCAGACCAGACTAGTCTGCGCTTGATATTCATTGGTTCTTTGAATTATCGATCTTTGCGCTCGCAAGGCTATTGGCTTCCGAGAACTGATTACGTCAATTTCAATGCTCTTCAGACATGCAACAATCCAAGATGAGCACGACGTCATTCACTTCTAAATTCTAAGGCCTTGTGGAGACACTTCAGACTATACTAATCTGCGCTCAACATTCCATTGGTCCTTTCCATCTTCAATCTTTGCGCTCGAAAGTCTATTGGCTCCTAGAGACTGATTACGTCAATTTCAATTTTCTTCAGATATGCAACAGTTCAAGTTGAGCTCAAGGCAATTCACTTAAAATTTCACGTGGTGATAACCTTCCGCTCTCGATAAGTCTATCTATTGGTCCTTGCCAATTAATAAGCTCTTACACCGCCTGATCACATTGATACTTGTTGATGAGTAGGCAGTTCACGCTAACTTCTTGTCGGAATTCAAGCAATATCCATCTACCATCTTCGACTTCACACATATTCCACAAAACACTGGCGAATTACTTCACATGCGACGCACTTGGCACTTGAAGTCGCAACAAGCTAGGAGTTAGGAGCTATCCTCGAACGTTATGCGCTCGTACATTGAATGGCCCTCAAACTTCAATGATGGACTAGCCCTTGTCGGGTTAACTCATGTTGCAGAACAAGTCCAATATTCTACCATCAATGGTCTTATTGGGTTGACAGAGCTTGATGCTTGGATACATTAGTGGCAAAATATTGAGCAAGTACAGTTTACACTAACACGACAAACGACAACACAACGAAACGAAACGACGAAACGAAAGAACAACCATCACAGCTGCATAGCCAGTATTAGAGACTTGGGGTATACACAAGAGTATACACAAGAGTAGGGACTTTTCAAAATAAGCCCAATCACAGGATTTGGTGTCGGGAAAATTGTATCTGAAGGAAATAACCAAAGCTATAACAATGCAATATGGACTTACCGATGGTCAGTCTGTACTGAGAGAATCAACGAAATACGCCTCGACTTACTGAGATTCTTCGTATCTCAAGTTTCACATCGCGGACTTTACTCTCGACCAAATTCCAATGTTCTTGATATTCCTGGGCAGTCTTGCGAACGCATGCGAACATCTGCCACAATCCTACCTTGATCTAAATTCAACATATAGCTCAAGAGCCTACAGAGAAACTTTTCGTTTTGCAATTGCTGATCGTGAAGCAGGTTCATCAATGTATCACATTCATGCGTCGTATCGCCCAGGGAGGATAATGTCGACGTAGAGGAGTCGTTGGAAAGACAATCCGCTGGTCCACAACTACTGCCTTACATTCATCAAATTACTTCCGCCTTGCTGAGGAGCCAAACTATCTGCGGACTTTCCCGCACACCGTGAACTCAATTGTGGGGGCGGCTCTGAAGGCATCGTGCTAATTCGCAATTCGGGTTCAATGCTAGACAATCGCTCGCTAGCACTACGGCACTTATAGTCACAATGCCCATCGCTCTTAATCCTCGTTCAAGTATCGTTCGCCCTGCAGCAGCTTTCTATTGTTGATTTTGGTGGAACTTCCACCGATGTTGGTGATTATTTCAACGTTGTTTATAGTAGGGATGGTCGTCACGGTAAGTGCTTACTCAGCCGTACCCCTGGTATTACTATTGGATGAATATTAACCTCAGACGCTACTGTTCACACTAGGTATGACTAAACTATTAGTCACTCGAAAACTCGAAAACAATTTCAGATTGCCTATTAGACGACTAGTAAAAGCAATCCGGCTCACAGATTGCCCATCCCCAATGAATTCTGGAACGATCAGGACACAATCACTCCTGCTGGTAGTGATATCAGAGGTTCGCTATTATTTCAAAGCAGTACAGCCATACCAGTACCATGATCCCATGGACATCATATATAACCGAATCTCTAACCATCCCAATGGCAAAATTGGTGTCAACTTTGTCAATACGAGGTTGTATTTAAATGATGTTGCGTATTCCTCGCCATCTCACAATCTTCAAACTACACATACAGCATTATCCATAACGGGGATTCGTTTCACACTGGATCTAGTGGCTTCCATTTAAAGTGCCCGGAATGTGCTGTAGTATCGAAACATGGTACCCAGAAACAAGTCGACGAAGTTTATGCATGAGATTAATCATCTAGTCATCAAGCTTGGCTTCCACTTCAGCTGAGACATGGGTTCTTGGACACAGAATACGCCTCTAGTTAAGGCAACATTCGTCCCTTTTCTGTAAGTTTGTTTGCTAGCTACTTTTCTCTTGAACTATAATATGCCGGCCCTTCATCCATATAAGTTGGCGAGTGTTCATCATGGCTTGGCACGTATACTGGATCTCCTCTACATTTCCCATTTCGATACTCCTTCAACCGATGAAATGGGTGCAGTTAGCTCAATATTATCATGTAAGTTGAACTTCATCATTTATGCTTATAACCAATCCAAGCTGTCTTGAACTTCCCACTCTCTTAAATTCTTTGTTTGTGAGAGACTCAATATGACTTGTGTTGTATTGGATGATTACACTGTGACTAAGATTCTGGGAATTACTTTATTGAATAGAAAAAACGTTGGGACACAAAAGTTCCGCCTTAATCATTCTCATCCCACAACCAAGTGATAGTGTAATTAATCCTTTGTACTGATATGAAATGGGACATAGTGCAATATGATGATTGACCAGATGTCACCGTATAGAAAGGCACCAATTCAACCTTTGATGGGCTTAGATGCGTAACGCAGTCACTGGAACATCAGATGCCGCCCGCTCATATGCTGGTACCAACACCTTATCGTTCATTGTCAAGCATCGAATCATCATCGACTAAGTATCTCATGTGGGATGTGGCGGCGTACTGCCAGATATTAGTAGTGAGTAGTGAGTAGTCAGTAGTCAGTAGTCAGTGAACTGGTGACCAGCAGCCAGAGGCAGTTCAGCCTCTCCTGCAGAGTCAGAACATATTACTGATTCGCCCACTCGACCATTCGAAGATACCGGTAAATCGAGTTTCTACTCCATCGTTTGTAGCTTCCCCCGTCGGATCAGCACAGAGCAGAGTTTCCCTCAAGAATGAGCCGGAATGGTCCGGATTGATTTTTACAGTGCTCACTCATCCTGCAAACTCTTCGATCGCTGCAAGAGGTCAACATACCGCAGTTCACCTAAACCCATCTGCATGGCTGTACGGAATGCCATTCGTCGGTAGTGATAGCATAAATTCCATATAGCAAGCCCTATTGTTAGTCCACCAGAACTCTAAATTACTTATTCCATCAGCAGCTCCACTTTCAGTTAGTTTTAGTTTTAGTGTAAGTGCAGGTGCAGGTGCACCATCCATTATAGCGATGCCCACCTACCCCTGCACCAATATCTCCCGGATAGTATGGTTAAACCATTATGTAGTGCGTGCATACGCAGGAATTGCAATTGAAAGAATTATCACCCATCGCGGTGTTTATGCATGATTGGAATGGGGAGAATATGCGTATCGCCATCGTGGTGTAAATATCATACTATACGTAGGAAGTGATATGCATGAAGAGGCTGTGAGGGGTTTGGACAAGATGCTTCAGAAGTGGTGTTGAGGAGGCTTGTCTACTCGAAAAATGAATGACGGGGTTTTGATGGGCTCAAAGAGCTACTGCAACAGATTAAGCAAAATGAACGCTATCGTCATGGATTGTATGCCCTTTCCTAGTGATATGTAATCGTAAACTCTACCACTGCGCACTAGAGACCTTACATGTCGTTCCAACCCCCTAATCCTTCCTATCAGTAATTCACTGCTATCATTACTTCCCCAACTCTTTTCTGACAGGACTGTTTATTGTTGACCCCTTCACTTTGGCCTTTTGAATGCTTCCTCCCCAACTCTCTGAGACAGCACGATATCAGGAGTAGCATCTCTCGAACCAATAGAGCTTAATTGGCTATCAGCCTCTTCCAAGGATAAAGCATTGTAACTGGCTTCTTCAAAAAGATTGTGACTTTCCGACCCTTGCGAAACATCAAAATTTATATCAGATGGCAGATCATCGATAATTGAACAAATTCTTTCTAGATGGGTCGGCATCCAGAGATCGTAGATGTTCTTGGTGAATTTGTATGCTGTCCACTTTTCCTTGCCATCCAAGTCGGAAAAGCCGAAATCACGGATCATATGGCGACAAAAAGTAGTGTTTCCGGATTTTTCATCGATGATAGGATAATGGCCATAGATCCTGACACTTTTATCATCGTGAGATATTGAAAATGCGAGTATTTCCCGATGAAGCTCTTTTTCACGCTTCACAAGTTTAAAGAGTTCAACTATCCCTCTTACTGCAAGTGTCATACTGTGGGCGTTTTGTCGATCGGCAACTTCGAGAGCTCCAATACCACACTTCACTTCCGATGTCAAAAACGGAAAGCATATCTGCCAAGTAGCCATTAAACATGAAGTATAAACATCCGTAAGTTCCCCAACGAAAGGTTTGAGCTTTTCCCTTTGAATGTCTGTAAATGCAAATAGATTAAAGCCTACAGAATAATCAGGCTGTGGACGAGGACCATAAAAAGGTATAGCACTATTCCAACCTTCATTGGCACTTTCATATAAAGGTTTGAGATGTTTCGCACCATAGATTCTTAGAAATTGAGCAGACGGACATATTAGAGGGGAAATGTCTCGAACAATCATAGCTTCATTTCTTTCATTTATACTCTCACAAGCTGCCAGGAATCGGTCATCACGAAACAATGTGTCTTGAGGGATTGATTGTTCTGCTTCAAGCAAAGTTCGACAAAGTATTTTGCTTGTATCTGTAATACCCAAATCGGATTCCTTCAGGAAACTACCCTTGATAGCAAGAATCTTGGTATAAATTGGATGAAGATAAGCGGCGCTCTTTAATTCTCTCGGTCTTTGATCGCTAGGTGTAACAATAGAGCTAGATGTCGGAGAGGCTGTTTCGAATTGTTTGTCACGAAGAGTTGATGATTCATATTATCCTCTGGTTCAAAGTACTTCTTCGGCCAACGAAATTCCCTCGTCCAATATTCAAGTGGATGATTTATCTCCTTCTCGTCTGTATTATCATGGATTGTATCCTTTTGAAGCTTTAGAGTGGATAACCGGAGCCGCATTTCCAAAGGAATAGTACTAGTAGTGGGAAAGGAGGTGGCTTCGCTTTGTGATCGCTTTCGTTTTCCTTTTCGATTCTCGACCTGCGAATGCGAAACCTTGATAAGAGTTAGCTTTTGAAGTATATCATGATGATTATAACATACCTCTATGCCAGGGGCGACCTTTTCATTTTCGAATACAGCTTACGGCTGAGGGTGTGGCATCTCCTCCAAACCCACAGTTGAAGCGCGCTTCCCTATTGATAACTTAGTCAAAGCACGTCGTAGTGAGGACGTGACATACCTTGATCTTGTAATATTGAGACTTGACGCGAAGTCATATCGTTTTATTGCCAGTAGGGAAGGGGTTCTTGGATGGGATGGATACGATGGATACGTGTCAAGAGGTGCATTGAAAGGCAGCTTGTCTTCTCCTTGCTTGTTCTTCCCATATCAGCTGACGGTTGAATGATGATATAGTAAAGCCCCATTGATGATGACTAAGCGAACCCTTGAACTACTAAGCTCCAACCTAGCTCTGGAAATTTTGTTCCCCCGCGTTTTACGAAGATTCCCCAAGATTTCAAGATGGGTTGGTTCTGGGGTGACTCAAATGATGGCGACAAGGATAATAAATCCCAAGATCCTTTGAAGAACCTTGATCCAAGTTTACGAGAATTTCTCAAGAAGGAATCGCCAGTAAAATACGGTTCTACGGAGCCCACAGATACTACAACGGCCTCGTCGCAACCAAAATTGACCGAGTCCAAACCGACGAATACGGCTACTGAGGATCCTACAAAACCCATCGTACCTTCACAGAGTTTATACCCAGATGGCCGATACGCACATTTATGGAAATCATATCAGCCACAAACAGAAGTCGAGCAAGAAGCCAAATCAGATGCCGAAAAGATTCAAGATGTCATCGATGGATACAAATATAGAAAAGCAGAGATTGGGAGGGCAGCTTTGGAGAATTGCGCCTTGGAGCAATGGGATGTCAATGAGTGTTTTCGTTCAGGAGGATGGCAAGCTCGATTGACTATGTGCAGAACTGAGAATAGGAAACTTGAGAGATGTTACACGATGCAAGGTGTAAGTCCTTGTATCCTTGAAAATGGGATGTTCACTTGCTAATTGGTTTAGAAATTTCTGAAAGCTCTAGGTTACCTCTCAACCTATGATCGTCTACCCGAAGTCGATGAACAAATCCAGATGCATGCCGATACCTTGTATCATCGAATGATCGATCAAGAAAAACAGATTGAAGAAGCGAAAGCAGAAGGAAGACCTGTGCCTATATTCTCTCCACTCATATCTAAATCAAAGGTTGAACGGACCCAGGGGGATTCTACACAAGAAAATAATACGCTGAAGGCGTCTGATCTTTCACCGAAGGTACAAGCTTCATTCAGGAAGCGACTTGAAGGGCTGAACGATGACGAGAGACAAGTTGAGGAACGAGCAATCCAGGCCGAAATAGAAGCTGGTACACAAATCGCAAAACAATTGGGAAATATCTATCAGAAACAGGACGAAGAGCGTAAGCAAAGGAAAGACCAGGGCAAGGAAACTGCCAGCGATAAATTTTTCTCAATATTCCGAGGACGATGATGAGAAACATGGTATGGCTGCGTGAGATCCGCATTTTGCCTTCCTCCGACCACGCTCGCGCGCCAGGTGCTTGGTCTCGGAAACATCATGATCACGACAGGGAGAAACGGTGATGAGGATAGCACAGCTATGTAATATCCATGCATCCCTCGAAAGCTCACGGCTCTGTTTTTCTACGGTCTACATATACTTGAAGCTTCTAGTCTTCTAATCTCGGAATCTGGGCACGAAAGGTTGTTTTTAAGGTGCAGGAGCAGCTGCGGAATGGGTTTATTACATTGAGGAACTGCAGGAACCCCACTCTGTCCGGTTTGGAATCAATTTTTATAAGTAGCCTTGATTCGTATAGTAGTTGACATCAGATTGATGACTTGACGGCGGGATATGGGACTAGCACCGTCATTGCACGAGGGAGGATTTCGAATAGGTAGGGAAAAATGTTCAATTTGAGATAAGCTGCTCGGAATATATGTGACAATTTATATTCCCCATATCGTAATCCAGGCTATTCCTTGCCATAATTCTAGCCATCACCTTGTTAGAAACACTGCTGGATTGAATACTGGTTGTTATTCCTGATGATTCCTTACAATCCAATTCTTGATTCATTCGATTCGGGATAGGTAAGCTCTCTCCCTCTAACCGACGGGTAACTATGTACAGTATTTCCGGGTAAGAATATCCGAGTTGGGGTCCGCGCATCACGAATCCGGTAAAGCTCAGTCGGTGTTCGGATTACTACTCCCATAATATCTTCGTTGCCCAAAAATAAATAAAAAGAATCCCCCATCATTTACTTACTGTATTTATGCTCAAATTTTCCATGGATTCTTTCTTTCTTTTCAGATGAAGAGATTTTCTGATAGAATTGCGAAATCTCAATGTTTTGGGGGAAAATGCCATATCGGTATATATTATGTTGAGTTATTCAGGATTCTATTCTACAGTACTTATATGAGTAATAGTAGTAATAGTAGTAATAGTAGTAGCAGTAGTAGCTTGATCCGATAACGCCAATAAATCAAATAATTTAGAATATCATATATACACAATTAAAATCTCTGGAGTCTTTGTTTCTATTGTCAACATTCATTTTCTAGGTATATCAAAATCCATCCGTCACCAATGGATATTCCAATTGCCGCCAATGTTCTGGGGACCATGGGTGCTATTTGCTGGTCTATACAAGTTCGTTTGTTCGTTTGTTATATTATCATATCATCTCTCGTTCTTTTCCCCCTTCCCATTCTTTTCACTCTTCCCATCTCCCTCCCTTTCACTAACCACCCCCCTCCCCCACAGCTCATCCCCCAAATCCACCTAAACCACACCCGCCATCACACACTCGGTCTGCAACCCTCCATGATGCTCCTCTGGGCCTGTGCTGGTGTCCCTTTAGGCGCCTATAACATTGTTTCTAGCTTTAACATTGCGCTATTGGTGCAGCCGCAAATATTGAGTGTGTTGAGTTTGGTTACTTGGGGGCAGTGTTGGTATTATGGTGGGGTATGTGTTCTTTTTTGTTTTCAATTTTTGTTTTGGAGGGGAGAGGGAGGGGAGAGGAGAGGAGAGGAGAGGAGAGGAGGAGAGGAGGAAGAGGAGGAGAGGCTTATGGGAGGTGTTATGGTGGGGAAAGGAGGGTTATGAGAGGTGTTATATGAGAGGGAGAAGTTACTGATTGATTGTGTGATGATGGTCAGGGATGGAGTCTAAGGAAATGTGTTCTAGTGACCGGGAGTATGGGGGTGATGTTTGCAGGAGTAGAGGTGGCGTTGGTGGCAGGGTTGAAGGTATGTATTGATCAGTTTCATCGAGTCATATACCGGTGCTCGAATACATAGTGAAGAGAAAAGTTACTAACATTTACAACCACCCACCCAGGCCGGTCAACGTCAGAATCTCCAATGGCCCATCACATCCATGGGCGTATTATCCACTATTCTCCTATCAGCGGGTGTACTGAGACATTACTACGATATCTATATGCATCGTACTGTTCGGGGGATCTCGTTTATTTTTGTGGGCATTGATGCTGCTGGAGATGTCTTCTCTCTTGTTTCTATTTGTAAGTCTTTCTTTTTCATCTGTCATGTTCGTAATGGTATTGACTAGGATACCGGTAGTCTTTCAATCACATCTCGATATACTTGGAATCGTAATTTATGCATCAGAGTTTATTCTTTGGTGTGGAGTATTTGCTTGCGGTGCATACTTTAATCTTCTACCTTGGATCCGAAGAAAAATGCAAAAGAGACAGGATGATGGAGAGGCGGCTGGAAATGGAACGGTTGATGATGTGGTTAGAGTTGAGGAAGGTATTTCACATGATATTGAATTGGAAAGAATGCATTCCGCGGGTTCGAGGTCAGTTTTCAGAACACCTGGCTCGACAAACAGCGTAGATCGACTAGGTCAGTAAAGAAGTTATTGCTGTGTGGTCCATCATATCCTTTGCAACCCATACTTATCCAAGCATCTCCCATCCTTCTTCAATCCGTGCATTTACTATATCAAAGGAAGACACCTCCATTTTCAGACTCGGGCATTCCAATATACCAACCGGTTTCACATTGTATTCATCTGTCCACCAATCCCCAGCGGCTGATTCAGTTAGTGGATGGTCGCAGGGTAGAAAATGAAAGAGGGCAACCTACTTCTCCAAATATCCGGGGAGCAACCATTCGTAAGTCCATCAGGTAAATGTATATGCCCAAAAGAATTATACCTATTCCCGAAAGCTGTAATTGCAATCTTATGAATTCCAGGTCCAAGCGATGTGATATCCAACATTCGAGGCTGAAAAGCTATACGCCCAAGCTTTTGCTTCGTGTCAGTTAAAGCCACAGCGAGTACTGGCGAAGAAAATTCGGGGATTGAAAGATGAACAGTTTTATCAAGACTCATTGGTGGTAGCGATATAATGCAGATGTAGGTCAAGTTTCCAGCATAGAATGGGAGACCTTGCTTTGTGATGTCTCCCCAGAATATGGTCTTTGGCCGCTCGAGTTGATATCTGAGGTGCTTGGTGCCAACAGAAAATTCTCCGAGCAAGTACAAACGTTCAATGTTTGTCAGAATTCCAAATGGAAAAGAAACGGTGAGAATATTCGTTCCCTTCTTGATTATATTGGCGGGTATTTTCAAAGTTTGGATAGCTTCGTCAACCCACCAGCCATCAGCTTTTTGTGAGTTCAGCTTGGTATCGTTTATGCTTATTTCCATCGCTTTAGCATCTTCGAGAGCGAGTTTGAACGGCGTATCGACATCAAACTCGGATTGAATAAGAAAACGCATTGTGACATGGGTTTTGGGAGCTCTCTCTGAAGCCGGAATCGACCAAGGTTGTCTAAATGCTGCTCCTTTATGGGGTAATCTAAGTCGATCCCGAATGATATTATCGATTCTCAGAACTTCAGTGGCATCTGACCAATTTTCGTCAGAACCCAGTTTTTAGGATGCATAGTCAAGCATGAGAACATTTAGCTCAGATAGTTCTACTCCTGCAAGAACAACTTTTGACTCCGGTAGAGGCATTTTCTTTGAAAATCCGATCAAAGGTAGAATCTCTGTTGGAGACTGTCTTGTTCTTGGTTTCAATCGTATCAGAAGACTTGCGCATCCCTCGAACTTATATTGCAGTTGTGTCCAGCCATTCTCAGCCTGGTTAGGTAGTAAACTTTCTTCTCTAGTGAAAGTATCCATCTTCAAAATATCCCAATGACCTTTCAGTCCAATCTTTGTTGTGATTGGGGAAGTATGGTCTGTGTTACAGATGAAAACAAATCTTTCCTCTCCATCTTCCCTCATCTGATACAACAGATTTTCGGCTAATGAACCAGTCTCTCCTGTTATCAAAAGATCACGATATCCATTTAGAGCACACAAAATGTTTTGCTGACTCCAGAATAGATTGGTGCTATGTTCAATTCTAGGTTTCTGTGACGGAACTGTGGCATCAATCAATCTGGAGGTTCGAATTAGTACTTCTCAACCATAAAATGTATACAATGCAGGAATGTCGGTTTCCGATTGAAGTCAATAAGAGGTGAGAGAGATTTCCACTTACTCAGGTGAACTCCCAGCAATAATGACATGACCCCCAGCTTTCGAAAATGCCTGCAAAACTTTAAGAGTTGATGACCTCATGGTGCGCAAGTTTGGAACAATGATCACTTCGTATTCACAAAGTCCTACCGTCAGCTTGTCACCCTTTTGATTCTGACTCACTTGAGTTGGCAATAAGCTTTCGGATATAAAGTCAAAGTCAATCAAGCCGTGCAGTAACCAGTTCGTAAGGTCAGAAAACGCGCGATCACAAGACCCTGCTTCATCACCACTTTGATCAGGACCAAAGCATAACCAATAACTCTCAATAGGATGAATGACTCCAACTCGAGTAATTGCTCTTCCTCGTGTCATTGCAACGCCAACTCTTGCAAAATGATCTTCGACGTAACCATACTCTTTGTACCAGGGACTTTGATAATTGATAGATGCTGGATAGTCTCTTTTCCCTTCTCCAGCCATACTTACCCACGCAAGGTGATGAACACGGAAGGTAATGCCTAGCGCTGCTTGCCAATCACCACAGCCTTTGTGACCTTCGAATGTGAAATACCAATGAGTGACTCCATATATCTCACACATTGTACCTCGACGACCCATTTGTCTAGAAACGCTAGAAGCTTGCTTTGCAGTATTGAATTCGATACCATCAACAAGTAAGTCTATTCCTGGCATGTCCATGTTCTGGTAACAACGCATGGCTTCACCTAGAGCGGTAGTTTGCGAATAAAGCGTTGGCTCTTCCATCATATGGCCATCTAGGAACAACCCATTTTTTCGGCACCAACGACAAATCTGATCTATAAATACCGAGACAAATCTTTCGCAGACATGATCGTGATATCGATATCTTGTTAAACTTGGTTGATCATCTGGAAGATTCCATATAATCTGAGGTAAAGTTTCCATGATATCGGCATGATACTCCTTCTTGAAGCTGTCTGGTAAGTCATTCGTCCATGGAATAAATATATCTTCGATGGCTTGGGGATGAGGAAGACGTGTTTTAGTAGCAAATTGAGGCTCATCGGTGAAGATACAGGGTATGACGGTTCCAAACTTGTCACCACATTTCTCTTTATAAACTTCATGCGTAATCTCAATAAATCGAGCCATCGCATCTTCGCTGAGGGTATCGATATATGTTTGATCATTGAACCAGGATGAAATAGGATTCGTCTCAACATAGGCGTACCAGACGTTCTCCCCATGTTCGTCTTTATTTAGGATCCGACTTGATTTGAGTGTCCCATGGCTATTCAATTCAATTTCATACCTTGCTACAAGATGTCCATTTTCGCTTCTTGTAGCTCTGGCTGACGCAGGAGCACCTCTGCATTGATGAAATGTATCAGAACATGATGGGAATTTAATCGGTGCATAGCTTACCCACCAAGTGGTACTGTTCCGTAAGCATGAGGTGTAAAGAGAAGATGTTTTCCTTTATGCTCAGGATACTTCTCAATAACCTTACCACCAGCAGCTCCAGAAGGCCATCTATCATCATCATATAAACATGCCAACATTTGTTTGGTTTCGGCATAATCAACACAGGCACGAATCATATCCATGAACTCTGTTCCCATATACTCGGTATCAAGACCGGTACGAACATGCATGTGAAATCCTCCCATTCCCATCTCAGCAAAATAATCAATTTGACGAAGGAGTTGATCCTTGTCGAGTTTTGTGTTCCATGCCCAGAAAGGACATCCTCGATACTCCGATGATGGATTCTTGAACAGTCGCGGATCAAAAGGTTCAGAACTTTTAGGATAAGTCAAGGGATTGAGAGCTTTGGGTGATGTATTTTCTCCCTGAGGTTGACTTCTTCCTTGAAGAGCCTTACTGATGAAGGAGGGAATCGATATAGAATCCATCATTTGCACCTTCAAACAAACGAAAGAGTGAAAAGCAAATCAAAATATCATGGAAAGGTACTAACCTCAACCTAATAATACTGATTTACATCAATGAACGTGTTTCATTACGCCACTACAAAGGATTGGATGAACAATGTATGATTGGAGGAAGTGGTCGTGTACATAGTAATATCTTGAGCAATATTAACAAATTGCTGTGGCAACAGAGCGCGACAGATGTGGGGTAAGCGGAAAATGGGGTGAACATATGGTAATATAACCTCAATCTTTCACAACACTTTCGAGATATCTTCCTTTCCCAATTAAAGTGAAAATGGAATTATGTATGTTAGAACTTTGATTCTTGTAATTGATTTATACTAATTACTTTATAGCTAGGGAGGAGCGTATGCAACAACGGCTGCGAGGTGCCCAGTAAGTTTCAAGAAATAAACCCTCTTTGTTATGCAGAATTGACAATTGGCTGTGTACCTAGGCGTCAAGTCAAAGATGTTGACTTTGGCTTTATGTTACCGGCTTTCGCTGCACCGCTTGCACCGCCTGCAGTAGCATCATCCTTAGCAATTCCGAATTTACTTTCAGAAACTCCCGTAAACCTGGAAAGTCCTCAACCAGATTTACCTTCACAACCTATAAGTCAAACGCCGGCTACTGCGAGCAGGAATCGTGATATAACTTCGGCTGTACTTGGTTTACAATCAAACAATATTACCAGATCCAATACTGGGAACGATGCAAATACGTCTGCGAAGAGGAGGAAGTTGAACAATGATGAGGCACCATCATCCTCCACCAGAAGTATCCGGTCTTCTCGAGGTTCTGCCAGGAAAGATATATATGATATGCCAGAAGATGATGAGCCAGAGCAAACTCCGACGGAGAACTCACACCTTCCCGGTGCCGGATCATTGGAAGACAGCGCCAACGAACCAGAAATCATCGAGACTGCTCCATCAACTACCGAGTTACCGTCCGAGCCAATTGAGTCCATTGAAAGAGATTCTTTAAAAGCAATTGTGATAGGAGACGACGATGAGCAATTACCTGACCCTGTGGATAAATCGCTACAAGAGGAAGTCGACTTTTCTGCTGTAAAAGAAACGGAATCCCCCGAGGTACTATCACGCCCCTCACGGAATAAAAGAAAGAGAAATGCGCCACCTTCCGAACCTTCAGGGTTAGACAGATCCGCCATTAATGAAGCCGACCCCCAAGATACTACAAGTAACACTGTTGATGAAGTTCCGTCCATACAACCAAGACGATCCCGTAGAAAATCAACTTTACAGGTGGAGGTTCCAATCAACGAAGAAGTAAACCTCGAGGATTCCACAGAACAATATGAAGCGATTGATGACTACGAAGCCGCAGTCACGTTGAAGAAAAGTCGAGGATCAAGAGTATCCAGAAATGTCGTTGCTTCCGAAGAATCCATACCAGAGGATCCTGCACCTCCTAGATCTCCTATTGCCAAGGAAAAGCGAGGTCGGGTTCGACAAATTGCCAGTCCAGTACAGCAACGCCAGCCAGCTCCTCCAAAGGCTAAACTGCAGAAGTCAGAGAAGAAGAACAAAAGACAGAAGGATCGCGAAGGAAGCCCGATACCTGTGACTGTGCATCGATTAACAAAAGGTCCTGTCTACGATGACGATGATTCCGATGCTGATATCCTCAATTCTGAGATACCATGTGCGGCACGAGCAGGTGTGAATGCCGTGGATGTTCTTAGTCAAATATGTCAAGAGTTGGTCACTGCCGGTCTAGAAACCCTAGGAGATAATGCAGTGAGAACCCAGGAGGCCACCCAAAGACTCGAGTACAAGACAAAGATCCGAGCTGTAGAAAGTTTCAGTAAAGAATTGCAAGTCCGCCTCCTAGAACATGTAAGTACCCAATTTCTGTAAATTTCCACCTCTGCTAATTCGCCCGAAGACGATCAATCTTGACAATTCATATTCTCTCGAAAAACGCTTGCGTGAAGGTCAAAGAAAGAAGCTATCTCTACGAGAAGAAATCCTTCGCGTAAGAGCAGCACGAGAGAAGGTTGCCTTAAGGATGGACGAGATACGAATTACTCATGAGAAGGACTCTCACGATGCCCAGGTAATTCTTATCCTTTCTTTACCCTGCTTCAATCGAACTAACACCCGTCACAGCAACGTGAAGTACTCAACTCCACGGTACACGACATTGAACTTGCAATTGAGCGAGGAAAATCCTCTTCCGGCCATACAGATGCAGATGATGGAAAAGCAAACATAGAACTCTCGTTAAAACATGTCGCATCTGAAGCAAGTAGTGCAAGTGATGATGGAGGTATCCTGAAGCAGATCAAGGCTTTCAATGCATTCATGGAACGAGCTGCATTGGCGTTAGAGGGAAGGAAAGCTGTTTGATTACTATAATATGATATGATGTGATACCCTGGTTATGAATTGTATATTTGGCTTGTTGCTTCTTACTTATTGCTTATTACGTGTATGCTCAAAGTCATAATTAACCGTGGTGTATCGATACTTGATATATAAATTTGAATATCCAGTCCAAGATCAAAAGTAATAGGTATTTCTCATTATTGATTCTTCATATACAATACAAATATATATTCCAACCCGTTATTATCTTCTATACATACATACATATATATATATCTATCTGTCTACGAGTTGTCTATGTGTGAGTATATCATTTCAATTTTCACAACTACTCAACAAAGACTGATTGAATTTCACACACAAAGTAAGATGTACATATATATTAATATACCATCCCATTCCAATCCATCCCATTCCATCTCCTCTCCTCTCACCTCACCTCACCTCACCTCACCTCCTCTCACCTCATCAACTCAGTACTCACTCGTACGTATCTATCCATCTTTCGCCTTTCCCTTGTTTGTCTTTCCCCTTGCTTTTTCCCTTCTTGCCTTACCTTTTCCCTCATCTTCGCCAATCCTTTGTTTTTTTAACCCCCCCTCCTCCCCTTCCTCCGCCCCCCCAATATACTAGGTAAGTAAGTAATAAGTCTTACCAATCTTACTCGTAATTTATTAACCTCACTCACTCTCACTCTCACTCTCACAATCGAACTTAGCTGCCAGTATACTTATAGATAGGTTAATAGGTTAATAGATTAATAGGTTACTTGAGAATATTTATGATTCCATACCCATACATGCCCATACATACCCACCAAATTCCATACCCATATATCCAAACCCATCCCCAACAAAAACCTTCAGAAAAAAAAAAAAATTCATGGAGGAATAATTATTAAATTATTATTAAAGTACTCCAGAGTTGAGAGTTGAGAGTCGAGTATGTATTGTGTTGTGGTATTGTTGTAGTATGGTATTGTGGCGACAACACTTATGACTAGATACCTCACATTAGAAAGAGTGATTTAAATTGTATAGATCATCAATACCTCACAAGAAACAAGTCAAGAGATAATCACAAAATTGGCAAGATTTTTCATTTAATGAGTGTTTGTCATTGATCCTATACTAACAATACCAATTGTAACCCGTTGTTGTCCCATTTTAACCCAAGTCCCTCATGATGTGGTATCGATACAGAATTTCCTAAAGTAACACCTTTGATACAAAAAACCGGAAGTAAAGAACCAAGTCCATTGCCCAGTTTTCATCTGATAACCTCAAACTCCGTAAAAACCAAAAGTCAAGAACCAGAAAGAAGTAAAAGCCCAAGTCCAATCCTCCAACTCCATTAAAGTAAAAGCAAAAACAAAACAAAAACAGAAGAGAAAAAAACGCCCAAATTCAATGCCCAGTTGCATCTGATATCCTCCAACTCTCTCATAATACAATCTCCAATCCAACTTCCTTCTTCATCTTACTTAGAATGCATAAGAAACATCCTTCAAACGATATAGAAAATCGCTATGTGAAGAAATCTGATCGACAAGTATCTTCAAAGATTCCGCGATTGATCTTCTTAATCGAAGATTTTTGCTCTTATCCAGAGCACGTAATTCAGCCGCTTTGGCCGAATGTTGAGCACTCAATTGTTCAATTTGATTATGAACGTTTGACATGATTTGCTTTAAAGCAAGCTGCGGCTCCATAGTTGGTCGCATAGTGATATCTGCGGTGTCATCGATATCATCCTCATCCTCATCCTCATCCTCAACCTCATCCTGTAATCCACCAACCTGACCATTCAATGTCTCATTGTTTTTCTGACATTGGTTTGGTGATGTCTTCATGCTGGGATGTTCTTTCGGTGGTAAGGTCTCAGCATCTGCTGGACGTTGTTGTTCTATAGTGTCGAATCGCTCGACAAGGCTTTTGTAACGGCTAAGAACCAAATCCCGCTGGCTTGCCATGTTTTCATTGTTGGCTTTAAGGTCTTCGTTTGCGGACGAAAGTTCAGCAAATGTCTTTTCCATTTGTTGCTTCTCTGCTTCGTGTGATGTTGCAGAGCTTTCTAAAGTCGAGATGGATTTAACCATTCTTTCGTTTTCGACACGCTGTGTATGAACTTGTATATCGAGTTGATGTATGGTTGCCGCCATACGCTGATTTTCGGTTCTTAAAGTAGACATAATGGCATCTTGCTCCTTTCGTTCGTGTTTGAGGGAAGAGATAACGGTGTCTTGTGCTTGGCGCTCATTTAACTGGTTTCGAAGTGAAGATATGACAGAGTCCCTCTCCTTTCGTTCGTTCAACAACACAGCCACTTGTTGTTGAAGTTCGTCAATGGCTCGATAGATGTCGACCTCTTCTTTTCCCATAGGTTCGGCGCGTTGCTCAAAAATCTCGGATTTCTTGGGCAATGAGGTTGATGTGTTGTCAACCAACTTGGTAATATTGTGGACTTCTGGAATGGCGAATGATCCGTTGGCAGTTGTGGACATTGTAAAAGTTGGGCTTGCTGCTTTAGCTTTAGCAACTTTGCCAGAACGGATCGATGCGTTAGCTGGATGGTCCTTGATGAGAGTTTCTAGCTCTGCTAGTACTTGTCTTTCATTGTACTCGGCTTGATCCATCTTCTCATGCTTGGAGCTTCCTGGAATATGGGAGGGTCGTTGTCTAGGTAGCATGTTCTCCTTGTTATGGACTGAATGTGAAAGGTCCAAGGAAAACTCGTGGTCGTCAAGTATATCTTTGACAACTCTCTTTGGTGTATTTGCAGATTGAGCTTTCTCAGTTGCTGATGTGGTGTTGAATCTGGACTTGTTCTTGGAGCCTGAAGTCAATCGTTCAGACAATTTCGATTTTGGAGCTCGGCAGGGTGTATTATCTTGGCCCAGTCTTGTGATTTTCGAGGCCAATTTAGAACTATCATTCGTTCCATTAATTTGAGAAGATCCTCCGGTGAAGTCTTCAAAAACTTTCTCCATGTCCTGCATGCTGACAGAAATCTCCGGCTCTTTTCTTGGGCTCCATCGATTGTATTTCTTAGCAGTATCGCGAATTTCGATATCAGTTCGTTGTGCTTGCCTGCGCAACTGTCTATCAATGTCCAATTCGGTTGACATAAAGCATTGCTCAGCGGAATTGTCCGGATCAAAGTAGTTGAAGGAGTTGTGAGAATCGCTGCTTATGGTGTGGTGTTGGGTGTTGGTTGAGTTTAAACCAAACTCAAATTCTCGAGAAGATGAGGATGAGGCATTTGATCTAAAACGACTCTTTGGTCGTTGAGGAAGATTTTGGGAAGTGGAGATAGATGACAATGTATCTTCCAAATCATTGCGATTTCTCGCTGAATACGCAGCCATTTTGAATATAGTAGCTGAAAGATGGAAAAATTGAAGAAAGTACAATTAACAGTAGTGTACTAGTGAATTAATTGAGAAAGTGCGAATTGATTGGAAGGTGGGTGGTGGTTGGTTATTTGCAAGCTTTGAAGATTTGTTGTTGTTGTTGTTACGAAAAAGTTGTACTTGTAGTGTAAACAAAGAAGTTGTTTGTGAACGCGACGAGATAAGAGAGAGAGACCGAGAGATGGGAGACGAGATATAAATCCTTGTAATATTTAGTTCCAAGCTAATTGGCTTAGCTTAGTGATGGATTATGAACCTCAATATTTATTATAACTTCTACATTTGAAATAATTAGATAGTCCGTACTAATCACGATATTGACATCATTAAGAATTAAGGACCAATAATCAAGAATCTCTTACTATTCTATAGCAATTCAAAATCTACATTTGGGATAATTAGATACCGGTAGTCTATATCAATCATATTATCAAGAATTAAGAGCCAATAATCAGGAATCTCTTTAGCAATTCAAAATCTACATTTGGACTAATTAGGTAGTCCGTACTAATGGATGGATATAGATAGTTAGTACCTTGATTGGTGTTCGTATTATCGAACTAATAATCAAGAATCTCTTACTATCGTACTCCGGGTTAATCACCTCAAAGTATATTATATTCATAGAGAAGGAATAATAGGTAGCTTTATTCGCTGTCAATTCTTCCTTCTGTTACATCTAGCATCTAGCTAGCAAAGCCAAAGTCGGCTAGCGGCCGCCTGAGAACATAGAGAAGACTGTGTTTTTACTGTAAGTGGCCAATCAAACCCTGAATAGAAACCATTACTGTGACAACCGGAAGAAAAGTTCTTGAGCTAGAAGCCATATTAAGCGATACGATATGTAGAAGAGCGCCCACCTAAATCATTTCCGCAGCCTTATCTTGTCTCACATTGTCATCACTCCAAAGAATTTTTACAGATATGGCGCAAGCAACGAAAGATAGTTTTCTCGACTTGGAAAAGTATCGTCAACAACTCGAGGATAATATCGCAAAACTACGAAAATCGTTGCAGCACTGGCAGACTTGGGATGCTGAATATGATGGTTTGAAGGAAGAAATCCTCTTGGCAGATTCTACTCCAAATCGTGATGAACTCATTTCGATCGCACGAAATTATGAAGCCGATTTGGTTAAAGGGAAAGAGATTGAAGAAATATTAGGTACCGGAGCCCAAAGAACCGCTGAACAGGTTGTGAATTTGCTGGATCGCCGATTAGACTATGTCCAGCAAAATATCAAAACAATCGAGAAGCAGATTGAAACCGCAGAGGAGAAATTGGTCAAAGCAACTATCATTAGTACGCCAGACGTAAGAAATGAAGAGGGACTTCCTGTAACGGAAATCACTGAAGAGTTGGACGATGAGGGCAATGTCATTTCTTCGAGATTATCAACACCTGGAAGTGTTAAACCGCAATTGTTGGAGGTGTTGAAAAAGGCTGGGATAATAGAACCGATGTCAAAGGATGAATCATCTATTGCAGAGGAAGTTGAAGATGGAGCAACACCTAGCAAAGCTTCAAGCCAGACCGAAACTATACCACTACCAACGAAACAGAAGACCGTCGATACGAAACCCAAATCATCCGCCACATCTCAAAAGACTGCTCAGAAGAGCGTGACGTTCACAAACGACTCAAAAACAGAGTCGGCCGAATCGAAACCAATAATATCGTCGGCAGCAAAGCGCCTTCAAGAGCTTATGCAATTTGCGAAAGATTCGGAGAAGCTATCATCTGAACCCGCCGTTATACCTACCGATGAGTCTCCCGAAGATGCCGCTTTACGGCGAGATATGTTACAGTATGGTATGTCGGAAGTTGGATCTTTGGTGGCAGAGATAAACTTGGAAGATGGGAGTGACTGGGAATCTGAAGATTACGCGGACGATTCTGATAGCGATGACGACGAGGATCAATTTGGCAAATCAACACATCAAGTTGTGGACGACGAACTCCGCCAACGTATGATTGAACTCGAAGAAAAACTTGGTGTCAGGATGTTGGAGAATGTTGGAAAGAGTGCAGATGATTATGGTATGGTCCAAGAAGGAATTGGCCGCATATCTGTCAGTGGTGAAGATATCAAGGATGCTGGCAAGGGAATTCTCACAACATCTGGTCAAGAGAAATTGACGAACTCGAAGTCTGACAAATTAATTCCCTCTGATGACTCTTCAAAGAAAAGTGTCAGATTTTCGGAGGAACTAGATATATCACCAGCTCCAGAGCAACCTATCGCCTCCTCAAAGACGAAGGTTAAGACTGCTCCAGTCGGAGATATAGTAGAGAGAAAAGCCCCAGGGCAATTGCACTCCGGTCCTCCAGTACAAAAGAAGGCTTCCCGCTTCAAGACGTCTCGAGCTCCGCTGAGTAATAGCACTAATGGTGTTTCGGCTGCCACCTCGACTGCCGCAAATCCTTCCTCTTTGAAATTATTCCCTGCCACTCCAGCTACTCCCAAACCATTTTCTCAACCGATCCCCTTTGCACCAGCGATCGAAAACCCTCGCACAGTTCCCACAGGACCTGCAAATCGTACACTTGCCCCTGAAATCATTGAACGAGATGTTCTACTTAACACCGATGCAGCCGCACCTGATGAATTTGATTCACAATTATTACATCAAGAAGTTGCGACCGAATATCATCGAATGAGGAACAGGATGATAGGCAAACAAGGTGGCTTCGCTCAGGAGGAAGAGAGTGAGATTGTACCATTTACGGAAGAAGAGGGAGGTCCCAAAAAAGTTAGTAGGTTCAAAGCAGCGAGGTTGGCGAAATCTTGATGTTTAGTAGGTGTATTATAGACTCAATAATTCAATCTACGTCAAACTCTTGATGGCTCCTCAACATTTATTCCTGTACTCGAGTACTCTTGTTGCATCTTTTTCATTTCCTCTCTTTTATTTGTCGCCGTCTTAATATCTATCATTGAAAATCCAATCAGCTGGATCAAGATCTTATACTCTCTATGAAGGCCGAATGGAAGAATTTGAGGTCTGTAGGTCCCTCAAACTCATAACAGTAAGCGAGTAAGCGATTTTGGTGTTGTCAATCACTGATATACCAGTATACCATCTCTTTTTCTTCTTCTTCATCTTCATCTTCATCTTCAGACGTCGTTTCCCTATAGCCAGTGTATACATACATAACCAACCCTTCTCTCTCTCTCTCTCTCTCTCTCTCCCCACAAACAATCTTCCCCTCCCCACCACCCTTAAACCAAACCGGAACAAACAAAATAAAATAAAAAATGTACTATGCAGCTTCAATCTCTCAGTACATTACATAACTCAATGTTCCCAAATCAACATTTTTTTTCACTGCGTGAGCATATAAGACAGGGCTCTCTGGCGTCGCAACTTTTGATTCGTGGTTGTGGGGTCTCGTTTCGCTCTTGACAGATATATGTAGAGAGATATATATCTTTTTGGTGTTGTGTTTTTTTAGGGGGGAAAGGGGGAGTGGTGTGTGTCTGGTTGGTTGGTTCCCTCAATTATTTGTTTTGGTTGTTGGGAGTGGGAGTGGGATTGGGATTGGGAATTGGGGTAGTTTTCGATATTGCTGGGGGTTTCTTTGGATTATTGATATTGGTGAGTTCATCTCATGTTATTATGTGACTTGAAACCCCTCCTGAAAATTCGGTTCATTTCTCATAACGAGGTCATATGATATTTTTGTCCCATGAATGGAAGTCTATATACTATATGCAACCAAAAGTCGCAGCACATTTATGATGATGTGCAAGGAGATGCTAATTTGGAGGTTGGATGTTGTGATGTGTATATATTTTCTATGGTTCTGCAATTTTATTGTTCGGCTAGACTCAAGTTTTAGTACTGTAAGTAGTTACAGCGATGATGCTACGAGGTTTATTTTCATATGTTATCAATTTTTAATAAGGAGAGAATATTTCAAGGTCTCGAATAAACCAAAAGAATAACTGAGTTCCTCATAGTCAGGACTGCTATTCAGGGTCCAAAATTCCTCATTTGCATCGTCAGACCTTACAAAAATTCATACACATCCTCCTCCCCCTCTCTAACCAAATCCCCAATTTCCTCCTTCACACCCCCCCATTCATCCCCCAGCATCCCAAATATCCCTCGTACCTCTTTATCCCCACAATTCCCAATCCACCAAATCTTCCTAATCCTCACAAATAGCGCAAAAACGACGGCCAACAAAACCATCGCTCTAGGTTGTTCTTCAGCTACTAGCTCCACGAACCGTTGCTCGATAAAATATGGAAAGCCGATCAGCAACCGAGTAATCGTCGCCGGATCATCCTTTGCTTCAATATGTTTGTATACATACCCCAAATAACACACAGTCGATCTATATGCGCCTTCAATTTCCCCATCCCACTCCTCACTCGCCAAATCCCCTTCCGTCCTCCTCAACAAATGCGCGAATTTCCCTGCATTCGCCTCGACGAAAATCTCCGAATGATCAGCTAAAACCGGCATTCTTCTCACAAACATCCATGCGACGCTTTTCTTCAGCGCTTCTTCGCTGGGATTAATATTGTGGAAATCTACATCCACATCTCGGGATAAAACAATGCATAGACACGCGGCTTTAAAAGCCATGGATGCACCGCGGTTGATTCGGAGCCAGTCTATGGGTGCGGTGTAGGGGATTCGAGAACGCTGTTGCAGCATGGCGAAGGCGCAGATGCGTAGGTTGCTGGAGGTGAGGCAGATGGCGTCGGCGGTGAGGGGGGTAAGGTGCTGGATTTCTTGGCGGTGGAGACGCAGGGTTTGGTCGAGGTAGGTGTAGGCGGTTAGGAATGAGGGGTTGGAGGTACCGGTGCTGGTGCTGGTGCTGGGTGCGATGGTTGAGTGGTTGAGGTGGAAGGATGATATGCTGTAGATGGAATATAAAAGTGCGACGTTTGTGAGAGCGATTGAAGGAACGGTTTGCGTAAACATATCGATGGTGGCTTGGTCGTAGTTGGTGGAGGTGGTAAATGATATTGTTCGACTGGTGTTGGTTGTGTAGTGATGAAGAAGAGTGAGCTCTTGAAGACGTCTTTCAGCAGTCTCGGGAAAATCAGGAATCTTATCAGTCCCTGGTTCTTCGGCAGTTGAGCTTCCCATGTCGGATCTATCTGAGATCTTCTTGATTATAGATGGTCCGTAGTTGCATACCACATCATGACGTTTGCACTTGAGGCATGCTGGCTGGTTTTCATCGCACTGAATCCATGGTTAAAACCGTGGTGGGCACATCTAGAAAAAAATATGCAAAGATCAAGAACACCCGCTGCTTGAACATTCCCCCTTCAATAAAGTCAAATTATACACATCAAATTATGTGATGTCTAAACCCCCTTCATTGACCGGAAACATCTCGAACTATCGAATATCGTCCCAGCCAAGACATGCACAAAATAACATCCCATCTCCACTCCAAATAAAATAAAGCCACCAACCTTCACTCTCCGTGTCCTACATCTCATGCATCCCGTCCTAGTCTTTCTATGATAACTCTTCGAAGAAGCTCCTTTCACGCTCTCGCTGCTAGGGTTCCATGATACCCAGACATGACCTGGCTCATCAATTTTCGTCGCATTGGCCTTGAGTATTGCAACATCCTTGGCTTTTGGCTTAACGCCAGTAGTATCCAGGTCAGGATTAATAGTCGATGATATGTTCATTCTGATGGATAAAGCACTTTCTCGAGTGAGCTTTATATTGGAGAAGTGATGAGGATGTGTAGATGGCATTATTGAATACCTATTCAATGCATACGCGGCTAGGTAACTCGGCTCACCGAGCTAGCTAATCACGCTTTATTATGAATAATGTGTTCTGGCTGTGAGTTTCTATGCCGTATTATATAAATTTATATCAATCTAAACCAAACTAACCGTGAAATTGTGTACCGGTATATATTGGATATTCAGACTTATATCTACTTGGTGCAGGTGAGCATCCACGATGGTCCGTGCGCCATGCTATAAATAGCGTACATCAACGTTCGACCCTTCCTTGACGTTCATCGAATTTCGAAATGTGTTGCCCAAATCATTCCATGCTATTGTTGACTTCCAATATTACAGTATGATTTGCTCATCTCCATTTGTTCCAATGCGCGCCATTGTTCGCTGCTCCACGCGTTCTATTCGCACTACCACCTGTGTACACCTCACCCGACCTCCTATTTTTCATGTACCGCTGTTACCAGGCTTCCCGTCCATCGACGTGAACTTTTTTCAGACTCGCCGGATGAGCATTTGGTTCACCATTTCAAAAAAATGATCGCCTGGCCTGAAGAGATTGAGCTGCACACTTGAAGCGTGAGGCCAAATCCATATTCGAATTTTGACTGGTAGTGGCTATAGAGTTATTCCAGAGAGGTACTTTGTAGCACAATGTATGGTAATGGACTAAGATCTCCAGAAGCAGAAATTCCTCCCTTTATCGTTTTCTTTTCTATTAAAATCTTATTGATTTTATCAAATTCAATTTTTCTTTTTCAATGAAACTTCAAAATATCTTCTAAAATGCCTCAAATCCATTTCAAAATCACTGAATTTCACTTTTTTAAGCTGATAAATTAGCTGGCCCGCTGATGATATTTCGAACCTCTAGCCTTTTTGTTTACGTTGATAGCTGACTGGTTGGCCACTCTGACTGGGCGTCACCTCTGCACACTATTTGACAAATTGTTTCCAAAGAATGTTCAAGGGCAGACGAGAGGGCAATTCACAGATATCGAGGGCAGTGAAACTCTGTAGCTTTCATATCGATATCAATATGTTGCTTTGTAATGAAATTGCCATATAATACGATAAGAGGAGAAAGGGTAAATTCTGCAGTTCTCAAGACACATGTTTTCATTGGAACTGGGTATCATTCACTTCGATTTCCTGCCGCGTTGTCTCTTTCATCTATTTGTTCATGGTTCGGTTCTATCGTACGATTAGAGAGAAGTCGATGAGGTTGAAACTCTTGGTGTGGATTCTATGACTTACGCACCGATTCTGATTATTAGATTTGTAGTTCTCTACTCTTTATTGGCTTTTGTTTGCACTAGCTTGCACTGGTTTATATTTCTTGGGGTTTGCAAAAGCATCGATTCAAATCTAACATCTAAGATACATGTCCTGTATAAAGTTCCTGATTTCCCACCACCATCTTCTTTCGCACTACATGATTCCCGAATGCCAAACAATACTGCAATTTGTGCAGCGTGCCTTGGCAGCCTCATGAACGTCATGAATCATAGGGATGATAATTACTTCTTATGAATGACTCCAACAATGCGAACATCGCCGTCGTCGTCTATAATAGGATGTTGAATGTCTCCCCGTACCGTCTCATCGGAGGATACGCTAGTGCGGCTTTCTTCATCAGGCTCAAGTTCAAAGAAAGAGGCTTCCAAACGACGCTGTCTATCGGGATCTTGTTGCGACTTCGGCAATTTCTTGTGGTAGGCAATCCAATATCTCCTCCCATCCAGATTTGCCCATGCAAGCTGGTCACTATTCAAGTTCCTGACTTCTGGAATTGACTTTTTCGCCTTTCTCAACAACTCCGGATCTTTGAGTTCTCGTGAATTAAGCATTCTCTCTGACTGGAAATATTCTGTACAAAGCTCGAACCACAGGAACTCCCATTGATTTGGCTTGGGTATTTCGGAAGTCGAACTGCTGCTACGAGTAGCCATGCTGAGACCGTTATGGATGTATAATTATGGGTGAGAAGTATCGGCGTTAAAGGCTATGTAATGTGTGATGGAAGTTCTTGTCTTGTGAGCAGTCGAAGCGTTCGAAATTTGGGACAGAGAGATTGTGGAGAGATGATTTTGGTTCTTTCGACAATGCGATAGTGGCCTCCAGTGTCAAATTTGGACAAGGAGGTTGCCTATAGACTGCTGATAACGTTTGTTCCGTTTCTTAAATGAGGAAGAGACGGCGTGCTATTGAAGCCGGTGATAAGAGTTTATGAGTGTTGATCAGTGGGCTTTTGCGGATGAGGACTGGGTGCTAAGGGTGATCAAATGAAGATAAATATGGCAGGATATCGAAGTCGGTCAATAATTATGGAGTGCTTTCGAAGGTTTGGTCAAGTGATCAGAGTCTTCGGCGTGAATGATCTGTTCTACTACGTCGAAATTCTTGAACTCGAGGATGCTTTTGTGTGAAGATTTTCGAAGAAGTAAAGGGGAATATCGCCTTCTATTTATGCACTTTCCACACCCAGTGTGTAACCCATTTCGAGGGTATTATGACACCTACTTTTGCACCATAAATCATATTCCGGGGCGATGAGTCTTCGGAATTCCACGAGCTGGAACTCAATCAATGCTTTCGGAGTCATTGCAACGTGATTTCATGAAGTTGAGATGGGAACTAGATTTTGGTGTCATCAACAAGCGAGTACCCCTTCATTTCATCCGAAGGTGGAAAAATAGGCCACGTGTACTGGATGAAATGAATGGATGGGAGCTTTGGATGGATTAAATTAGGGAGTCTGAGTCTCAGACAACAGTGTTGTACAAGTTGGGTTTGTGTTTCCGATATTGTATCACGGGATCGCGACCAGGATACACGTCGCAAGGAAGAACCAATTCTAAGATAAAGATGATATTGAGCGTTGGAGAAGAGCAGATTAGTAATCTCGCATCTATCGCAGGGTATCAAATAGTCCAGACTGTAATCCAACAATAAGAGAATCATAATTCCTGAATATATCTCAAAAATTTACTCTGATTTAGAATATTAAATATAATAAAAATATTCAAATTATTTTAAACATCGATACTAATCCGACTACGGTCCGGACTATTGGATACACTGGCCTATCAGTTATGGCTCAGGAGCTTTCAAAGTTGCGGATACTTCTAAGTTAGGAATGAACCATACTTAAGCAATAATGGGAAGTAACGATGTATAAGAAGAAGTACTAAGTTGAAGATCTCTCAATACTCCATCCACCAGGAAGCTGTTCCAAAGCAGATACCAGAATATGGTAGTGAAGATATTCGTGTATCAAAGGCAATAAATTGTTCCTGGTGAGTGTATTTCCCCATAAGATAACACGAAGTCAATATCACTCAATCATGATACATTTAACAGAAAATAAGCAAATTGATTAAGCTGGGCCGAAAACGTGCTTTTCCCTCACTACTAACCAGACTGTTGCCATTCCGCCCTAGTTAACAGCAATCTTTCCCTTCAAATGAAACGGAACAGCGTCTCTATAATGAGACTTGCACAGTTTCTCGCCGTAATAGAAATGTTCGTTAGCCTCCGTATCCGGGAAATTGGATACTCTCGCCTTTTCCTCAAACATCATCACACAATCAGATCCTCCAAAAGCAAAGTGGGAAATTTCATCGCCTTTCTTGATGGTCTTGCCACGTAATTCCTTGTTCACGATGACAGAGGAAACTATGGCCATACCAATAGGCAAGATCGCAACCCGACCCAACTTCTCGTTGTTGATGATGACAATCCCGCGGGTCTGTAAGAACTGATAGCCTGGAGAGTCAGGAGCATCAAGTGTGATGACTCCTGCAGGGTCTCTATTCTTGATGTTCGGTGAGATGCGACGGCGAGGTGATAGGTAGTTGTGGCCTCCGGCCTTCTCGTCTGTCTTGACCAGTACCTCTAAGTAAGCAGCACCCGGGATCACATCGATGACTTCGACTTTGCCCGAGACGGCGGAGTGCTGTCGATGATAGTCAAAGGTGTTGAGGAAGGAGTGTGTCCAAACCCCATCCTTGAATAGTTCGCCATATGTGGTCTTGCCATCGGATTCTGGCACTTTTGCCTTGCCGTATTCACCGAGCAAATCCGTTATCTTCCAGGGGAGATTCTTAAGTATCACCTCAGATTCATCGGTAATCGAAAAGGCACCGGCAAAGGTGGAATCCGCGGGGAAGGTCACAATGCGATCATCATCTGGTGAATCGATCTCACGAGGTTCCTTGAGCTTTCGGTGAAAGAAATCGTTGAAAGTCTTCCAATTACTGGGATCTTCCGCCTCAAAGACACGGAACTGGGGAGAGTTTCGGTAGCTGGTCAAAGAAGTCTCATTCCATGAACCTGGTTGGCTCATAAACTCCCCAACCTTCCTGGCGTAACGTACGAGCCAGTCAGACAGAGGGGTGAGCGGCTTGTTAATGTTCTTTGGGAGAATTGAGGTTTGGCGAACACCCAGAGGTTCTTGAGCGAGGACAAAGTAGAAGATGCAAAGGATATAGTAGATATCGCGGCCATTGGTGCTCTCGGTTGGAATCCAACCTCGAACTAACCAGTCCGCAAAGTCGAGAAATCCTTTTCCGGACTTGACACCATACTTGGCCATGTCGGGAATATCGAATTTCAAGGCATTCCTGACAGCAGTGTCAAGATCATCGACTTCTCTGAGGAGCTCATCACGAAGCTCAGCAACGATGGGATCTAAAAAAATAGTAATGTTAACAAATATATTTAAGACAGAATAATATTCTTACGGTATGTAGGCATGTTGAAGATTTGGATAGGTAAGTGTTCAAGAAAGATACTTGGTGAGTCTTCTCTTTGTAGATTGTCTGGAATTGAAAAGGTTTATTGATTGAGGATGGTTTTAGACCTGAGCAATTATATTCATCTGGCTCTGAGCAGCTCTTTAAATAACTTTCATTGTGTCAGTAGTAGCTCGCCAAGTCGATCGCGTCACCCCCAGATCTTTGACTAATGCCGTCATAGTAATGCGAATAAGTGCTAGCACTTGGGTGATTGAGATTTCAAAGAGGGGTTAGAAATTGGTGGAACGACGAGTTTCTGTTGTACGAGTATGTCGAAATTACATATACGCAGTGATTGTGACATTGTCAGTGCTTACAATACGAATGATAGGCTCAACCAAGACATCAACGAGTTCATTTCCATCATTGCCTATGAAGCATAGGTTGTAATGAAACCACGGGGGTTCTGAAGGTCGTGCAACATGTTCTGTTGGCTGCCGAGTCAGATAAGATCGTTATGTAGCTCGCCATTACCAGCGAGAGGGGTAGCGGATATCTTTGCCGATTCAGGGAAATGAAGCTCAACTCTCACAATTGTCGATGTCGAACAGACAAATCAATGAGTATAGTGGCTAGCTGAGCTCCTCCCTCGCTCCAATCATTGTACAAATACTCAATAAGCTTCACACCAATCCTGCTCGCACCTCCAATAATCTCCGGATCATCTAGACAAATATCGCTGGTTGATATTCAGGACGCAACTTAACAATATCGAAGACGGTACAGTAGTACCCGTGGACACAAACCGGTGGTGTAACCTTGAGAAACGAAAGTGGCTTGCGGGGAACATTCCCGATTGAGTCGCTTGCCTTAGTCTCACGACGTTCATCAAGCCATATCAATATCAATGCAAGCCAGCTTAGATATCGCAAGCCATTGATGAAAATTACTTTCTGAATTCCCAACAAAACACAAGCTTGCGGGGTAAGGTATGCTCTTTCCAAGATCTAATACGAAATGGCGTATCATATTTTTTCCTGGAATGTCGGAAGTATGGTGACATATGTGTACCTCCATCGCTTCTTCTTGCACATCGCTTCTCAGCAAGTAAATTCAGAACAATGACCAAATCTTCATGCGGTGCTGGTGCTGGTGCCGCTAAACAAGATATGTATGGATGCAGATAGTCTGCCCCACTGGTTCGTAGTCAGTGTTGCATATCCTTACATCGAAAACGAAAAGCTTCAGAGTTCCGAGTATCTCAGCTGTCCAAAGTGCTTGATAAATGAAACGCAGACCAAGATTGGGCATCAAGGCTGTGAAGATCACGCCATCATTTTCTTTCTCATTCTTCCTCCATATTTTGCCTTACGCCTGTTGACCAACCAGGAAATAATAGAGTTTCTCTTGATATTATCTGTGTCGTACGTATGGCGGAAGAAATCAACATATCTGAATCATCGTTGGCCGAAGTTGAAAATTGTCAAGTGGATATCATACTCCCACAGAGGAGGAACGAAGGAAATGAGGGGTCTTGCAAAAGAGGGGTCTTTAACTTATGTATGACAGTGCATCACAATCCACAAAGTGTGCAAGATATGTGTTGTATACTACGACATTCTTCTCCACTTCCGACTTCGGATCGGTAACCGAACCCCTGAAGTTTGTCTCTCGCTTCTGTTCGTCCCGAGAAGAGATCAACAAACTATGACAATAAATCACTTGTATATCATGTTGTATTAAGTTGTTGAATCTTCCAATTCGGTTTCTATATCCTCTTCCAGTTCGAAGTACATCCTGTCTTTTCTTCTGATCCTATTATCCTGCTTTTTGTTAAATTTTTAACGAAGATTCGATAGTAATGGCAGGGGTATCGTCTAATCCAGCGCCCGCATGGAGCAGTAAGCTCACAGTCTTTACCTTGCTATATTTTATGTATTGCTAATCACATCTTGTTTTTCCTCAGATAAATACGATGCTGCTCTCACCAAGGAGATCATCAACGGTCAACACATTTTGCACGTATCCTTCCTCACGCAGGACGCCGAGTATCCAACAGTGTGTTATCTTGTTGGCAAGATTCTCAAATACAGGGACGATCCCGAAGCCTTGTACGTGCATGGCCATGTCCAAGAACCCGTCATGGGACGTTTCGTAGGACGAGAAGAAAGCGACCCTGATCTCCACGTCAGCGTTGTAGCAAGCACAATCAATAGCCTCTACTTCGGTTTCTCTGGTTTTGCCACCGGATACGCGTGTGAGTATGATCGGTTCCCTGACTTCAAATTCCCCGAATTCAGACTCTTGTTATTCGCTTCTTCGTCGCGCTTTGGTTTCTCACTTCACACATAAGAACGTTTCTGATAAGCAATTACTGACTTTCCAATGTTACAGTCGCCAGTACCGTGCTCAACGGAACCGCCAGTCTGATGGACGTGTCTCCCGGAAACCATGATGAGAGAGAGTGGGTAATGACGCAACTTATCAATTCGCAGATCCCAGATCATTGGAGACATCTTCGTCCCATCGGGACAGACGTAGACTACGTCTCTATCATCAAGATCACGCCGAATGCCCTACAGTCTCACACTCATTCAGTCCTAAAGGTTCTGGGCTTAGAAGTTCTAGAGGACGTCAAGGATAAAAAGCTTTGCGAGGAGCATTGGGAGGTATGTGATAATCCAACAATTCACGCGAGCATTTCAAATAAATACCAACTAAACTAATTCTAGGGCGCGATTCCAGTGTGGGAGAAACTCGGTCAGCCAATTTCTGGGAAGAACAATCTCCCCGAGGGGAAGGAAAGAGTTGCGCCTGATTATGTTCATAAATTCATCGCGGAGGAAAATACGAGGAGAAAAAAGCTTGCAAAGGAGATTGCGAGCGCGGATTATCCTTATGACAACCCCGGTCATCATTATGGTCCCTGAGGGAGGAAGAGTGTATTTTATGTTTTTCTATACTACTATTTAACACAGCTACCGTACTTGGAATAAATACGAGTAATCTTCATGACTAGTCTCTCGCATTCCGGTGTCGGTTAATCTAATGGGATGATATGCGGTCCTTTGAGCGCGAATTTAAACTGTGATTGAACCGGTGTTAAATCTATATGGTCTAAAGGCTCAGTCTGCCTTCAGGTAATCTGAGATGATGATCTCTACAATTCGTTTGAAGGATACACGTAAGTGCTTAAGGTGTACTTTTCTTCTTCCAAAGCCCGTATACACAGAACTACATCTCTACAGACTATGCGTTCTCTGCAATAGCGGGGCTTGCTTCTCCATCTAGTATATATGATGGCTACGAGCATATTAGAATACATTTTCCTTGCATGTAAAGTTACATTACTTACACAGTATGCGCTCGGGTAGGATTTCTATTGCAGTACCAGTATCACAGCCAGCCCGTGTACACGTGGTTGTCCAAATTCATAGAAATCATCTCGGAAGTGAAGGATATATCTTAACTATCAGAGTAACAGATAGTGGTATCACAATTGAGCAACTTGATAACGGTTCATTCCATCCCGAGTCTACTCTCCAACCACATTAACGTTACACAGCCACAGCCCCCGCGGTCTAACCCAATAACTCAGATCACCTACTGTATAGTCTACCACAACATACCCGCCTATCATCGCTTGTATGACACTGTCTGTCCTACTGAGTAATCGGAAAGCATCTGCATAAGGAAAAGGTTTATGGGTTCCCCGCATTATCTAAAATTCGAATGATACATGTAAGTATACTATCAAATACAGTATACAACGTTCCTCTCCCAGTGTATTGATAGTAGCTAGTCAGTAAGGTTTATTGTCTGAATTGTATGGAAACATTGAAAACAGATTGGCCGAACGATTATATTGATTGTTCGAACCAGCTTCGGAATATTGAAATACCTAATAGGCCCACGGGTGAATCAATTATCATTTGATTCTTCAAATCTAAATCAAACAATGAAATGGAAAGAGTGAAGCTATTCAGGGATGGCGACAGCCATCGGACCCAGCGGCCGCCAGCATCCGCATACCACGTGACTACATGCTAGACCATCCTTTCATGACAACCACAAAGTTTACAGTTGACCTTACCATTCACATCCTATAACTATCTCAATAAATACAAGTCAAATCATGGCAGCCAAAGTGGGTGTCTCCCCTCCCCCCTTCCCCTTTTTTTGTCCTCATCGTTATATTCCCTTGCTTTCCCTCACCCCCCACCCCCACCCCAACTTCAACTTCAACTTCAACCCCAATCCAAAACTAATACCCTATCCATCTACAGTACCTTTCCGCCGCCAACGCAGCAGCCTTGGATAAAGAACTCATGTCCCTTGGCGCATTTTCCCTTGATCAATTAATGGAACTTGCTGGATTGAGTGTTTCGCAAGTCGGTATGATTCTTTCTTCACTACTCTATAGACTTCTCTTTTTTGAGTGTTGTTTTTTGCTATTTCATTGTACTATTCGTATCTTTCGTAACGAGGAGAGTTTCGGCTATCGTATGTGGGAGTTTTAGATGAGAAGTGTTCATATAAGTATATGAAATAAATTATCCCCGTTGGACCAATCTTCTGAAGTAGCATCAAATATATCCTTGTTTTCCAACCCAGATATCTATTTTATTCCGTGTATTTCACGGCCCCTCTTAAATCTCCCATTACCATATATCATATCAAAACATAAAAAACAAAGCACAACTGACTCTTAATCCAATAAGTATACAAAGTCCATCCACCCTCCAAAGGGCGTCGAATTCTAGTAGCATGTGGACCTGGAAATAACGGTATGTCCATTTCACTTTATTCCTTCTTCTCCCATCCCCCTTTTTCGATTCTTCGTTTCGAAGGGGAATACCAGTATTAATGAAAAGAAATCAGGAGGAGATGGTCTCGTAGCAGCCCGTCACCTCTGGCACTATGGCTATAAACCCACAATCTACTATCCCAAACAGGGAAAAAATGAACTTTATCAAGTACGTTGCTTCATTTTCATTTTCATTTTCATTTTCAATTTTCTCGTCTCCTCTCATATCAACCATTCCACATGTCGTATAAAGATGAGAGAGAATCGGACGGAAGTTTTTATATTTTGCAATGTCAAAAAGTGCTGCTGGAATTTCGCTAACAAACACCAACAGCGTCTCTCTACACAACTCCGCAATCTCTCCATCCCATTCACCGATGATTTTACCAGTGCTTTGAAAGAATCTGACCACATCATCGATGCTATATTCGGTATTTCCCATCTCCTTTTCTTCTCCATCTCCCCATCTCCTCTCTTCCTACACCTCTATACCATACCACACCCATCCCAGCCCCCAATTCCCCTCCTCCCACTAACCCCACCCTCTCAGGATTTTCCTTCTCCAGTCCCCTCCGCTCCCCCTTCCCCTCCATAATCACCCTCCTCGAAGAAACTTCTCTCCCTATAACATCCATCGACGCACCCTCATCATGGGACATCGCAAACGGACCACCTTCTTCAGGTCCAGGCGCAAACTTCATGCCTCAATATCTAATTAGTTTAACGGCCCCAAAACCTCTTGTTCGCTATTTCAAGGGACGACACTTTTTGGGCGGGAGGTATGGTTTTTGTCTTCTCTTTCCTTCTTAGTCTACCTATCTGTCTTTCTCCACTCTCCTTTACCTCAATTCTCACCATCATCTAGATTCGTGACCCCAGAAATTTCGCAGAAATATAATCTCCAACTCCCCGAATATGAAGGAGTAGATCAAATCGTTGAAATGCTTATTGAAGAGTCCGAAGAGAAATTGTAAAGGAATATCAGGACTTCAACTGCAAAAAGGACAATTTTCATGGAAAATTGAATGCATTTCTATTTTTTCCTTTGATGCAAGGCAAAACAATCGTTAAAAATTATCTGGTAATCATAATACATATAAATCAACTCATGAAGCTCATTCTTGTGCGCTCGCAATTTGGTAATATTTTATCGTGTTAAATCATTATTCATGCTAAACAATAGAGGCGATTAGTGTTTATGATACAAGAAAGAGGAGAACAAGGGATTCTAACAAATCTCTTCGAAAAGCACAAGCACGGTCCCTGCTTTACAGATGTCCTATTCATACCCACCCATTAGCACATATACCCTCGAGCATCCAGTTAATGAGGCAAGATCCAAGAAGAGACAGCAGAAAAACAACATCTACTTACCCCTTCCTTATGCACCAACTTAGCGACCACCCCCTTCTGCGGGCTCCGAATAACCGTCTCCATCTTCATACTCTCAATCCTGTCATGAAAATCATATCAGCTTCACATTATCTCATAGATCCACACCACAAGAATATATACTCACACCACCAACGCTTGTCCCTCCTCCACCCCCTCTCCCTCCTTGACCTCATTCCTCAAAACCTTACACGGCATCGGGGCTACCACACTATTCTTTACATCCTTCAACCCCAATGCCTTTTCATACCATCCAGGCGTCGCTAGTTGTAACTGGATCTGTTTACCTTGCTGAAATAGTGTTATTTTATCATCTTGCCGGATTAATGTACTTTCAATTCGGGTATGAGGGAAGAATGTTGAAATTGTGGGGAAGTTTGGTTCGCTGATCACGTTTTGGTATGATTTTTCCATATTGGGACCTTTGACTAATATGTTGTATAGATTCCGATCAGATTGGTCGATGGTTACGTGGTATACATCTGGCTTATCGCTGGATGATAGTATAATAGGTTTCGTGAAGCTAAATTCGCGTTGAATGTGAGAATTGAAGCCGATTGCTTGACCATGAGGCCCTTGAGTTGATTTTGAGCTCGTTGCCGAAAGTTCCTGGGATAGCATACTAAGAGCAGCTTGTGCGAATGCTTCAGGCTCAATGATCTCGGTTGGAAAAAGCTCATCGTGGTATTTTTGTATGTATCCCGTTTCTACATCACCTCGAATGAATGCGGGGCTCTTGCAAATTCTCTTTAGAAACTCGATATTGGTACTTAGACCAACAACCTCGTAATCTTGCAATGCTGCATGAAGTTTTCGTATCGCTACTTCTCGTGTAGGACCGCTCACGATGAGTTTCGCAATCATGCCATCATAATTAGATGAGACTGTATCGCCTTGCACGAAGCCCGCATCGATTCGAACACTGTCTGATATTTGAGGTGTTCGTAAATGAATAATCTTGCCAGAATCGGGCATAAAATTCTGATTAGGATTTTCGGCATATATTCGAGCTTCAAGAGCCCATCCACGTTCGGCTATTCTTCGAGCTATCGTATCTTGATCGAGTGGTAATGGTTCGCCAGCCGCAACTTTGAATTGCCATGATACGAGATCTTCACCCGTGATCTCTTCAGTCACGGGGTGTTCGACCTGTAGTCTAGTATTCATTTCCATGAAGAAGAACTCATTGGTATCGTTGTCGAATATGACTGTAACTTTGGTTAGCATTGAAACAGAAGTCAGTGAAATGATCCTCACATTCAACTGTACCAGCCCCCTCATACCCCACAGCAAGAGCTGCAGCACGAGCTTTCTCCCAAAGATCTTGCCTAATATCCTCCGCTAGATTTGGTGCTGGCGCCTCCTCCAAGATTTTTTGATGTCGTCTCTGTAAACTACAATCTCTCTCACCTAAAGCAACTGCTTGACCGTGCTTATCGGCAAAAACTTGTACCTCGATATGTCTTGGCGTAGCAATGTACTTCTCAACCAACATAACATCGTCTCCAAAAGAATTTCTTCCTTCACTTTTCGCGCTCTCCAATTTCTCAAGAAACTCCCCTTCCGTTTGAGCAATACGCATGCCCTTTCCACCACCACCCTTAACAGCCTTCACCATAACCGGAAAGCCAATCTTCCTTGCCTCGTTGAGCAGATATTCAGGTTCTTGATTTTCCCCATGATATCCTGGTATACAAGGTACTCCCGCCTTGATCATAATATCTTTACTCCTAGATTTATTTCCCATTGCCTCGATAGCCTTCCAAGGTGGACCAATAAACACCAACCCCTCCTCTACACATCTTTTCGCAAATGCCGAATTCTCACTCAAAAATCCATATCCTGGATGTAACGCCTCACAATCCTGTTCCTTCGCCACAGATATAATTCTTTCGCCATCAAGATAAGCATTTGCAGCACCAAGATTTACCGCGAAAGGGCTGGAAAGTGCGTGTTGTGAATTGGCATCAGGATCCGTATAGATTGTTGTACATCGTACGCCGAGATCTGAAGCTGTACGTCCGACTCGCAGAGCTATTTCTCCACGATTGGCTATGAGAACAGAGGTAATGGGAGTAATTGTGGGAGCTGATGAATATCGACGGGAATAGGAAGGAAGAAGAGCTCGGGCTAGAGCCCGAGATCTGGAAGCTGAATGCATTTGCTATCGCATCAATCCAGGAGAACAATTCTCTAAACTTTGTAGATTGTAATACGGGCTTGCAGATTGTGAGATTTGGGATTAATACGATGGCTGATTGTGAGAAAGTTGTTTGACTCTTTAACTTTATTTGCGAATGTATTTGGGGGACGGAGGATATCGAAGTTAATCTGATTGAAACATGGGGCCGTTCGTAGCCGATAGTAGCCGCGTCAAATCAATGCGGGGAAAGCCTTAATAAGCGTCTATTTTCTAACCTCACTCCGCAATGATGACCCATCGACTGACTGACTGAGAGGGTACAACGGATGTAGACAACAATGACTAGTACAATTTGACCGCATATGGGTTGAAGATCCAAACATAGCTAAGGAGGCCTTTCTCCAAGTGCAAAGCCACCTTGCTACTTGCTAGTCATTTCGTTCAAAAGAGCCTTCTGAAGTAGAGTTATGCCGGTTCCTGGAGCTTCAACACTCGTTAGATTGATACTGGTAGCAGAAACAAAAATTAGGGTCGTCTAGGAAATATGCAGTTCTTTCGATGTGATATATCTCATGCGTATACCGAATCTTGGGATAAAGTAATCTCCATTGATGAGGTTAGATTGAGAGTGGTTGAGGAGACGACGCGGTCTGAAGTGATCACGAGCGTAATTTCTTTTGCCTACTTCGTTATCCCATATCCGTCTTTCGTTATCAATCCTAAAATCTCGGTTGCTAAACTAAACAGGGTTCATAATCAGCAATGATCGGACTTTCGCTGAAGCATATTTTGCTTCAAAACACTATCGGCAAGCCATCGCCCAGTTTGATTCACCCATAGGTTTTATTTCTACTTTTGACGAGAAGAGGATGGCTTGAAATGCATGATCCATCAGCAACGCCTCGACCATCTTTACATCGAAAGCAGCCTCTAACTTTGAAGATAGTGTTGCTAGATGAGGATGCCCGCAAGCTCTCACATCGCTGGAGTTATCTCGATGCTATCAAACATTTCAATACTGTATTTATAGAACCCTGATGGTACCTCTAGTGTTACTTGAATTGTTATTGGTAGTATACTAACTACAAAACTCAAAGACTTATGAGCAGGTGCCGCCAGATTGTACTCGCTTATTCAAGTTTAACCTCATATGCTCTTGCGAGAATCGAAAAAGAAACTTATGTCCTCAAATCGCTCCACTTTACAATTCTCCGTCCACTTATGAGTACAAAAACAATACCGGCGTCGCTTAAACCGCGGCTACTATTATGGCGTTTAACCAATATAACCTCACCAAACACCTCGCCAACGACATCCAGCCCCACCCACTACAGTGGCTACACACTCCCTGCCTTCTTCCCACCTCCAAAAATAAAATTAAAATAAAGGCAGTCAACATGGCAAAAACCATAGCGGAGCGCGTCTAGGCGCCTGGAAAACCCCTTTTTCAGGGATTTTTTTGTGAGCTGAACTCTTCGATATGGGGTCACGACTCTCAGACCAAACACCCCACCCATCCGAAGACGGTTACAGCGCAGCGGTCGACCAACTACGCCAAAGCGACGTATGGGATGTTTGATTGATGGAGGTCTTGAGTTTGTTTTGGTATATATGTGGATAGATGTTGCTTATTTTGTTTTCTGCCCCCTCCTCTCGAGATGGGCGGTGGGATGAATAAATATGTACAGACATCGACCGTTCAACTTTCCTGTTTACGAAGATAGGATTGCCTACAAAGATGGATCTAAAACTTGGTGCTACCGTTGAGAAAAGTGCTGCTCCAGTGTTACTTTCGAAGTTTTGATATCGATATTGTTGCTGAAAAGACAAGCTGGCGCGTGAAATGAAGATAATGAATTGAAATGTCTCTTTTTGCTGGAGTTCCTGGTCAAATCGCATGTATCTTATCCTTATACATGTTTCTTCAAGCAATCGATGGGCATTCTCGATTTTCTGCTAGGAAAATCATATCATTTCTACCAATCAATATCAAAGAACATTAACCTGTATGAAAATGATCATACCAAAACAACTTGAAGCACAGTATCATTACATCTTATCCCGCAATCCTTCCAACATATTCAGCACCATCATACATATATAACAAACATCCTCAGAGTCATATTATAATCATGGATTTGGATTTATGGATTTATTTCTGTGATTTACTCGTATAGGGTTTCAATATATACTTTGTATGTACGAGTAGATTGAGATATATAGGGAGATTATTGGGATATAGTTGTGATGGGGTTAGTATAGAGGGTATGGTATGAAGGTTTCTTTTCTTTTGTGTTATTGTTATTATTGGAAGATAGATGTAATCTTACAAGCTTCATTTTGGGGAATATAGTACCCGAGTAGATTCTAGTTCCACATTTGCATTATGCCCAAAAGAAGTATATTACGAGTAGTACACTGAATTTATGAACTTACCTAGGTATGATCAGAACCATACGCATACATACCTTTAGTATATTTTCTCACAAATAATGAACTATTGATTACCATTTCTACTCCAGACCAGGATATATTCCCCTATAGATCTACTCGAGTACTACATAAAATCTCCATCCCATCTTCACACCCCCAAATTTCCACCCCTACCCAAAGATAACGTCATCCTCTCCCTCCAAGCCATCCTCAAACCTAAACATCAAATCACTCCTCATCGTATACTTGATCCCCCTTACCACATCATCCCCACTATGCAACAACCTCTTATGCTGAAAAATAAGTACCCTCCCCGCCTTCGGATCAACATCCAATCTCTCCTTCATATCCCTTGAATGAAATGTCGTTGCGCCTCCTCTCAGCATATCCGAATCTTCCGGAAACCTTGGGGTGTCGGGATTTTTCTCGAGTTCTTGCGCCGAATCATTGAGATAGAGATGAATGGTAAAGAAAGACCGTTCGCTACCGTCGGGACTTTCGTAGGTGCCGTCTGTATGTTCTGTGTTTCCAGATCAATGAACCATTTCTAAAAAGGGATGCACAAAGACATACCTCGAAAATATTGTCCAGCTCCATATCTCAAAAACCGCATACGCTCATTCATCCCCTGCTCAGTACCCACCCATCTCTCTCCACTTCTAATCCCCAAACTGGACAGTCCCTCCCATTTCTTTCCCTCGAGCACTCCAATATCCCCCTTAATACCCTTTCCCTGTAAAACTCTCTTCCAGATTCTCCCCACCACTTCCTTTTCATCCCAGATAATGCGATCCGAGTTCCTATATTCCGTCGCTAGGAATTCATGACCTACACCTGCATTTATCATTGCAGGAGTCCACCCATTATTTGCTGATTCTTTCGATTCTCCATCTTCATCTCCCTTGTCACCATTTCCTCGCTCTTTAACCCCCTCCACTTTAACCCCATTCTCAACCTCAGTCCCAACAACCATATTCCCCCGGCCCCCCTTACTCATCTCCGCCATCCCCACCAAGACCTCACACTCATCTTCACTCAACACCCCATCTAACACAACCGCATAAGCCCCCCTATACTCCTTCAGCACCGTCTTCTCAAAATCAATCTTCACCACTCTCATAACCTCATCCGGATTCTCCAACGGCTTCAAAAAATCATCGGGGATAAGAACGGGAAGAGACGTATAAGATGTTTTCACAACATCATAACCTGGACGACGGGTTTTTCGTTCATTTCTTGTTTGCTCACATGCTTTGGACTTAGCAGAGGAGGTTAGGCGCGAGGCTGTTGCTTTCAATTCGGAGAGGAAGGAAGACATTGCGAGCTGTAATGTATGTGTTGTCAATGGAGGTCAAAAAGGCATTAAAGTCCAAGAAGGGAAAGTCTGGGGATTGAAGAAGAATAGGAAATTTAGAAGCATTTATATTTTTCACAGGGCTTTTTTGATTTGATTTGTAGTTGACGACATTTGAGTCACAGATTAGGTACACAGCCACTATAAGCACAGGGCTTAGCGCGTAAGGCTGACTCCAACTTTGGAGCCCCAAGCAATCCCTGTTGAGCGGGGGTTTATTGACATCATGTTACGGCTGTTGGAGAGGACACATATGAAGTACCGGCCGGTATATTGGCAAGGTTATCATGTAAATTAATGTTGTATTGTTGGTATCAAGAAGAATCACTTATCTTTTATAGCACCAGTATCCGCTCTTTAAACAAAGCAGATGTCTCAGTGAGATAAAGAAGTGGGAGAAAGAGATGTATTGTCGATCCAGGTCTAGCTATACTGAGCATATAAAATACCGCAGTTTCTAGCATTGTGGCTTATTGATTAAGGGAATCTTGTCTGTCTCTTCCACCCGTCTGTGCAACCCATGGAGATCTTCTCTTGAGGGGAGTGATGCAATGAAGACAAAACACACGAAGGTATCTAATGCTTGATGCTAATTCGTAAGGTTCGCTGATGAAGCTTTTTGTTTAACACTGCGTGCTTGTGCTGATGTAAAAAAAAAGAGGAAAGAAATAGGATTTTCCGGCACAGCCTCGCACCAAACCGTGCAATGAAGGCTATGGGGGATATCGTGATGTAGAAGAGTGAGTAATTTTGTCTGGCGAATGGCAAAGTGACCATTGTGGAGATAAAGTCTCGGACAAATAGTGATCAGGTCACAGTTCGGCCATCGCTACTTCTTCCAGTATTTCCATTGAGACGCCTACCCCGATCAGTCTGCAAGACCTCACCTGGACGGAGAGAAGAATGAGTTCCAGTCGAGGTGGGATGATCTTGGGCATGCTCTTTATCGTACTCATCATCTGGATAGTCTTCACTTTGAGTTCCCCGACTATGGCTCTGATCGGCCGAGGTACCTTGCTGAGAGTTTTGATGCTGTGATTGGCGATGCTGTGGAGTTCCCTTTGCAGCAGCCTTACTATCCTTTTTTCCCTTACGCCCTTTTGTCTTTGCCTTCTCTAGTAGTCTTTTCCTCTCCGCTTCCTGCTTCCTGATACGCCTATCCTTTCTTTCATACTGCCTAATCAAGGCCTCGGGTGGACCGCCAAAGATACTTTCATATTCGCAAAATTCGCAAATCCAAATATCTTCAGGATTGGGAGGATGATTTATGTTCTGATATTCTTGTTGTTGACGACGCTGGCGAGCAGCAATTTGGTATTCTTTGCTTGCTCGACGCCGAGTTCTTTTTGGTGGTGCGGTTTGTGGCACATTTTGCTTCTGTGTATGCGCTGATTGTTGCGATGCAGCAAAGCCTTGCTTAGCTTGTGATCCATAATTCTGCATGTTTGGGTTTGTTTGAGTTCCAGGCGTCATCATCGACCTCGCAGCTGGACTTTGATGCATATTTAGAGTATTTGGCCCAGGCCATGGTACCGCTGCGGGTACTTGAGAATCGCAAGTAAAAGTGAATTGAGTAGAGGTGGGGGTCGGTTTCTTTGATGCCTGCTGTTGCAATAAACTGATATTCTCTTGCCCTCGAGATGGATTTATTGGACTTTCTTTCTCAGCATTCGCAATCGCAGTTGTGATGATACCTGCGCTTTCGTCTTTGTAAAATTCGTAAGTATTAAGCGCGGTTTGAAACTGATGTGAGTAAAACTTACTAGGTGTTGGCCACGGGGGTTGTCGTTGTTTGGAATTGCGACCATTACCCCAATTACCCGAAACATCAGATAAAGTTCTTAGTGGACTTCTGCCATTGCGATTTCGGCCATATCTGCCTCTTCCAGGACCTGACAATCCTTGAGATACCGAGCCACCAGCATGGTAGTATCCTGCACCATTGGCATCCTCCTCGTCTGGACCAGATATTCCCATGCCTGCTAAGTCATTTGAGAGGTGAACTCCATTCATATTGGAATCTCCAGGTGTGGGAATCTTGCGTTTCTTTTTGTTATTTGTATTTTCAAACGAGTCATAACCATCCGCAGATGAAGCAATTGAGCCAGGAGGGTGAGGATTTGGGTGTTTTGAATCGGGTATTTGAACAAAGCGGTAGGAACGACCAAAGTTGTCAGTCGATTGTCTTGGGTAGAGCCGTGTGGTACGGTAAGCCTCCTCGTCGTCACTTTCTGGATCTTCTCCATTCCGCCGCGGGATATAGTTTTGATCGACAATATCTACCTGGGGCTGCTCATTTGGGTGCGAAGACTCTACCAAGGTACTTGCCGCAACATCGTCTTGTACAGTATATGGGTAATAAAACAACGGAGTTTGAGTTTTGGGTGCGGGCGGGTATTTGATTGATTCGGCGACATTGGGAGAGAGGCGTTCACGAAGACTTCTCTTGGGTAGAGGTCTGATGGGACGATCTGGATGTGCCGGCGATACAACTTCTGGAGACATGGCTCGTGATGATTCGGAGGGAGAGTAGCCTAGCAAGCATTCAAATACAGAGATCAGCCAATGTAATATACATGAGACAAAGCCCACCATGATTCCAGTCGTCATAAGAGAAAGTGTTGTTGTTTGCTGCTGCCAGATTGGAAGTCAAAAGGTGGCGGAATCAATAATAAAAGGTGCCACGCTATGAGAATTTCATACTTGTGTTCATCACCGAGAAAGGGGACATGACATGCCAACTACCTCCAAGACTAAATTTGCGCTCTTCTGAGGGTTCGCGTACGGCAGATTTGTTTTCGAGATGAGGGGCAGAAATAATTTTTGGTTGATTCTCCTTGAACTTTCCTTTCCTACAATGAACAACAAACACATCAGCCAGAAACTCGCATATAGAATAGGGAAGTAATGACATGTAATTTGTCATCCCTATTCCCAAATCAAAAGCATGAAATCCTAACCATCTCAAGAAACCAAACATGATTTTCCTTTTTAACGTCTGAGGGAGATGTTCGTATGGAGGTGCATACTTATAATTTAATTGCAGATGCAGGTGCAGAGATGCTCAGCAATGATTTTGAGGGAGGGGAGGGGGAAAGAAGCCCTAGGAAGATTTATTGACGACTCTCAACCCCACGGACAAACAGAAGTAAGTCTGTGTTTATCTTCTTATCCAATGGTAAGGTTACCCTTCTTGAAAAATGGAGTGACTGTCGAACAATGAATATTCAAAATGCGTACGGGAAAGTAGAGAGTAATGTCGACGATCGGATTGACCACTGGGAATTGTGAAATTTGAGGATGTATTGAATTTATTTTGTCAACAATGACTTTAATAAGTAGTATGTTTTCCTTCCTAATACATTGGACCTTACTGAGTTGGAGGATGGATGTTGATGATGGGTTGTAACTTCTATTAGCTAGGATATCTAAGCTAAACTTAAATAGGGAAGGTGCACGTAAATTGAAATGGCAAGAGTTTACGTGATTGGTCGGTGATTAGATAGTTACTTTATAACAAAAACATATGAAATAGCTAATAATTGATACTGAGTATATACCTAATAGGTACTAGATAGCTCAATTGGTGAATTGTGAATATACCTATCTAGGTACCTTTTAGCTATATATGGTACTCATTCATTGGCTTAGTCATTTATTAGTGGATACTTTTCGCTCTCTCATTCCTCCGAACGGAATTTGGCCTATCCTATGCGGCTATTACCTAGGTACTAACACAATGCCAGGGAATTTGGAGTTTGGCGGGGATGAAAGAGCAGCCGAAAGAGCGCAGCTTGATTTTATTATTTCCTCTCGCTCCTCTCTATCCTCACTATCCACTACTCGCAGTCATGATTACACCAATAAACTATTTACCTTCTTATTTATCAGATCGCATGTCTTTGAGTTCCAATTTGGTTCTTTGAGCTCTACTCGATACTCAATCAACTTCAAACTTCTCGCTACCTTTCTTTTAATCTCATTTTACCCTTGGTTCAGGTCTGGGAGACTGGAGTTAAAAGCTTTAAATCGACGTAGGAGGAGGACTTCAATTACACACTCAATTCACAAACTCACACAATACATACGCGCTCGAGATTTACAAGATTATTAATCTAGTTCGCACACATCCGGCACCTCGAATTCGATATTTACTCTGTACTATTATAATAACTTGGGATGGATACTACTAGGCGTTCGTCAAGGGCCGCTCGAGGCAGCCAACCTTCTCAATCAACTTCACATCACTCCTCAGCTTCCTCGAACTCTTCAGGTCGCGCAGAAAGATCTACTCGTTCAAACAATAAAGTCGAACCGGCACGAAAGTCGACTCCTTCTGCTTCACTGTCCTCGGATTCTCCTGACGACGCAACTACGGCCGAAGATAGTTCCTCGACACGTCGAAAGCGAGGCCGAGCTGATGGAAGTGATAAGACATCAAAGGGACAATCGGTTGAAGAAGACACATTAATTGGGGTAGATGGGGCAGGCGATGACGATGAAGCTGTTCGATGCATCTGCGGTCATGATGAAAATCCTGGACCACCATCACTCGAGGGCGAAGATAACAAGAATAATACAAAAGATGGAATTGATGAGCCCGTCATAACAGCAGCGGAGTTCACAGAAGATTTGGCTGGGTTCTTCTTGCAATGCGACGTTTGCAAAGTCTGGCAGCACGGCGTATGCGTTGGAATCATAAATGACGATGCAAGCCCCGACGAATACTTTTGCGAACAATGTCGCAAAGAACTTCACAGAATCCGTACAGCTCCAAATGGGTGAGTCTTTTATTCGCAATATTTACATATATCCCCATCTCGAGAGATTCACTCGAGTTGTCAGCATCGACGCGAGACCGTGGCGCAGATCAAAGTCTCACAAGGCTGGTTGCTTCAATTGTGCAGAACCTTTGACAAATAATTCCTACCCAAGAAAAGATTGACCACAATTCTGACATCATGGATCGCAGACAACGCTACTCGCTATACCTTCCTCTTCATCCAAGTCTCTCCAGAACGACATCTCGAGCAGGTTCATTCTCAAAAGACGGCACGAGATCACCGAAAGACGGCAGGAGTCGCCCCACCTCCAGCTCTACAAGCGCAAAGAGACGCTCGACAATGAATAGCAGAGACGCTGCGTACGATGCAGCTGCAGAAGCAGAACAGATTCGACAAGCTATAGCGGCTAGTGTGGCAGAAAATAACACTGAAAGTGTTGACGGTCGGAGTCGCAAAGCAAAACGAGGCCGAAGTGGTAGCGAAAAGTAAGTAAACGACATTCCATACGTAAAAAAATGTTTCTAATTACTCTCAATAGCAAATCTGAAGGACCAAAGAGACAGCGAACAGACTCAGCTTCTTCTACACCTGAAGATGATGAAAAGCCACAACAAACCACTCAAAGATCTGTATCTCAAGCAGTATCTGAGGACAGCGCGACTTTAACAAATGGTCGAAACGGAGGCGTCAAGAAGATTAGGGGAGCGGCAGCTAAGAACCACAGAGAAAAAGAACTAAGGGAAGAACGAGAAAGGTCGAGGGTGGAAGCTGCAACTAAAAGAAAAGGTCGAGCTGAACGTCGAAGGATCGAAGGTCAGTACACCCCAATACATAATGATGTAGCAATAACTCACAGTCACCCAGATTCAGAACCTATTGAAGAAACCCCACCGGCAATCAAGCCTTCAAATAACAAGACCCCTGAGGTCGCTGCTCAACCCCCAGACCCGCCTCCAGTGCCACAAACGATAGCACCAGATACACCCCCTCCAGTTCTGCCACCGGTGTCGCACAAGAAGGGCGGCAGACCTCCTAATCCTCGGAAGGGCAAATCGGGCAAGAACCAATATACTAAGGACAAGGACGATAGCGGTGTCGGATCTCCCAATCGATCTCAATCTAGGGATATTCTACGTATAGACGATAATGTGCAGGCGACGATTAGTAAGGGGTCGAACAATGAGAGCAAATCTAGCAAAGCAAAGGCTAGCGTAGGAAGCAAAATTAGTATGGCCGAGATGAGGAAACGTGCCGCAAGTATTCTTGATTTCATATCCCGAACTCAAGTCGAACTCGCCAGCGATCCGTTCATGCTTCCAAGTGGGAGCGGGGCAGAGAAATTTATGCGGGAGCTTGTCGAAGAAACTCTCCCTTTAATACAAGTTAATGGCGCACATGGCGCAGAAAGAACAAAGGTGGCCGCAGGGGAAAGCGATTCGGCAAAGGAATTCAAAGATCTAACATGCCTGGAAATGATGGACATTTTAACTAGACAATTGGTCAAATGGCAAAAGGAGTATGATGTATGATATCTTGCGGGTCACTGAATATGGGGGTTTTGATTAATGGTTTGGGTTAGGAGTTTTTATGTATATCATGGGTTTCGAATGGCTACACGGCGCCCAGAGGCATATTGATTCTATACCCTCCTTCATGGCTACCTTAGTTAACGGTATCGACATACTCTCATCATAGAGTGTATAAGCTTACTTCCCAATTTCTAGTGACTTGTGAGCGATATTTGAGTGGTTCAGTTCTTCGAGTATCTACCCAAGACAGGGCGTACTGTACACCCCGCGGCTGATAATGTGATAAGCGTCGGCCAACTCAAAAGAGCAAAACTTTCCGATTGTGTATGGTAACACCGCAAATCTGCAGGCAGGCCGGATAGGATAGATACCGTATTGGCACATGCTGACTGGCAGACACAGATACCGCTGATGTGTATATCCATAACCTCTTCCATGCTTTCAACGTCTATATCTTGAAATACTTGAAGAATAGCTTTGCTTGTCTTTCTATCCTGCTCCAGATCGACTTACATTGCAATATCAATATCCGCTGATCTATATTCGCCAACTAACCTGATCGAGCTCATAATCGCCCACCCTCATGAATTCACGTTTTAAACTGAATGCTTCCATGGATCTAGAAGTCGTGGGAAAAGTAGCCATTATCACCGGTGCCGGCTCGGGTATTTCCCCTATCTTATCTCTCTCTACCTCCCCCTCCTATTCAAACCCTCATAATAAACCTACAGGTATAAGCCTCGCACTCGCTACGCTCCTCCTCGCCAGAGGTTGCAATGTTGTGATTGCCGACGTAGCCCTTCAACCAGCTGCGACCCAACTCCTGCATACCTACACGAAAGCCTCTCCTGGAGATCCTAGCACCTCTTCCAGTTCTTCGCACCCCTCTAGCCCCTCCATCTCTTCACATCCACAATGTCTCTACCACCCCACCGACGTGACCTCCTGGCCCGCCCTCACACAGCTTTTCGACTATACCCTTTCCCACTTCCCCTCTGGGATCGACATACTCGTCCCAGGCGCCGGTCTCTTCGACCCCCTCTCCTCCAATTTCTACCATCCACCTGGCTCCCCCCTCTCCCGCGATACCCATCATCTCCATTCCCCCTCTTCCGCCGAAACCGCCAACGAAACGTTAGACTCACACTTACACTCACCTTCTGAAATACATGCAACACCAGGCTCGTACCACACATTAAATGTCAACATTACGCATCCCATTCGATTAACACAGATGGGCATTGAATACTGGACGAGAGAGGGAAGAAGCGGAAGAGTTATTTGTCTCGGGAGTGTAGCGGGACAGATTGGCGTCATGGAAACGCCGCTGTATCATGCGAGTAAATTTGCCGTCTCGGGTTTCGTGAGGAGTTTGTGCGGGTTGGAGGATTTGGGGATTAGGGTTGTGGCGATAGCGCCGGCGGTGGTGCAGGTTTGTTTTTGTGTTTCTTGTTCCTTTGCCCTGCTTTGTTTTCTCGTGTTGTGCGCTTTTTTGTGGAGGAATGCGAAAGGAAAGGAGTGGTAATGATGTGCAGCGAGGTGAATAAACCAACTAATCGAGTAACTAGTCACCCCTCTGGTCCCATCAACCTGATAAAATGAGAATGTTAACCAGCGATCAAAAATGGATTGCACCGGAAACAGTCGCAGAAGCCATGGTAGAACTGCTTACTCAGGAAAAATATGTGGGAGGGACAATATTGGAGGTGAGTGGGAGTGGGACGAGGGTTGTTAAGATGGTTGGGGTTAGTATCGTTTCGTTTCGTTTCGTTTCGTTCTGTTTCTGTTTCTATTTGATTATTTTTAAAAGGGGTGGGCGGAAGTTTATATATGGATATGCAAAGAGAGATAGAAACTAATGCGTATGCATTTCATATAGGATGAAGGACCGACGTTCGAGTCGGGATATATGATTGGGAATCTGGATGGGTATAAGGAGGAGATTTATACAAAGTTGCGGGAGGGGAGGATGGGCTTGTGAAGGTATGTGATGTGAATGGGTTAGGGGAGGAGCAGGTGAGGGGACTCTGAAAGTTAAGATGAGGATAGGGAAAGGAAATCAGAATACTACGTTCATGAGTATTGGGATCAGCTTCAACAGCTGAGTCCTGTGAATGTACTAGAGGATATTTTGTTTTGAATAACTGTATGTGGAGTTTATGATATATAAAACTTTCTCAAAGCATTGCTATGGTATAATACATATGGTATTATGCCCATCTCTACTGTATGCTCAAATGCAACAAATTGATTCCACTCTTCAAGCACTGAAGCCACTATACTCTTTGTTGAAAGCTCTTCCTATAACCACTTTCCTGACTTCAGTGGTTCCAGCACCAATTTCGTAGAGCTTTGCATCCCGCAATAATCTCGAAGCTGGCATTTCTTCCACATAACCCATTCCCCCTAACAATTGTATACAATCTAGCGCGACTTCTGTGGCCCGCTCAGCCGCATACATAATTGCTCCAGCACAATCTTGTGTTCTGATATTGCCTGTTTCATCAACAGTCCGTGCTGTATCATATGTATAAGCTCTTGATGCTTGCAACTTTGTATACATATCTGCGAGCTTTCCTTGAACAAGCTGGTTATGTGCAATTGGTTGACCGAACTGCTTGCGCTGATGTGTGAATGGAAGTGCCACATCCAAGGCAGCTTGCATGATACCCAACGGTCCGGCACTCAACACTAATCTCTCAATGTCAAGTCCTTCCATAAGTACCTTGACCCCCTTATTCACCTCTCCCAAGATATTCTCTTCGGGCACAAAAACCCCCTCAAAAACCAATTCTCCAGTATTACTCCCTCTCATCCCCATCTTATCCAGTTTCCTCGCACAGCTGAATCCCTTAGATTCTTTATCGACTATAAACGCCGTAATCCCCTTCGAACCCTTTTCAGGCTCTGTCTTCGCATAAACCACGACAACATCTGCGTCCGGCCCGTTGGTGATCCACATCTTCGTTCCATTTAATACATATCCCCCATCAACCTTCTTCGCCGTAGTCCTCATACTAACCACATCACTCCCGGCGCCACTCTCACTCATAGCCAACGCCCCAACTTTACTCCCATCAATCAGCCCCGGCATATACTTCAATTTCTGTTGCTGATTCCCATTCAACTGGAATTGATTCACACACAATTGCGAATGTGCAGCATAACTCAAACCAATACTACCCGAGGCACGAGATATCTCCTCCATGACAATACAATGCGCTTGATATCCCATAGCAAGTCCACCCACATCTTCAGAAGCGGTTATACCGAGAAACCCTGCATCGCCGAACTTTTTCCACATGTCATTGGGGAATGCATTCGATTTGTCTGTTTCAGAAGCGAGTGTTTCGGGTATTTCTCGTCTTGTAAATTCTTGAACTCGTTCGCGGAGCTCGATCAGATCGGCGGAGTTTGGTGGCTCGAAACCAACGGGGTGTTTGGACGATGCATTGCGCCGGCGGATTGTAGATACAAAGATTGAGGGTTTAAGATGGAGATGAGATATGGGCCGAGTTGTGAAGGGCCGAAGACATCTTACTGAGAAAGACATGTTGATTGTAATATGTTGTAGGAACTACTCGTAAAATGAATGTTATACATTGATAAACTTTTGTAGAAGTATACAAGTGGGACCCCTCCTTAAGCTTGGGCCATTGCGGTTCCCCACGGGGTAAGAAGGTTTAATTAATTGTCATTTTCCGTTCTTTTTTGCTGAAATATTCTACTCTACTCGAGTATTTATCAATACATATTATATCAAGAGAATAGAATACGTTTTACTTTTAGATATATCAAATTCTATTGATTTCGAGTCTTTTTAACAAAATAAATAAAGTAGAATTAAACTTGAAATCCTTTAATAAAAGTTTTAAAAGTCAAAAAGTTTACAAAAAGTTTAAATTTAATAATATTAGTTATATAAAACTGTTTTCTTATATTCACAAGAAGTAGTATAGAATGTATAGATTATATAACTAAAAATTAAATAAATGAGCGTGGAAAATAATCAAAGTAGTCAGCCCTAGTAAGCCGCCTATAACCGCAATGTGCTGCTCCTCCCGCTTCATCCTCCACGAGCACTTGTGTCAAACAAACAATAGTTCAACCAAATATCAACCAAATATCTATGTAGATATTTTACTTCTTTGCTGCCACTGCAGCTAACCTTCATCACAATGACTTCTCTTAGAGCATCCAGAATTATTCCCAGTTTGACTAGGAATTCTCTTAGACCAGTATTTCGCAAATCAACCCCCATTCCTTTCCGAACGGTAGCTACTTACTGTCCTCCAACCCAAGCAAAAGCAATATCCGTCCTTCCCACGAATGTCGATCCCTCTTCTGAGGAATATACTCAAAATGAATCTCAAATGAAACCTCTCCTCGATCACCTCTCGTCTCTCACCGCTAAAATACACTTGGGTGGTCCTCCTAAAGCACGTGAAAAGCATATTGCACGTAGGAAGATGCTTCCCAGGAATCGCATTACTGCACTGATAGATCCGGGTACATCATTTCTGGAATTGAGTGCATTGGCGGGCCATGAACTTTATCCTGAGGCGGATGTACCTGCTGGTGGGATCATTACGGGGGTGGGTGTTATTGAGGGAGTGACTTGTATCGTGGTTGCAAATGATAGTACGGTGAAAGGGGGGTCTTATTATCCAATTACTGTGAAGAAACATTTGAGGGCACAGGAGATTGCTAAGGAGAATAATCTACCGTACGGTTTTCTTCAATTGATACAAACGTTCGTCACGTACTAATATTTTACAGATGTATCTATCTGGTAGATTCAGGAGGAGCGAATCTTCCACATCAAGCAGATGTCTTCCCAGATCGAGAGCATTTTGGTCGAATTTTCTTCAACCAAGCAAGAATGAGCTCAATGGGAATCCCACAGATAGCTGTGGTTATGGGTCCTTGTACAGCAGGTGGTGCTTATGTACCCGCCATGTCTGATGAAAGTATCATTGTCGGCGAACAAGGTCATATCTTCCTAGCCGGTCCTCCCCTGGTCAAAGCCGCAACTGGCGAAATTGTAACAGCTGAAGAACTCGGAGGAGGAAACATGCACAGCTCCGTATCTGGCGTAACAGACTATCTCGCCGTCGACGACGCTCACGCAATAGTTCTCGCTCGCCGCTCTGTTAGCAACCTCAATTGGCCTTCCAAACCCTTTCCACCCCCAACATCCTACACTGAGCCCCTCTACTCTCCCGAAGAACTAACCGGTATCGCCACCACTAACCTCCGCAAACCTTTCCCCATTCACGAAGTCATCGCTCGCATTGTAGACGGCAGCGTCTTCTCCGAATTCAAACGCGACTACGGCTCCACCCTCGTCACAGGCTTCGCCCATATCTACGGTCACAAAGTAGGCATCGTAGCCAACAACGGAATCCTCTTCTCTACCTCTTCCCTCAAAGGTGCCCATTTCATTGAACTCTGCACTCAGCGTCAGATCCCTCTCATTTTCCTGCAAAACATCAGTGGGTTCATGGTAGGCACCGATGCCGAGCGCGAAGGTATTGCAAAAAATGGCGCCAAACTCGTTACCGCAGTCGCATGCGCCAACGTACCTAAATTCACCGTAGTTGTCGGTGCCAGCAACGGTGCGGGTAATTATGGCATGTGTGGTCGAGCATATAGTCCTCGATTCTTGTGGATGTGGCCAAATGCACGGATTGGAGTGATGGGGAGTGAGCAATTGACGGCGGTTATGGAAACGGTTGGGAAGGCGGTGGATCCGGAGTTGAGGGATAGGATTGATAGGGAGAGCGAGGCCGTTTTCTCAAGTGCTAGATTATGGGTATGTTATCTTCCGTGGATGGAATGGAAGCGAAGTGACTAATCAAATGTATAGGACGATGGAGTTATCCCACCAAGTCATACAAGAAAGGTATTAGGACTGAGTTTGATGGCTGCGTTGGGTGGGAAGAATGAACCGGTAGAAACTAAATTCGGTGTTTTCAGGATGTAAAATTAGTAACCTGGGAGCATCTTCGCTATACCGTTGGTCAATTTACAAAATGTTCGCCTGTTTTGCTTCAATGAAGTGTACAATTGAATGAATTCGGATCGCCCCGTATTTCCAACATTTTACAACCCCAAATAGACCAAAAAGGATTATCAAAGTGAGTTCCCGATGGCCTCTATAAATACTTATAATATGAAGGGATTTTGTCGTACTGTATGTATGTATGTACATTCCTTCGAGTCATGGAATGTTGGTAATGGGAATTTCTCATGTCGTGTTAAGTTCTAGCCTTGTCTGTACAGCGTGTTGTATTCGGACACAGATTGAGCGGTCATACTATATATAGCTTGTCGATATATTCATTTTTCGGGAATATTTCTATACTATTTATACTATACGTACCTTTCGTATAATAGGTTGAATTGAATTGAATTGAAGATCAAACAGTTTGTGTTGAGCCATCTCACTGCGTTTCTTCCTTCTCCTTCTCATTTAAATCCACCAGTGTCTTGTCTCGCTACCATAGTAAAATGTTGTAGAACCGTTATGTTACAATAGTTAGCAAACTTCACTAACTGTGCCTCATAAGTGCAATAATACCCACGCCGTCTTGTAGCATTCTCAATAATTCCTATTTCCTCATCCTTATAACGGGACTCTGCAGCATCATTTCGCTAATGATAAGTTTAATGGGGATTCTATTTGGGGGGGTCGTAAACATTCAACTCTATTTTAGCATTGTATATATACCTAGATAGATATGTGATCATGATATCCTCCTGCCAGGCTCTTCGTAAACTATCCTCTATACTTCCTTCTCCGGTTTTCTCGTTGAACTTCTTTCATTGGTCTTTCCAGTCATTCATTTCTGGTACCAGTATCACATACAGTCTTTACCATGTCTCCCATCAATTTGGTCTTCAAGACCGCTTTCATTCTTTCATCTATCTCAACATCTTTGGCTGCAATTTGCAATGCCCAAACTAGGGCCTCGGGGTATTCCTTGGGGGAAGATTTGACAGCACTCCTCGCTTCTGGTGACAAGATCTCCAATTTTTGCTTGGAGAATATGACCGGAAAGACAACAGGGAGCATCAGCTTCTCAAGCTTGAAGGCGAGTATTCAAAGACATATCTAATCAATCATACTAATAAACATAGATATCCATCGAACGGAGCGATAGCTCTGCTTCCATCCTCGAGCATTGCACTGAAGCCATCGAGGACATCATCTCTCAATGCATTGAACCTTCCAAACCAGGAACTTATGGAGGAAGCCTCACATTCGATAACGGAGAAACATATACAATCATCAACCAATTGTATCCTCGAGCACCTACCATCTCCGGAATTCTGGAGAACCGAGCTGTGCAAAAGCCCCCCAAAGCCCCTAAAGCTACCCAAGCACCACCTGCAAAGACTACTCCCAAAACAACCCCAAAAACGACCAAGGAACCCGCAACTACAAGTCTGAAAACTACGCAGACTACACCAAAACCAATCGAGACTCCAAAAACCACGGGTCCAAAAACCACACAAACTACCCCCACTACATCGAAATCATCAACTGCCAAGACGAGTTCAGCTTCAGAGACCCCCAAAACAATCTTACCATCCACCAGTTCAAAAGCTAAGGATATTGAACCTACGACTTTGAAATTCTCAAGTTCCAGTAGTATTTTATCAAGAATAACTTCTCTATCTAGCTCTTCTAGCCTTTCTTCCACAACGAGTTCCACTAAAGAAAGTACTACGAGCACCAGCACGATCTCTAAATCATCAATCCCAACTTCATCTCCATCGAGCCTCTCTTCCACTACGAGTTCAACAGAAGAAAGTAGTACAAGTACTCACTCAGCCTCTACATCTTCGGTTTCAACGGAATCCTCATCGTCAATTTCCTCAACTAATGTTTCTTCCGTCAACAGTCCTTCAACTACCCCTATCGGCTCCACTCCGATGAAGTCAATTACAACCTCGAGCAATACTCAAGAGTCGACTTCAATTCTCCATTCGAGCCTCGCTATATTATCCCAATCCCCACCACCAAGCAGTATTGCACAATCCAGCCCATCGAGTAAACTCGTTACTCCGACATCAGAAGCATCCCTCCAAATTGTGGAGTTGTCCAGTGCTCACTCGGTGTCCAGTGTGATTGAACCTACCCCACTGAAAATTTCATCGCAAATAAGTACCTCAGCGACTAAAATCTCCATTTCTGACACTCGAACTGGTGCTATATCGAGTGGTTCCATCTCGGGTAAGACCGAATCGAGTTCTGTATTGAGTAAATCAAAATTAGAATCAACTAAAAGCTCCAGTTCAATGGCATCTGCTGCATCCAATTCGGATAGGTTTGAACTGATACCGACACCGGCACTAGAACCAGCTACCTCTCCAGGACAAAGTATTTCCAGCAGTGCCTCAACGAGTAGTCTCATCTCAAACCCTTCTCTTACCTCCACTTCTGTTCCCATTGCCACAGAATCCAGACTCACCGGGACACCCGCTACCAGCCCAATCTTGTCTGGATCATTGACTGGTTCTTCAACGTCAACTAGAAGTTCTAGTCCTATTCCCGAAGTCACACCTGGGCCATCTATCACCAGTTCTTCGACTATTGCTTCTCCAGTCTTCGCTAAATCATCAAGCCCCGCTGCTCTATCTAGCACCGCCGAAGAGAGCAATGTAATTCCTGCCTCATCAATAACGCCCGGGGTCTCGAGCGCATCTCTCATATCGTCAGCACAGCCCGAAATCACCCCTTCTCCCCACGAACCATCGAAATCTGGAATTTCTCCATCAACTTCAGATTCCGAGCCCACTTCCCAGGCAGTTTCTACCGGATCCCTTACATCTTCCATGGAACCCGAGATCACCCCCTCCCCTTCCGATTTGCCTGCTTCTGAAACCATCACTTCATCTCCTTCCTCCTCATCCTTCCCAACCGAACTTTCCCCAGCAGAAACCCCGGACAGCAGTCCAACGGACTCCACCCTCGTTTCTCCCACTTCATTAGATTATTCACCCGCCTGTTCAGCCACAACAGGGAGCAACTGCTCCACATGTTACCAATACACCGGCTCCGGCGATATCTCCTCCCCTACCTCCAACTATACCAATCTTCCATCCCGTGACTTGCCACCATCGATCGCCGGTCGAATATCTACCTCTCAATTAAACCCAAAGCTGTCCAAGCGAGGCACGGAATCATTTACCTCTTTCGACCCTACTAGTTCGTGTGTTTTTGGCCAGGTGGAAATTCCTTCTATCCCAGGTGCGTATACATTCCCACACTTACCATGTATATTTCCCAGAAGAAAGTGTTTTAGCTAACGACAAAATATACAGATCCATCTATTTTGGTCAGTAAAGCAGGTCCTCAAACACAATACTGGTATGTTTTGCAAGATGTCGCCGTGAATGGAACAACTTGTCCTGTGCTTGGTTTTACAAAGGTTTCGGATGGAGCACTTGCTTCTCATCTGATAAATCCAAATGCGGTTGGATATACGAAGGCCGGAGCGGGAATCGCCTGGAAAGCGGATGCTCCTAGTAAGTTCCCCTCGTGAAATAAGCTGTGCATTGACTAATAGGGCTTCTAGTTGTTAATGTAGATCGTGTTTGTAAGTACTTGTTTCTGTGATTGAAGCAGTGTGAGAGTATCAGGCTAATGATAACAGATGATTCATCAATTTTGCAAGGCTTTTTTGCAAGCACAGTTAATGGCAACAATTGTGCAGCTTTCAAGGCTATTTTCGATCAGCCGGATGCTGATAACGGAGGAAAATCAAGGTTGCAGAATATTTGGAAGTAAGTTCAAAGATGCCCATGGAAATCACATCCAACAATGTCCTGATCAAAATCCCAGCCAACTTCCTAGCGATACTAACCCCGACTATGCTGGAATGGATCAAAAGGTATGTTCCTCTTGAACCAAAAACAGGTCGAAAAGATATAACTAACAAGTCAAAAGATAAGCACCATCAAAGCAAACATCTTTAGAGGCGACTTGCAGCAGAGTTATACGAACAACGACGAAAAATTGGCATATATTTACGAATTGGCCGTCGCAATGGCCATAACCAACAATGATGATTTTGCCTCCCTTTTCCAATACACAAATCTTCGCATCTACCAAGCACTACTTGGTATTGATGCAGTGATTGGGGCTTCCAATTCTACTCTCATGCATCCAGATGTAAGTATTACCTTCTGTGCATGGTCACTTCTCCATATGAACCTCTTGATTCCCTTTGAAAAAATCAAAAATTAATCCTCCCTCTTTCTCCCCAGTGGGCACTCACCTACCGTGCCTACATCACCAACCTCCTAACAGCCCGTTCCTCCGCCATCCTCTCACAAGTCTCTGGTTATCTCGACAATGATCTTGGACCTAGCGCTAGAAGCGATAATGTCACGCTTCCGGATGGAAGTGCTTCGACAATTGAAAATTCCATTGGAAATGGTGTGGATACGTTTTTGAAGGCGTATTCTATGCCTGATGCTTTCACGTTCGATCAGGAGAAGCTGTTGGGGTTTGCTGGAATGTAGGGTTTTGGAGAGAGAAGGAGGTGGTTGTGAAGGGAGAAGCGACAGTGATAATGGAGGCTGTTGTTTTATTTGATTATTGGTCATACTAAAGGTATCATGGTCATTAGTAGTTGTATTAGCTGTTTCTTGGTTGTTCGTTAAGTATTATCACTTTCATATTTTGTGTTTTTATATTAATTTTCAGAAAAACAAGAAATGAGAGATGACTTCAATACTGTACCCATTGGAACGAGCCTGATAATGCACGGACCATAGAATACAAGGCTGACAATAAACCCCCCTTCACGATATCCCACCACTCAACCCCTCTTACGTCGTACCTCATCATACCACTACACCAAACCAGGTCCAAGAATGAGTACCTCCCAAATAAACCCCCAAACGCAAACCCCCGCCAAAACCTTCCACTTTCCTCGCGAACACTCTTTCCCCCCCTTCTTCACCCTCCAGCCTACCTCCTCGACCCTACACGCCCAACTCCGCAAATGGAGCGATTTGATCCTCTCCTATTTTGCGTATCAAAGACTTTTCCGTCTTGCAGTATCTACGTTCTTATCTTCTGAGTTATTCAGAAACGAGAGGATCAACAGGAGATTGGATGAGGAGGGATTGCGGGAGGTGTTGGAGTTTATGAGGAAGGAGGGAAGGGTGGAGTGGATTGGGAATGGGAATGGGAAGGGGGCAGATGTATGTTGGGTTTGGTGGAGGAAACCAGAGGATTGGGCGAGGGTTATTGAGGAATGGGTTGATGGGACAGGGCAGAGGGGGAGTGTGCTGACGCTTTATGAGTTGGTTGAGGGGGAGGGGGGAAGGGTGCTGGTATGTTGTTTGTTTATTTTTCTTTTGGTTGTTTGGGATCGAAGAAAAGAGGTATGCTAATGGATGGGTGATAACAGATTTCCATGGCTTGGATGCGGAAATATTACAAAAAGCATTGGCAATATTGGTGAAGAAGGGAAAGGCGCAGATCTTTGGACAGGAGGATCAACAGGGTGTGAAATTCTTCTGAAGTGCAGAATTTCTTCTAAATATCCATATGGGGCTGGCATCGAGTTTTCATATTATGGCATAGCGGGGAAATATGGACTTTAGATATGAAAGGGCATTTGTATGTGTGTAATAAGGAGGGACCACTTCGTAGAAGCTTCATTAGCCCTCCACGGAACTTCATCCGCGCTGGTACCATCCCTCGATATTTCAGCAATCTCTCTACCAAAGATTCTCCGTACATTAGGGCCCCTCCTAATAAAGAAACATACAGATTGAAAGCCGAAATCCCTATATTACAACTCCAATCATTGCACACATACTCAACAGTGCGCAGTCTCACAGGAGAGTATTAAGAGACAAATCGACTCTTTCGGGAGCAACTCTGAACCCAAGATCGGGATCTGAATCAAACTACACTATAGCCAGAAGCTAGAAAAGAAAATTGGAAGCAATCGCTTTGCATAGCTTCCAGGTCTAGACCCGATGGGAAAAGATACAGTACATGTAGTTCCACAACCAGGGGGTAATGGTTGTTTCTTTTCCCGCTGTCGCCCGGGGAACGTACCGAAATTAGTTATTAGTTCTCTAGATTAAAAGCAACTAGATCAATTGGAAGCTTAGCTTAGCATCATCGCATCGCATCTGATCGTGTATGTATCCTCCCCTTTCTTTAGCAATAGGTAGGCTATTTATTGATGTTTGATCTGCGAGATCTTCTGCTGTTGAAGCTTCCAATATGTTTCTAGGTAGAAATAAGAATACTCGAGTATTGAAATGGGTGAAACAACTCATCGATAGAGTGGAACATATATATATTTTATTGTTTGTTTGCTTTTTTTTTCAATGCTTATACTGGTATGTACTGTCAGTCATTGTACTGATGTATTTTGTGTATATGTTTATACTACAGTAGGTCTCTAAGAGAGACCTCAGCATAGAAATCTAAAATTGTCAATTAATTTATACTACTCTTATAGGAGAACAATTCATCATGGATGTACTTACTGTACAGTACTCAGTATAAATAAAGGCTTATACAAATGATAGTTATAGTTCTTTACCCAGCGCCCCTCCTTGTCAGATCAGCAAGTTATGTTATATCTTAGTGGTTGATATTAGACCAAAGCCCCCTGTACCTAAGCCAAAGGAAGAGGCTTATGAGAGGTAGCTATGAATATGAAAGCCACGATTTTTATGAATCCTCAAATATTTGTTGTTGATTCTCCAATTTAAAGAGGAGTTGAATACATCAATTAATTCTTTGGTTTGATGTATTATTTGTGTGCTTGAGAGAAAGATAGGAAGATAGATGGTTTTAGAGTCAATTTTATTAGACATTTTATTAGTTGTTTATCTACGAGTAGGTACTCACTCGCTTGGAACTTGGAACTAAGGTTACTAGTACTATAAGTATCGAAGAAGATCCTCTTGAGATGATCATAACAATAATAGAAAAGAAGAGGGGGAATTGTAATAAATCAAGGAAAAAGACCGATTAATAAAACGATAGAAATCAGGGAATTCTCCCTTTGTAATCGAATAGTTAATCGTCAGAATCAGAATCATCAACAACAACTAGAAGGGATGTGCCGGTATATTTTGAACCAACCTTTGAAGCTACCTAATAAGTATCTAAGGTACTCACTTACTCCATGGATTCAACGAATGATAAGTTTAGGGTACCTGCCTGGTACCTGATGTTATTTCCACTTTTTATATAACTCGAGTCGGTACAATACCCATAGGTAAGTGTACTCGGTAACGTGTATTGTTTGTTGATTCGATGGCTTTTATCCCTTTTTCCCCCTCCTTTTCCTATCGACTAATTTTAGTATCAATGAGTGGAAACTTTCGCTGGAAAAGCCTCTTCTGCTATAGGTTATTCAGTAGTACTAGATAGAGTAGCTAGATACGATACTGGATTGTAGATTTATCACAAACAGAACGTCATTATAAGATATTTCATTTCTTGATTCCTCGTAGAAATAGTACTCGAGTAAATCCAGAAAGAGAATCGAATTGAATTATACAGTTTTATAAGTAACTTTTATTTATACCTACGAGTACTGTACAGCATCCAAGCATTTCAAATATCAGAGTCAGGGGGAAGGAGAAAGGAAATCCCCCAGTTTGTTTACTCGTTGAGTCGTAATCTTCTTCTACGATCCACCGATTGTTAAATGAAGCATTCGAATTGATCCACTGAAACATTTGCAATACAACAACTCAAGAAGGGTCGCGACCACCTTCAGAACATTCTACCTTGTCAATTGCGAAAGTGGGAAATATCTTATCTACCCGTTGTAATCAATTGCAATTGCCATCCTCTCCTCTTCCTTTTCTGATTTACCTTTTTCCCCCTCTACAAACTTCCAACCGACCCATTCCATCCCATTCCATCCCATCCCATCCTATCTAAGTTGGCTTCATAGCATCTCATCTCATCAAACGAACACTTCCCACCAGTGCAGTCAATACCTTTGCTTAACTTTCTCTCTTTCTTTCCTTATCTGAACGAATTCATTACGACCAAGATCCATTCCAAAGAGCAAACAGAGATATCATCATCCATCATTCATCTGAGAAGACCTCGACAGCTTTTACAGCAGCAACACCATACAATACAATACGATAAGATACGATAGATCAACAATAATAACATTTAATTTTCACGAATCACACATTCTTTCCATTCATTCATTCATTCATTCATTCATCACCATCGTTAATCAATAATCAAATCAAATCAAAACTTCCTATTTTATCTTTTTTGGCCTCTTTCTCATTGATTCAATCAAGCTTCAAAAGGTCTTCTTCTATCAATTCACCTCAATTACAATTACAATTAAAATTCTAGTTCAATTCCACCTTTCATAGATTATTGGATTGGATTGGATTGAATTGAATTGGACTCTTTGCCTTCCTTCCTCAATTTCCTTCGAAACCAGTCTCAGACCTGATAGATAATCCTTCGGTATACATAACATAATCAGGGGGGGCAGGTATCATCTCATCTTTTTGAAACAGCAATCATCGAACTTCCACTTCATCCCAACTATCAATTCAATACCGCCAAAATAGCTACCTTACGAGAAAACCATTATCCTCAAATTCCATCTTTTGAAGATGATATGAACTATTCAAATGATGCGGATTATCCAACATCAATGCCTGGTTCACCTCCCGAGCTAACGGGGTCTAAGTCCTCTAAATCCTCATCATTCCATTCCTCATACCAATCCGACAATGATGAGATTCTTTCCGATGTTAATAACTTCGAAGAGATTGGACTCGATGATGAATCAAGAATTGACTCGGAGATTGGTGATTTCGCTGTCAAGATGTCGATAAATCCATTTTCTTCCACATTTACAACCGATCTGCGAAGTCATGCGAAGCAACAACGACAACAACGAGTTCCAATGTCCATCACACAAGGAAATACTAGGATTCCAAGAGATTTAACATCAACTACAAAGGGTCGTCCAGGTTATCCAACATTAAGGTCACAGATAAGGAACGCGGCATCAGATGGCTTGGCAATCGTCCCTGTGCCAAGTTCATCGGCAAGAATTAGAAGGGGATTGAGTAGTCCCAATGCACCTGCATTACCGACCACACTTACACGACAGCGAAGTCTGAGCCCAAATGTTTCAAGCACAAGCCCAAGGAGTAGTGTTTCCGGAGGATCCGCCAAAGGAAGAAGGGGCAGTTGGGTCTCAAATAGAGACAGAAAAACTATACAGGAGTTAGAAAAGGAATGCGATGAGGATGATGGAGATGATGTACCTGACGAATGTCTTTTGGAAAACGTGCCGATATCACCACGACCTCCCCAAGAACGAGCAAGTGCTGCACCATCAGCATCGACGAGCCCGGAAAGGCCTGTGAAGGAAAAATTGAAGCCACTTGGGAATGGTACTTCTGCGAAACCAGCAGAACAGGGAGAACTTAGATCACCAAGAGCTCTCATAACACGAGTCGCAACCACCGGACAATTTCCAACTAATATTTTTAATTCTAATAAACCACGCGCCAAGAGCTGGAACGAAGCTTTGTCGGATCTGAGCGAAGAAGCAAAGGCTTTGACGGAAGCCTTGGAGGCACATGCGGAGGATGAGCAAAGGAGGGATTCTGACCCTCGTAGCTTTTTGCGTTCAGCCAGCACAAAGCCAACGAGAGTGAAATCATCATTCGCCGAATTACCTCCCCTACGAAGAACCGAACTTATGATCGACCCGCTACCTATATCAAAGGAGAAAGAGGCAGTCCTTTCAAGGACGAGACCATCTTGGCTTCCTCCGAAGGATCCGGCTGAGGAAAGACGACATCTCAAGGAATATCAAAAGATGATGGCATCCGCAGAGAAAGTGGAACTCAAGAAAGAATCTGAAAAACGTAGCAAATCCACTTGTAGGGATGATACAGCAAGTTCACTGTTGAGGATCTGGGAAGAACATGTTTTGCCCAATTGGGATGATGTGATAAGACAACGAAGAACGAGAGAGCTGTGGTGGAGAGGCATAGCACCAAGAAGTCGTGGAGTCGTATGGACAAGGGCGATTGGGAATCCATTAGGATTATCAGATTCATCATATACTGCTGCTCTTCGAAGAGCTCAAGCTTTAGAAACGACAATCAAAAGTGGTTCTCAATTAAGTGTAGAGGAAGAAAGAAAGAAAGGTTGGCTTGAGCGAATTGAAAGGGATATCAAGGTGACATATCCTGAATTACGAATATTTCAACCCGAGGGACCTTTGCATGTGGCTTTGACGGATGTTCTCAAAGCTTATTCCATGTACAGGAGTGATGTGGGTTATGTGCATGGAACAAGTGTAAGCAAATTTCTTTTCTTATCATCTACTCTATATCATCAAGAACGGAAATGCTAATTCTTCCCTAGACAATTGCGGCTATTCTTCTTCTCAACCTTCCCGATCCTTCCGCATCCTTTCAAGCCCTTTCAAATATACTCAATCGGCCTCTATCCCTCTCCTTCCACACCAATGACTCCGGTGCCATCTCTCGCGTTTATGGTCTCTTCCTCACCACCCTCTCGCAGAAATCACCTCGCCTCCATGCTCATCTCACCTCGAAAGACCTAAATTTAAACCCAGACGTCTATCTCCGCGACACATTCGCTTCTCTGTTCACTAGTTCGGTATCCCTCGATAATGCCAGTAGATTGTGGGACATAGCGGTTTTTGAAGGTGATAGCGTGTTGGTTAGGGCCGCAGTGGCGCTTTTTGGTATGTTGGAAAGTAAACTCCATGCGGTTAGTAGTGATCGGGAGATTTTGGAGGTGCTGAAGGAGGGAATCGAGGCTGAGGGGTTAGAGTTGGGGGAGGAGGATTGGGTTGCGGCTGTTAGAGGAGCGGGGAAATCACGAGAGGGGATTTAAGTGTGGGTGGAGTGTGAGGTTTGGGGAGGAAAAGGTGGGTGGGATTTGATAAAGGAATTGTACGGATAGGGATATGGATGGGGATAGGCATAGGCACAGGGAAGGAAATGGAAGGAAATGGGACGGGATGATAGATTAGAGGGATTGTGTGCATAAGTGCCATCAATGAAAGTGTGGTCAGTCACATACCTGAGGTTTCCTTTCTTTACACACTTTATGTATGAGTTGAATGTCGGTTGCTCTTTTCTCGTTCAATATTGAAGAATCTTCAATAAATGTAGTTATAATGTACGAGTATTCGAGTACGGTATCACAATGTCTTAATATATCCGAATATTTACTCTAGTGATGTAATAATGTAATAATGTAATAATAATGTACTCGAGTATATCTATACACCTAATGTACTACTCGAGTATAAGTAAGACTACATTACATATATTTCTATAAGCTGCTGAGTATAGTAAGATGGATAGATAGATAGATAAGGTTATTTATTACTCAACGGCTATGATTATTGAAATGGATGGATGGATGAATGAATGATTTGGTGGATGTGCATGTATGCGGGATTTGGAATTTGGACTTGGACTTGGATGAGGGGGATTCGAAAATTTAGTTTAGGGAGGGAAGAGAAGGCGAAAAGGAGGGTTAGGACTCAGGAGAGGAGCGGGAGATTGGAGATTGGAGATTGGAGATCGGAGGGAAGGTTGGGGATGGGGGATGGGGAATGGGGAGGGAGAATGAGGAGATGGGGAGGGGGATGGGGAGGGGGATGGGGAGGGAAGGGAGAGATGAGGGAGGAGGAGATGAGGAGGAGATGAGGGGGTGGAATGGGGAGGTGGAATGGAGAGGGAATGGAGAGGGGGGGTGAGGGGGAGATGAGGAGGAGATGGGAGGTGAGGGGGTGGATTAGAGAGGTGGGAAGGAAAAAGGAGGAAGAGAAGAGAATAGAAGAGAAGTGCGAGAAAGGGGATAGATATGAATGGGATAGGATAGGGCAGGGTAGGGTAGGAAAAATAAAAAGAGGCGGGAGAGAGAAAAGGATCAGAAGGGAAAATGAGGGGAGGGAAAAATGAATTGGGAGAGGAAAGGAAAATACAGGAAGGAGAGGAAAAGAGTGGTTATTCATATCAAGTCTTGAATATTCTGCAACTATGATGTTTCTCGTGCCACATACGGCCGATCCGACTACCCTATGATCAAAATCGCCAACCCACTTCTATGCAAATCATCAAATCACCATACCAGAAATCTCCCAACAACCATCTGCACCCTCTCCTACACCCCCCCCCCCCCCCCCTCCTCTGCACCCTCCACCCTCATCCTCCGCATAATCCCTACAAGACATACCGGTAACCCGTACTCAAACACCCATTCCCCACCTCGGCGCATTCAAAACCAGACCCATTAGACACCCTGAAATGATGCCCGTAACCGGCAATGTAATAAACCAGCCTATATAAATCCAAGCCACCATTCTCCAATTAATACTCTTGACATCAGCATTTACCAAACCGACGCCCACCGTGGCCCCCACAATACACTGGGTAGTGGAAACCGGCAACGCGAGTCTCGTCGCCATCACCACCGTGATCGCCGAGCCTAGCTCCATGCAAAATCCTCGGGAGGGAGAATGCAGCGTTAGCCTGTTTCCTAGATTGCGCATGATGTTGTATCCGTAAGTCCAGAGACCGATGACGAGAGCGCCGGCTCCGTAGCAGAGGATCCATGGTGGTACTGGCGATTTGGATTCGATGGATCCGGTGTGCCATATGAAATAGATGGCGGCGAGGGGTCCAACGGCGTTGGAGACGTCATTAGCGCCGTGGGCAAAGGAGGCGGTGGCGGCGGTGAGTACTTGTAGGAAGGAATAGGTGTGTTCGGCTTTGTTGTCGTAGTGGGTTGCGCGGGCGTGCATGGCTTCGAGGTTGCCGGTTAAGATGGAGGATTTCTTTTGTTCGGCAATGACATCCACGTTGACGCCGTGGAAGAATATACTTTTGGCGCTGGTGAAGAGGCTAGGGGGGTCGTACCAGGGTTTGGTGGGGATTGATGCTTCGTTAACAATGATGGGGTCAGGTAAATCTCTTGTTGAAGAACCAATATCCGAAAAAGTAGGCGAGATAAATGATATTCCGTGTTTCTCATTCGCATCGTCATTTGATTTTGACTCAACATCATCACTTGTCACCGTCCTCATAGCATCCGATCCTTCAGCATCGAGCTGCGCCCTCGTCTTATGTCCTTTATAATAATTCTGAATGATTTCTTGTCCAGAAGTATTGGGGGGAACATCTCCGCGTTGAAGCAACAAGGGACCCTGAAGAATATGCCACCAACGAAATTGCCAATCATCTAGCACTAGTTTGCGGTGGAGAAAAGGGATAAGGAACATTGCGGATAGGAGAGCGCAGGCTATTGCGGTACCGAAAATTACTCCGATGTATTCGCCTGGACCCCATGTTTTGACATCTGCTGAGGCGGACGCGGCGCCTTTCCAGACGATGAGCACTATGTATGTAAGTTAGCTGAGGTGCCACAGGTCTTGGATTTGAAAGATATATGAATAGCAAGCCTACTGGTCAATAACCCGGTTGTGATTCCAAAGTAGAATGGAATACTGATAATAGCAGCTCGCACTGGATTTTTGCGTTTCATGACGCCGTATTTTGTGATCAGGAAAAGAATGGTAGAAAAGCAACCAGCGATTCCTGGTGCAATTATCCAAGCTGCAAATACTTGTGATACACCATCCCAACCCCAGACAACTCCATCCTTTCCGATCGCTGCAACTCCTACTCCTATCACTCCTCCAATTATGCTGTGGCTGTAGACTTTTTGAGCAAGATGAATGGTGAGTTTAGATTAGATAACACATACGTGGTGGAAACTGGAAGACCAAATCTTGTAGCTAGAGTAAGATACAGAGAAGAAGACATGAGAGCACAAGTCATTCCCAACATCAAGACAGATGGTTCTGCCTCGAAGGCCTTGGTTGAAAGTATTTTGCCCCGGATAGTATCTGCGACACGAGCACTGAGGACTCGTCAAAATCTGAAATGTTGATGCAGCTGCATGGTAGGAGAGACATACCCAACACCAACGGCACCACCAAATTCCATGACAGTAGCTATCATCATAGCTTGCTTCATAGTTAATGATCTGGAAGAGACCGAAGTGGCGAAGGAATTCGCAACATCGTTCGCCCCTGTTGCGGGTATCAGTAATGGGTGCTGATTGATTGGAAATAGAATTACTGTACCAATATTCCAAGCATCGAGGAAAGCAAAAATCATGCCAATGGCAAAGATATAATCAAATTGTTCTAGGACTGCCATATTGGTTTCGGCAGAGTAGACACTCAATTTCACAACATATATGATTTGGACTATATTGTATACCAGCCATATCTACGGGGAATCTACAACTATATGTTCACAAACGCAAAGATCTGGAGCTGCTACTTAATTTGCCGCGTCCTAAGATAACTTTCCATTGTCCAAGAACATCACACTTTGGGTCCTTGGAGATCTTGTATGCTTCTTGGTATTGAAAACTATTACCATTATGAACCTTCCGAGCTTCTAATATTCACTTTCGTCGACTCAACGTTGTGATACAGACAGCATGGATTTGACACCCAAGAAATCCCAAGACAGTCAAGATCTTGGCATGATAGTAGTGGAAGCTAAGCACTACACGTGGAGTCCCCGATAAATCTTATTGGAGAATAGACTTCAATTCAACATTGTAAGTTTGTGAGCCTGTGTTGGTAATGGTTTCCTCTAAGTTCTAACACTTGGGATTATAATCATAGCTTGAAAAGATGGGTGGAATGAACATGTGCGACCAAAGATTCTTAAGAGGCTATTGAGAAAATCGACAAATTGCAACTGTGGCAGCAGACAGACAGCCCAGTGGCTGAAAGCTGAAGATGCGAAGCACTTACTGCAATATCTAAAATTACCATTTCATAATGAGGTTATAACGGATGTGATAGCTCGAAGTGAACAAATGTTTCTTCGTGGATGCCATGAATATAATCGAGTACATGATACCTCCAGAAGTACTTCCACAAGAGGTCTGGTCATGTGATCGGGGAGTCAAATCAAGCTGTAGCTGATGCTCACGCAAATCGAGCGAAACGTTCCAGTAAGATTGTGAGCCAGATAAATCGGGTGGACGCCATATACATCAACCAGAAGAGCTTTTATGAAGAATACTGCACGTCCACTTGGGTCCGTAGGCTTTGTGATATATGAGATGAGAGCATGCTTCTCGGATCCTAGACAAGGAGACGAGACAAGATAACAGTACGGGTGGGTATGATAAGACTTTAAAGGGACGAATATTTGACATTGGTATACTCAGTACTAACTGTAGAATATCTCCCATCGATTCTTCGTAAATTACCTCGTCGATGATTTATAAGAATCTGCCCATGGCTGAAAGAATTATCATCTGGACACTTTTGTATGGTCAGATAGTATATCGGAAGGTAGTGCAAAGCCGCATCTCCCAGCTTTAGGATCGCCGCACTTCAAATGCTTTGCTTGTTCCATTTCATGAATTCATTTGCATGTGGGGGTTGTCTTGATGTATGTTTTTTTTTGGGGCGGGTTTGGTCATGAATCTAGGTGTTCTGAATCAATTATCAATTCTTAGGTTATTAGTCAGCTGTTTACCTACCCCACATTGAGGGCGAGTTGGCTTCCTGTGCAATACAAAACGAAACACACGGAGACTCGGTCCATTCGTGCAAACAAACATTCTTCAAACTCTTCCCAAGTCATTCATGCGGCTTTTCAAGCAATTGCTTCGATCCAGCTTTGTGCAATCCCTAATCCCGCAAGCTCTCCCAGAAACGAAGTCTGCGGGCTGATTCTGGCCGTTGGCAGAATACTTAGGTAATGTTAGTATATCAGATCTAAGAATACCAGTCAGTAACCTTACTAGAGGCAGAGCTGTTTAGAAATCGGGCATGCGTGGGAGGCTTGGTTTCCGCCCATTTCCTCAGAAGCATGGCTAATATGATGGATATGAGCTATGCTATTTCATATAATTCTACCATCCTTCATGAGGACTGTCATCAGCAGTACAAGGATTTACTGCACGCTTACTTTGTTTTGGTCAGCCTTGCAGTCATCATACCCGCAGATAAAGCCAAATGATCGTGTTGGTAGAGTATTCAATGTTCAAGATGAACAATTACATAACTGGAGATCCTCTTCTTGCTTGGGTTTCGTCAGTAAATTGCCGAGTGGCCTGAATTCACCCCTATCAATTTCAATGCCTGATAGCTGCGTATTCATTTGAGCATCTGATGATGAACTATACAGGTATAGTTACCTTGGTATTTGATCTCATCAACTGTACTCCTTGAACTGACCGAGTTTCTGAGATCCCTTGTAATGAGGCCCCAATTCCCCTTCCACCAGTTTTATTCCCGATATATCTTACGATCAATAGTGATCAACTACCAAGCACAATCATACACTGGGTAGTATACAAAATCAATTATATACGTTGCACCAGAGGGTTACGAAGTAAATACCGCTCAATGCAGTCTCACGGATGTTAGCCTGAAAGAAGAGTATATAAATGAGAAGTCACGGAAGGTACTACTGCAGTCAAAGTTCCGGAAACAATATTCCGATGGCTTTTTGATGGTTTATATTCGGGCCGTTGCGATTCTTGCTATGATAGTATCATTTTCCTTGATTTTGACAGCCGTTGTTATGTTCAGCAAGAACGGTGAAAATGTACCTAGAGCTGCCGCGATCACAGATTGTCCATGCAAGGTCAGGCCTTTACGAAACAGCGGCTATGAAATTGGCACTTAGTACTAGTTTCCTATGTTTGCCTTGTATATCATGCAAATTAGGTCCATCACAAGCATTTGATACTTTAGTATTGACTATAAATGTAGTTCAGAAAGTGCCGTCAATGCTGTATTCACAATCATCGTTGCAGTGAGTTTCGCTTCATCTATGGGGGCATGATTTTTTCTCAACAAAAGAAAATACCCTTCAGCAAGGCCTGCGGTAAGATTTCTTTTCTCTAACCATCGTCCAACCTAACCAAAGTCGGAAATGCGCATGCGAGAACCATAAGAAAAAAATTGTCTCCGATGCGCTTGACTTCAATCTGATCTGTGACATTGTCACTCAAGGCTGGAACCTTGGCCTCGTTCAAGCTAGTTTCGATCTCCTCACGTTTTTTGTAAGTGTCGCCATATGGATCTCGTTGCGATGAACCTTTATGACTCGCTATGGCAAGCTTGGTATCACAATCGTTTGATAGCTTGATATACCCATGCGACGGATTTATTCTTCATTGGCTCAAGGTTTCACATGCACAAAGGGGTTTTTTTCCTATAATTCCGGGCATCATCTATGTTCTACCGGCGTGGATACTGTGGAATCTGCGAAATTTAAGCAAATCGGCTCTCAACCAAACACTTTCTCCTCTTGAATTTTGTATTGAACGGTCAAGCGACCTCGGAGGTGACTGGGGATAAATTTTCGGAATTTGTTGATTGAGACCAAAACAATTCCCCCGCGTAGCTTCATAAGCTCTTGCATCATTTATAACGAACGGAGAAAAACCGAGAGTGAACACTCATCGGTCTACGTTATCCGTAATGTCGTGTCAATGTGCCACAGCCTCTATTGACGGCTACCTGCATTCAGTGAAAATGATCTGCAGTCAGTACATTTATTCAAATTTTGTGCCTCCATTTGAGATTACGCGTTGTCTTGGCTTAACAAGCTCATGACTTGGACAAATTTTCGATTCCCTAGTACCTACTCTTGTGGTTCATGACTCTACCTGCTTTTTTCCATAAATTTGAAGGTTCTTTCGATAAGTCCTTGTTGCAGGATGTAACGTTTCCGCTGTACACCGAGATCTTGAACAACGATATGGGGAGATCGGAACCCGAATCATGTGTTAATTAACGTATGCGTGCTTCAAGACCCTTACTTGGTTATCTGTAACCTCCTGAAATCAGTGAACATGTAGTCTTTTTGATTCAACCAAACAAATCTACGTACCGCCTTGAAAAAAAGGTCGGGCTTTGATCGCATAGGGTAACGCGAGGTCGTAGTATTGAATCACTTTTGTGTGACGAGCGTAATTCCGATATTCTTGTACCATTGAAAACGAACATAAACTAGGTATGCACTTCCATATCAATACTCGTATTCCACTACTCTGTGTTACCCCGGGCGAACTGCAACTCGTGGGCATGGCATGTTCCAATATCCACTGCACTTACGGATAGGCACGTCAATATTCACGACATCTGTATAGTTGACATTCTTACGACCGAGGCAAAGTTAAAGTTGTTGATTTCGGAATTCTTCTTTGTGCGTGTCGTCCAAGATATTTAACCTATGAATAGTATCCAAGACATAACTTTACTCGAATTTCCTTCTTCCTATTTATGCTTCAAGGCCTTCCCTACCTAGCCTCAGAATTGACGAGCGAGTATGATAGTCACATTCCCAACCATCTCATGGGCATTACTGGCATGTTCTATCTTCATTGCTGATGGAAATGCCCAATATTATCCTGTTACGGGGGTGACAACGGGAATCAATTCAAATACGAAAGCTCGACCTTTCAGACAAAATATTGACAATTTGCAAAATAGTAAGCCACAATGGTGAGTCTACCCGCAGTGGATGCTCCGTATATGCATCGTCTTCGGTGTCCAATTATTAATGTGGCCATGTCAAGGTCTCTATATATTCAGGCACTCCAAGCTATGCAAGCTGCAAATGAGTATAATGATGGCCTTTCCTACTTTCAGATTGCAGGTGAGTGGTCTTAAATTTCGTTTATATGACCTAGACTGAATTAGACTTCCACAAAAATTGGGTTTCAGTATTGACTTTTGAACATTCTGGTAGGTATTCACGGTAGACCATATGTTGCCTGGGATGGTGTAAGTCAAGCTAGCGGTGCTCCAACTACTGGCTATTGTACACACGGTAAGTTGTTTCCCACTTCAAATGTGAAAATATGTATTGATATCTATCGCAGACTCGGTATTGTTTACTACATGGCATCGGCCATATCTAGCACTCTTCGAGGTTTTCTCTCCCTTCCCCCCAAACGCCCTTACAAGACAAACCACTCACCTTCTCTTCTTTATCACAGCAAATCCTCGCCAGCCACGCTCAAGCAATTGCCAAGACCTACATCTCCACCCTCTACCCCGCCTACCAAGCCGCCGCTGACAACCTCCGCATCCCCTACTGGGACTGGGGTGCCACCCCGAACATGCCTAGTATCGTTAACGTGGAGACGATTCCCATCGTACTGCCCTCTGGCGCTACTGCGTATGTCAATAATCCTCTCTTCCGATACAACTTCCAGAATCTACCACTTAATCAACAGCAATTTCCTCCTGGGGATGGCGATGGTATGATGGCGCAGTATAATTGGACTGTGAGAGATCCGGACAATCTCGGCGATGGACAAAGTGATTACAGCGCTGCAAACACGAATTTGCAGAACGCAGGGTTAGGAGATCAGGTGGTGAGTCTGTTGTCTCTTTCATTTTCATGTCTTTGGTTAAGTGATTAGACGAACGAGTGAGATAGAACTAGGAGAAGAAGTAGAGACGAAATATATGCTAATGCGAAAGATTATAGTGGACAGCAGTCATGAAATCGAATAATTTCAATAACTTTGATACCATGGCTAGTTCAGGATCGAGTATAGAATCTCCGCACGGTGCTGTACATGTTCTCGTGGGGGGCGCTTATGGGCATATGTCTTTTTTGAGCTATTCGGCTTTTGATCCCATATTGTAACTTCCCATGCTCTTCCCCGCCATATCCATCCTCATCCATCATATAGAAGCTGACCTGGCTAGCTGGCTCCACCACGCAAACGTCGACCGAGTCTTCTCCATGTATCAAGCCATCAACCCCTCTACATTCATCACCCCTCTAGTCGATTACTATGGCACCTTCACCATCCCCCCCGGCTCCACCGACACCGCATCCACGTCCCTCAAACCATTCGCCGTCTCCAGCTCCACCTTTTACACATCCAATACTGTCAGACCGATGTCACAATTCGGATACAGTTATCCAGAAGTAATGGATTGGAATATGACAACCGCACAGATGGCAAGTTATGTAACAGGAAGAGTCAACTCGTTATATAACGCCGATGGGAGTAACTCCAAAATTAAAAGAAGAAATTTCGAAAGTGGAACAATTTCCTCACATCAGGAATCCCAAGGAGTGAGCACAAATAAAACACTACGTGAATGGAACGCGGCACTCAGTGTCTCCAAATTTGATCTCCAGGGCCAACGTTTCATTATTCGACTATTCTTAGGTAAGATACCGGAGGATCCAAAGGAGTGGGGTGGGAGTGAGAACTTGGTAGGGAGTTTGGTGATTTTACCCCCGCCCGGGGCTTCTGCCAATGATGCAGCAGGAGCATTGGCATATGATGAGATTGTCATTTTGAGGGAACCAGTCATTGGAGGTAGTTATAAGGGCCATGATAAAGATGGCGATGGAGAGGGGACAGAGGAATACTTGAAAGATAATTTAAGGTGGAGGGTGCAACTTGTAAGTTATTCTTGTTGTGTTATCGATGTCGGGAAATTGGATCCTGTGCTGATGAAGATGAAGATTGATAATACGCCATTACCCTCGACTTCACTACCCACTCTCAAAATAAATGTTGGGGATGAGATTGTGAGTATCCCATATGACATTACGCAAAAGCCGGTTTATGGGAAGAAGACCCTACATCCTGATATTGTTGTCGGTGGAAATTAGAATGATGTGGTTTAATTACGTTTGCTTAATGTTTTGTTTGTTTGCTGGTCAGAATCATATAACGAAAGGGGAAGGGGGAAAGAGTATATATATTCACAGAAAAGAAAGTGCGAAACTAAATTATATGTTGAAGTTGCTTCATTATGCAATCCTGTAGTTATAGTCCTCCTTACACAACCTATCTCCACACCTCCCACTTCTAACTTCAAATTGTTTACTTCATGAGTCAAACCTAATATTCAGTTGTGCAACAAAACTGCTTCAATAAAATCAAAATATATTAATAGCTCCACTTCCATCACACAATTCATTGTGCAGATGTGCAACAAATACCCAGAGGAGCATCTAGACTATTGAAACCACCAAAACAAAAGTACGAGTCAAATCAGTCATGCAACAAAGGCTCCTTTGGTCAATATTGCCGATGATATGGACCTTTTGCATTTTCCAATGAGTCGTGAAAAAGTGGAAAAGTTTCATTTGTTCATTTGCACGAGTAAGTCATACTTGTTTCCTCATCCGCCTTTTGTTCCGTATCCGCTTCCGCCATTTCCACACTTCACGGACCGCTCGTGCATAACTCGCTAACCTGTTGTTTCTCCTCAATATCATACACAGGAAAAATACCCTGGCAACCATTGGATGCGTTTTAATACTACCTAGTATACCGAGGAATGTAAGTGCCACAGCTGACTTGATTACTTTGAACGTGTGAGTTCCCCACGTTTTGTGGAAAGGGAGGCGGGCCGGAGTCAAGTGCTCTTTTCCGATTGGCTGACCTCAGAATTCACCCCGGATTGTTACAGCTGATAGATTTGTATACCGGTATGTCATGTCCTTATGAATATACACTGTCTCTCCTTCTACAATTCTCCTTTCAATACTTTCTACAATCCTCCTACCCTCCTTCCAAACCAAAATACCCAATCAATATTGCAACCTTCCTCCAAGTCCAATCCCCAATCCCCAATCACCAGCATCATGTTAGGAAAAATCACCATCGAAGACCATTTCAACCTCCCCGAGTTCGCCGAAAAGGCCAAATGGTGGGCCGGACTCTTCGCCATCGACGCCGATAAACACGTCCGAGAAATCAGCGACGTGAAGAACATCCGCCTCGAATACGCCGATAAACATGGCGTGGGTTTCCATATCTTAAGTTACACTGCCCCGGGAATCCAAGATATTGTTGATCCGGTCGAAGCTCTTCGAGTCGCGGCACTCACCAACGATTATATTCACGAGCAGATCAAAGATTATCCCGACCGATATGGATCCTTTGCCGCACTACCCATGCATGATCCCGCTGTTGCGGCGAAGGAATTGAGGAGATGTGTAACCGAGTATGGATTTAAGGGGGCTTTAGTGAATGATAATCAAATCGCTAGTGATGGGGAATCGATCATTTTCTACGATCAACCGGAATGGGATGTTTTCTGGCAAGAGTGTGTAGATTTAGATGTTCCTTTTTATCTGCACCCCAAACAGCCTACGGGTAAGGTGTATGATACTTTATGGGCGGATCGCAAGTGGTTGGTTGGGCCGCCGCTGAGTTTTGCGAATAATGTTTCGCTGCATTTGATGGGGATGGTGGTGAATGGGGTTTTTGATCGGAATCCCAAATTGAAAGTTATCGTGGGACATCTGGGAGAACATATTCCATTTGATTTGTGGCGGATCAATCATTGGTTTGAGGATGTTAAGAAACCCTTGGGAATGCCGATTAAGAAGACTATTTACGATTATTTCCGGGAGAATATTTGGATTACTACTAGTGGACACTTTTCGACGTCGACGTTGAAATATTGTATCGAGGAGTTGGGGTCGGATCATATTATGTTTTCGACGGATTACCCGTTTGAGTGTTATGAGGATGCGTGTTCGTGGTTTGATGGGTTGGATTTGAGTCCGAAGGTCAAGATGGATATTGGGAGAGATAATGCAAAAGAGTTGTTCAAGCTGGATGGATTCAAGGATCAAAATGAGGAAATAAAGAGTTAGGGTTATTCATCAAGGGTCTTGAGAGGGAAAGGGAAATTAATTGGTTCTGTTCTTTTATGGTCGGATACAAACGAGGCGCATTGTTTCGAAGAAACTTGGCTGGCTTCCTGTGTATACGAGTCTTCTGAGTTGGGGTTTAAAACTCTCACATCGACGAGGAAGACATAATCATTTGAGTCAACTCGGCATTACATGCGATTTTACCTCATATCCAGAATATTCCAGTGCTACCACCGAGAAGTCATAACCTTCCCATCCTGTTTCATATCCCACAGGTACTAGTAAATGTCCTTCCACACTCTCCTATTCCCCTATCATCATATCATTTCTTCACTCCCCATCCTCTCAAGCTCTCAGGTTTGAAGAAGAACATGAGATTTATCCCAACCCGATCTTTAGATTGAAAAAATGGAAGTTAAGAGCCCCAAGTTTAGATAAGTATCAGATAGGCTCTTAGCGATACGAATTAAAGTATGTGACCAAAGTAACTGCCTTGTGCAGAGGCCAAGACCATGAAGCGTATGAACTCGGTGAGCTTGAGAGTGAATCAATGGCCATTAGGTCTTTTCGCAGATGTCATATAGAAGGCTTGATCAACAAGCCTCAAGGTGGTGGTGAAAGGGGCGAACAATGAAACTACAGATTTGAAGAAAATTAGACGAGTAGTGTAAGGTCATTGTGGATGTGCATCAGAGGATTTCGGTCAATGGAATGAAGGTGAGTAAATGTGTAGATATGAGATGAGTCGGCGATAGACCGTTTCACAACATAGAGGAACATATTTCTCAGCAACTTCCACATATTTTCGGAAGAAAGTTGTATCTTCATCTCGATTTCCACTGGATCTTCAAGTCAGAGCGAGCGTCCAGTAAGTAGTCAATAGTTAATCCAAATGTATCCTTAAAGTGTTTATTATTCGCCCAGTATAATCAAATCTAACCGGCCAACTCCAACTAATTAGCCATGATCTGCCGATATATAATATTAAAAGCAAATATTAAATTACAAGCTTGTTTTGAAAAAGCCCCTTCTGCAAAAACCTCTCAATAATTCCAATTTTCCTCATATTCCGCCATCCGTCTCTATCAATTGCCCCTAATCTGTGCATAATGCTTCAGTACATCGTCGTGCATGTCATATCTACCTTGATGTTAATAAAAATCCTCTTATCGTGTTTAAAAGCAGGGCTGTCTTACGCATTCATCTCTTCAATTGTCAATTTTGCCTTCTCGTCAGAAACTTTGTAGACTGCTGAGTCGGTGTTACTTGAGAAGCCTAAAATCAGCATAACTTGGTCAGCAATTTATTTGATAGACGGAAATATATCGACAGCCGGGTAATCTCACCAATGCGCTCATTGATATTCTCTCGTGCTTTCGCGGCTGCGGCTTGTACACGGGTTGCACGGGGCTTCCTGACTTGTTCGTAGACTTTTAGAGCCTCGTGCACATCGCCGTTGAAATGTTTCTCGCTAAAAATAATGCCAAGGGCTGCGGCATCTTCGATGGCCATACATGCTCCTTGACTTTGATCGGGCATCATCTAAATATGAATTAGTCTACAAAGTATAGGAAATTAATTGGGATGCCGCTTACCGGATGAGCTGCATCTCCAATCACACAAGCAGTACCCTTTTGCCAGTATGGATAGGGTTCATGAATCCATAATCTCCAAGGGGCGACATCCTTTCCGATGGATAAATGCTTGTAAACCTGGGGATCCAGATCTGGAAAAGGGGCAAGAAGTTCTTCTATTGTTCCTTTCGCGCCCCATGCCTGGTTTGAATAATCTCCCTTGTCTCTTGGGAAGAAGCAGTAGTAAGAGAGCAGTTTTCCACCATTACAAGGTGACAAGACGATCTTATAATGAGTATTAAGGCCTCCCCAATATTCGAGTGCGCTATTTTGCGAGTAATCGACTAAACCAAGCTTAATTGCCTCCTCTGTATCTACGTTTGCATGGAGACAACTAGCGTCGGCTGCTCTCCTCTCAACTTCAATACCGATGAGAGAACGAATTGCAGATCCAATACCATCGGCACCGATGACTACGTCATGAACTGCAGTCTGGCCATTTTCAAAAGTAATTGTGCCAGTCTCAACGTCAAGTCCGGAGCACTAGCGAAATTCTATTAGTTCATTGTTCTAATACCATACCCTGCTTTCGAGCTGGGTGGGCATGCTTACCTTGCGGTTGACAAGCAGTTTCACTGGTACACCTGGCTTTTCTGGCTCGGCTACAGCACTGTCCATAAGCATGGCGTGCATATGTTGCCTGTGAAACATATTGTAGACCTATCGACCGCGATTAATTCCAGCTGTCTCAAATTTTTGTCAGTGTCAAGAACTTACATGTCCCCACTTCTCCTCGTAATCATCGAGGTCATAAACAGAGTCAGGCTCCCCAGTTTTCCAATCATGTCGGATTAGCTTCTTCAAAATAATAGGATCTCCTTTTTCGACTGGAACATCCCATTCATGTAACCATTTTGTGCCATTAGCAGCGCAAGATACTGAAGCACCAACTTCGCCAGCATAATCCGCACGTTCGTATATCGTGACTCGATGTCCGGCACGACGTAAAGCAATAGAAGTACTCAGACCTCCAATACCACCGCCGACTACTCCGACATCAAGAGACCTGAAGCCGGGCTGGGCGGGCATTTTGATATGAAGAGCTTTGGGGAAAAAGCTGCAAATTTTGTCTCAAAGAGCGGTAGAAAATGAGAGTCTCGGCCTCAAATAGACAGTTTTTAAAGCTCGTATAAGAAAGAAGTTTGCTTGGTCGTGAATAGTTGGTAGATAAAATAGCCCTCCACTAGATGTATTGCAACAGGTACTTCGGATCAGCACCGTAGACTGAAAGTATAGATGAGTATGTTTGAGACAAAAGGTGGTAAAGTTATACTGGTATGATTGACAGTCAACAGGGAGCATATCAAGTCTTGTAGATAATCGACAGCTTGCGTGGAGGTGGACCACCAAGCTTCATGCGGCCCGCTTCCGCCGGCTTTCTAACATTCCTAAGATAAGGTATACCGTAGACATTGTCACAGACTATTATTGCGCTCTAAAAGTGACAACAATTGGCTGAATCTTAGATGCCGTTATCAACGATTTCCTGTCACTAGAAAGTTGGTGCGTTGGTCCTAGTTCGTGATTGTACCGCGCAATATGTTGCCGCCCGACAGATTTGGGCACAGCCGACGTGTTCACGGATAACGCTAAAAATAGTATAATATCTTCTAAAGCTACCCCCACCCTATCTTCTGCTTATACATGGGAGGAAATAAGCGAGCAGTTAATTACTAAATAACATGTACATCACGCTATATTGACACCCATGGCCCGCAATTTTAATATTCCGACACATGGCCGCAGCAGCTACTTATTGATTCCTTACTCTCTCTCAATCTCGTATCTCTCGCGCCGACCTCAATCAAAGTGACAAAGGATTCTAGGGTGGAAAAGCAGCTCATGATATTCGAGAAAATTGTGTGGTAACTTAATGTCCCGCGGGTGATGTGATGCCTCGTCAGCGTGTCCACCCCAATGACCGTACCCGCGCCGCAAGAGCTTGTGTCCCCTGCAAAAGCTCGAAGAGGCGGTGCGATAAAAACCTACCGTGCTTTTCGTGTGTAACGAGAGGCCGTACCGAGTTATGTCGGTATCCAATATCTTCTCCCTTGTCATCTCCCAGCTCGCGACGGCCGGGAAATCAAAGAACATCGGGACGATCACCAGATATTATCATTAGAAATGCTAAATCCTCGACTTCGACACATCTGCGGTCGGAGCCACAATCTTCCCTTGAGGATAGTGCCGTCCAATCCTCTCGGCAGGAGATTCATGCGGCTTCCACTCGGCATCCCGAGTCACTAGTGGACCCCCTTTTTGCAGGCGAGAGCACCACTAATATCACCAGTACACGTGCCAGTACTCGTGAATCTTCACCATTTCAACGTTCGACGATGTTACGGAGCTCTCAAGGTGAACAAGGTCAGGGACACTCCTTTTTCTTCCAACTGTTCTCTGATACAAGGATGGGCCATCCCGTGCCTGATGATATTTCAAAAATATGCAAGACTGACACATCTGATAGTCTATATCGGCAACATTGCTGCTATTTCGTTCCTTCGCTTTCTTCAAACTACGCTCAAACGTTACATAGGAACTTCGGTTTTTACCGAACGTCAGGAGAGTAATGTGATGTTGGAAGTGGAGGTATCCAGGAACAACAGCCCATTCGAAGATGATTTGGATCTTGCAGAAAAGCAAAATTTAATCGCATGCTTCATGAGAGTGGTGGGGCTCCATTTCTTTTGTTCTTCTGCGTAGCCACAAACCCAACACTTACATATGACTTAGTCGAATGGTATTCTTCACCTCTTTTCACAAAATGATATATCGAGGTTGTTAAACATCAAGATTGATGCTACCAATTCATCTTCAAGCTCTAGCTCCCAGCGCGAAGACCTCGCGTGTCTTTTTCTAATGCTAGCAATAGGAGCTCAATCTCGAGGCAAGGATCCGCTCGAGATTCAACTTGCGAAAAGGTATTTTGCGCAGGCCCAGCAGATGGCGTTCCTGGACATGCTAGAAAATCCATCGCTATGCATGGTCAAGCTGTTTCTACTAATGGCCATGTACATGCTAGGGGCCTGTCGTAGAAACACGGCCTTTATGTATATTGGCATTGCCTCGAAATCTGCAACTATCCTTGGGCTACACGTTCCATATCAACATTCTCGGGTATCCTCTGACGAACGTGCTGCTAGGTAAGTACCTACAACTGAATTATTCAGAATTTGACTCGAATGATCCACATTTGCTAACTGTACAGGCAGGCGCCGTATATGGATGAGCTCACGCGTGCTTGATCTTTTGTGTAGCTCCATTCTTGCACGTCCCAGCAGCATACCATCAATAGAGAGAGACGAATACGAGATTGATAGTTCCAACCCCGAAGATATGGACCATCGAACATTAGCTCTTTACGCAACCTATGAATCGTCTTCTATCATCGAAACAATCGTAAAAAAGTTCGCAGAATCCAGCAGCGTAGACATCCATTCGGCCGATACTTATCTTCAAATGTTGCGAGAATGGAGCCAGGCTCTACCTTCTGCACTTCGTAGCTCTCCCGACTCCGCGTCCGAGGAGGAATATTGTGAGACTACAATCGGCAACATTCATGTTTCTTGCACGTACTATCTAGGCATAATGATGGTGACCCGGCAATTTTTGATTTCCCATGTTATGTCTCAGCTACGGAAGAATAGCTCGAACAAGTCTAGAAGAAATATCGAGGTACCGGCGACAAGTGCTGGCGAAAGAGAGAAAATCGTTCAGTTTTCAGATGCTTGCGTACAGTCTGCTCATCTAATGGTACAGCTCTGCTACGAAGCACACCTCAATAACGTTCTCCTCGACAACATGTGTATCCTTAAAGCTTGGCTTTTCTCCGCAGGACTCGTCCTCGGCTTCTCCCTCCTTGTAGAAGGCGAAATTCCCACTCATATTCACGAATCTTTCGATCGCGCTTGCACCGTACTTATGAGGCTTGCACGATTAAGTCCCCAGGCAGAACAATACCATGATATACTGTGTCGATTTCACACCGCGATCGAGTTGTACCGGCAACAGTTACTTAAGGCACAGAAAGAAAGTAACAATTTGTATGTTGAGAAGATCATGACTTTCGAGTCTTTCAGTAGAGGACCCAGTGAGGGGGGTTCTAACACTGAATTCCGGTCGCAGTTACAGTCGCAACCTATACCCATGAATGAGCAGACAATGTTTGACGAAGTGGAGGGACAAGGAGATTTGGCAGAAATGTACGCCATGGATTTCTTCGGCATTGAGAATGAAATCCAGATGTGTGATGCTCAGATTGGGTATGATACGGGGGTTGCGGCTGATCTAAGGTGGCTGTGCTATGCCGCAGGTCCTGCTTGACTTTGGGGCCTTCAATTTCTATCCGAATCGAAGGCTGATAGTATGTTGGTGTTGTAGAGAGCTATAACGTTAAAGTATCTTGTCTGAGCACAGATACAGGTCATACATGCTACCTCGAGACTGTCTTGTTGGCTTAATGCGAATATTGGTGTTTACGCGTGTGTGACCTTTTCGGCGTCACCAGAAGCTTTGATCTGATAGAATAAAAACTTCGCTCGCGAATTGAGTCATGAGAGAATATTGTTCCAACAATACAAAACAGGATTGATTGGGATTCTTTCTCGGAAAGGCAGTTAAGACTATGGACCTGCGAATCAAAACTATACTTTGCTTATTGGCTCGTTATCAATTTCTCTTGGATACAGGGGAAAAGACGTTTCAAGTTTCAATGAATCAATGAGGCTCATTTAGTGCTTAAAGCTTAAAAATACTAATTCGATTCATCAGCTTTAAAATCTCCCAAAGGTCCTGTTGCACATCTATATTTTCATATTACAAGCTTCATCCTGACAAGTATGCAAATAGTATACATACATAGCTTATGTCCCTGCTTTCCGCCACGTGAATAATAATATTTCGTTTTCCTAGTTCCGGCAGCTATAGCTAGCATTCTGGACCGTCTTAATGAACCCTCCACTTAGAGTCCTTGAAAGACTTTTCTTGCATATCTAAGTTTCTTGTTTCACAGGACTCATCCTGGCAAGTGTATGTGAATAGTATATAGTCGTTCCATGACTTTGAAGTTCATATATCCTTAGCAGGAACTATAATTCTCTAGTCTTCTTTAGTTCCAACGCTTATGACTAGTCTTTCAAACTCTCTCCGTCAATCCTCCACTCAGAGTCCTCAAAGAACTTATGTTGCATATCTACATTTCCAACTTGCAGGGCTCATCCTTACAAGTGAAGCATTTAGTCAATGAGCCGTGAAGGGGGGGGGTTTATTCATTGTTCTAGATCCGGCAGCTCTTATTACCGAATGCCCGAACCGTCTGCAGTAGTTTTATCATTATTGTTTGTTCTCCATATGTCATGTACGTTTCAGCAAGATCTCTCTGTCATGATACTAGACATAGGGATAATCTTACGCCAAAAACAATCTATAATTACTGCCTCTTTTATATTATGATAGAAAAAAAAGATATCCTAATATCCTCTTTTGAATGATTACCCTTAATTTGAATATGTTAAAGCCGGAAAAGGTAGGAATCTGGCTGAAAATCCTCGGGTAGGTCCAGATTCTGACCTAAGTGGGTAGTTTCTACTTAGCATATGTAATCTAAAAATCTAGATTTAGGCTAGCCTTTTCGATACTTCCCGATGCAGGCAAGTTCCGGGATCTCCATGTAAGAATACCTCCAAATATCCTTGTTTTTGGTGTATAAACGAACATTTTATATTTATAAATTCTGCTGTAATGTGATTTCATAGTTGGGCTACATGCCTTTCAATCTTTAAAAAGCATCAAGTTAAATGAGCTCTAAATCCAAGGCATTTTGAGCGGGTTTTCAGTACACTAATATGTCTTTCGTAATCACTAATTTGAGTATAATACTCGAATTTGGGTATGACTACCCCCATTTTAGTAATATAATGCGTAGACGAACCTTGAAAACAACCATTATTCCACTTTCCACTAGCGTGTACTGTAGCATACACTGACGAGGACCTTGGTCTGCAATATCCTTCCAATCAGAGTCTGCCAAAATCTTATGTTGTATATCTACATTCTCATATTACAGGCCTCATCCTGACAAGTGAAGAGCAAAGTAAGCCATAAATCGCATTAAGATAGTCCATTTCCCTAGTCCCAGCACTTAGAAATAAGCTTTATGAACCATCGGCATAATTGTTCTACTCAGAACACTTGAAAGAGTTGTGTTGCACGTCTATATTCTTTGATTACAGGGTACATCCTGACAAGCTTCTGGATGTTGTGCTTTTATCTGAGGGTAGTGGTTTGGTAATCCTTTGGTATTGACGTTTAGCTTGAAGCTTAGAGGAGGTCTAGAATCTTTGCAGATTAGCTTAGCGAATTAGCTAAGATTGAATTTTGCATTGTTTTACCAAGATTTCTAGGGTTACGACTTTCTCTCTAGTGCAGTTATCTTAGTCGGACGCGATTATAGCTAGCCACAAACTAACCCCCCTATGTCTCTTCCCTCTTCAATGACATCATGATATGGATGAAGACCAATCCAGGTCCTCTCTCCAAGCTTATGTTGCACATCTACAATTCGCAATTACAGGGGTAGTCCTAACAAGTGTTCAGATACCATCACGCTCTAAATTACTACTTTGAAACCATTCATGGGCGGCTCGGTCTGCAGATAGGATGGCTCAGTAAACCACCCATCTTAGCGAACCTTGCAGACAGTCCAATATTCTGAAGTTACAAACAATAATCTGCAATCACCGTAGAACCGCTGAATACAAATATAAGATCGATGAGAAGCAACGTCTTCTAAGTTTTCTTTGGTTTCATCATAACAATTGGGTGTTTAATCTATGTTTTTATCTGGAGGTCACGGTACTGATATTATTCCAGTCCTACCTCAAATTGCATTCAACAACAGTCCATTGAAGAGTCCTTCAATGAGCTCTTGTTGCACGTCTAACATTTCGTCCTACAAGGGTTATCGCAACAAGTATCATTAGCTCATATCACTAGTCTGCTACTCTCCCTAGTCATATTACCAAATCAGGCCTACACTAAACCGGGGTTAAAAACGGTCCACCCCATATCTTTTCCCAGACTTTGTTGCACATCTACAATTCCAGTTTACAAAGCTCATCCTAACAAGTCCTTGAATACCAAGTAGACCATAAAATCACTGGGAGTTTACTAACCCAAGCTATATATGATGGTTTGAGGTCGCAGATCCTGCTCTTAGGGGTAATGTGACGCAATAGAATAGTGCAGAGTTAGTACTGATTAGCTTTTGCAATTTTTCTACGATCTGGGGTACCCCAAACAGCCACTTCAGGCTTCCTCCCTCATTCAGCTCCCGAATCTTCTTTGGTAAGTCTCGAATAGGAATCCTCCCGGTGAGTTCTGTTGCACATGTATATTCTTAGTCTATATCACAACCCATCTTTTGGTCAAATCGTCTTATCTTAGTTAGTTAGGTTGCCTTACCTTACCCGGCACTAGATCAATCGGATTTGGGCTTGATATCAGTCATCTGAAATAAGACGGTACATCAATGCTTCGTTTTGCCTGAGTGTCTGTTGGCTTGTATCCCTTGCAGTCAGTATCATAGTGTCATTTATTGGTTTTCAAATTAGTTTACTATTTTGTGTGATTTCTTTCTCCTCAGTCTACAATAAGGATACAATTTCATATGTTAGTCCCATATTGAAAAACTCCCTACAAGAGAACTCATACTTGCGACATACTTGACCCGTTACCATCGAGTGATTAAGCGTATTCTAGAAGATGTGTATGGTCATACTTGTGCAAATAGATACTTATGCTATCACAAAAGATAAGTTGTTATTCCAGGATAATGTTCATATGATCCCACTACTCTACAATACATTAGAAGCAGCCACTAAAACCACTGCTACAACAAGCGCATTTTCTAAAGTCGCTACTTATCTCACTTACGACTCCAAGCATCACTGCCATACAAGCTCGGAGTTCTCATTTCGCTTGTTCTCTATCCACCAAATTCATTAACCAATCCAATCGACACTAGGCGTACTCATATTACTAGCACACGCATCACAGTTATGTAACAAGTGCTGACAATCCCTCGAGCACTCTACCTTGTCTTTCCTATTAATTCCCGTAACTGAATCATATATACCACTATGATCCGGCTTCGGCGGCGAAGGAAACCTCTCTTGAATTCTCAGTAGACTTTCGTAAGCAGTGGACTTTCGTGGCGATGAATTCTTCCTCGAATTAGGAATATGCAACTTCAGGTCTGCTTTTGGGAAGAAGAAATATTTATCCTGAATCATTGACAAACTTTCCCGGGCCGATGACCTTGATACTGATGGAGTTTCCGATATGCTTGGGGATATCTTAAGTGGGATGATGTAGTTGTTTGTTTTACCGTTTTTCAAATTAGAGCGAGGACTTGCAAGGGACAACGGAGTCGAACGAGCGTCCATCAAATTGCAGTGAGGGCTTGCAGGGGGCGACGGGGTTACATGGGCAAAGTCTTTGCTAGCTGCACGGGTGGCAAGCGTCGACCAGAAGCCCGCTTCTTCTGCTTCACCCTCCATAGTCAATCTAGGATGGGCGGTACCTTGTATGGATTTAAACCATGATTTTCCTCCTTGGAAATGGTTAGATTGTATCAGTGGATTGTCGACTATGGTGACTCTCCTCGATTTAGCCAAATTTGGCGAGCTTGCACGTTTTCGAGCTCCTGTGCATGCTCCAATTGAGGAGCCAATTGCCGCAGTTTTCCCAGAGCGGGCTGGCGCTTTTGGATGTGCTTTGATGACACTTTTTTTCCGATGGAAGTCAGTATCAGATTTCTGGCGGGTTGGAGTTGCAGCTTCGGAGTTGCTTAACCATGAGCATACTCTCTCTGGAGGGCTTTCGCTTAACCATGAACGCCGCGTTACTGGGGTTGTTGCCCTACCACTTAACGCAGGCGAGCTCGGTGCAGTTCGAGCATCAATTCCAATGCTGTAGAGAGAGTGAGAATGGACGACTTCATTTACCTGAGGAAGCATACCACCCAAGAGCTTGTTATCACGGAAAGAAGTAGCCATATCCGGAAGCGGAGAACGCCACTCATTAGTCGATTTTCTTGGCAGTGGAGGAAATGAAATCACATGATCCTTAGGTGTTTCATGCTCCGTGTCTGTAACGGGGTCGGTGGTATCCTCATTTGCTTCCGATTCGCATTGCCATGACCATTTGTTGATTGAAATTCGTGCATTTTTTGGATCAAAAGCACCTTTCTCTTCACTAGGCCGATGGTCTTGACTCGATGTCTTAAAGAGTTGAAAAGATGGTCTTGAATCGTCATGCCCAGGACTGATAGTAGCGCCTGGTGATGGAGTATTGGCCTGGCTAGAGCACTCTGAGGAATCAACTTCGAAATGAACTTTATCTCTCTCTGAGACATGAGATTCCGGCGAGTTCCGTTCCTCCCAGATTACTTCGTGTACGCTTCGTTCGGATCCCGCTTCTGAAAGTCGTCCATTTTGCCCAAAATTTGTCTGAGAAATCTGTAAATATTGCCCCGGATTTCCGGGGTTCACAATCCATGTTGGAGAATGTGATATAATAGGGGAAACAGTCGTTATGGGAGTATTGCCGTATTGAGAGAGCTCCGGTGAATTTCGCGACTGTGCTGCATATATTTGGATTTCACAAGGAGCAGGACGAGCCATAGGTACCAAACCTTTACTCGTGAAAGACAATGATGATAATCTGGTACCCCGCGGTGATTGGTTTTCCACGCTCGATCCACGTGGGGCAGGGTCTGAGATGTAAGCTTCTTGCGTGTTAGGCAGATTTGCATGGAGCAGTTCCATTACAGCTTCAACGTCCTCACGGGTAATGATGTATGCCTCTGGATCCTGTCTTTCGTTTTCCGAGAACGTCGGCTGACGACTTGAAAGGGAAGGTATAATAGAGGCAGTCCTTGGTGTTGTTAAAAATGCCGAAGTTGCCATTGTGCTACTCATGTCTGATCTATTCGATGCACTCGGTCTTCTCAAAGTTATTGCAGAAGGCATTAGCATTTGATTATTTGGCAATTTACGAATAGTCAATCTCTCGCGAAGAGAGCGCACTATGTCGTTATATCCAGCACCAGCAGTGAACGATGAACTTCTGTTTCGTTCACCAAGAGGATTGGAATCGAAAATTTCATTTCGAAAGGTTGGGCCTTTCCCCTGCGTATATTTGCTAGAGTTTTTTTTAGTAGTGGAGGAAGCTTAAGTTGGCGTGTGCCAATCTCAACCGAGCTCCATCTCCTTGAAACAAGTGGAGCGGCTGGTTCAGACATGAGTCTTCCTCTACCCCGTCTCTTCGGTAGACAGTTATGTTTACGAGTGTTTGGGACTTTTATACCTTCTAGGGCTGTTGGGGTGATCTGACTTGGAGGGAACGACCAATGTGTGCTGCAGTTGCGCTTGGCACTGGCCATTTCTCCAACCACTTTGCTTTTTCCTTGGTTACAAGTACCGTTGCATCGGCGCTTCAGTTGAAGCTTTGCGCCTTCAGTCTTTCTTCTCCCTCTCTGTTTGAACATCGTGAGACTTTCGGAACTTGGCCTGTGTGCCTTGTACGGATCCTTTGGTCGACCTAGAATTGAAGCCAAACTATCCGAGGTACATGAATATCCCGAAGCAATATTGGAGCCCTTTGATGATGAACACGACACCGGGTATCCTTCCTGTGTCAGTGAAGGCGATGCCGCTCCTGATGCTACATCGACTTGGGCAAGATCATTGCGTGATTGGCTTGATGCGTGGGGACGTGCTCCGTGGAAATAATCATTTCGCGCTTCGTGTCGAGACAACGATGCCGTATTTGAAGGTGATGTGTTTAGGTATTGTGATGGTAGACCTTGTGGAGGCGTACGAAGACCAGGAGAATCCAATACATACAACTGCCGTGGGCTGGGAGTGAACGATAAATCTCCACTCCAGGCTCTTGGCATTATGATCGAAGGGATGCTTTCCATAGATGATGGAAGAGAAGATAAAGCACTAGGTCGCATAGGACGTTTTAAAGAGATTTGGGAGTCAGTAGGACCCTGCTTGCTAATTTTCGTACTTGAAGTAACCACGGATGTTGTAACAAGGATACTTTCAGAATCTTTAGGATCTTTAGGATTCTTAAGATTCGTAGGGCGTTCTGAAGACATATTGAGGCGGATTAATGATCGTAGGTTAATCTGAAGCTGGAGAAATTAAGAATAATGCAATAAGAATGTCGGATCTAGGACTTAATTTCCACAATTACATTGGAGAGACCGTGAAAGGGTAAAAGTCGAGAAGGCGATAGAAGATGATAATATCTCCACATTATAAGAAAGAACTACTGAAGAGGGGTAGCCATGGTATCAGTGCGAGGAAACCACCATGTTAACACCAATCATATCATTGTCCCTTCCGTCTCGATGGGATTGGGGTCTGACGCTATGATTTGCAAAGGAACTATCTTGAACTCATGCCTGACACTGAGCGAGGGGATGCGAAAGGATGTGGAAGGACGTGAGCAATATGACAGACACCATGAAATCAATGGTTTGTCGAAATACTACCGTATCCAAACTTTTTATCCGGTTTCTTCTCCAACGAATCACGGAAATAGTAATGGATGCTTTAGTTGCGTAATGGTGAGACAAACCTCGTCGTCTTGTCTATTACCTTTCCTTGCCTTTTATACGGTGCTAATGTGGTGGCGGCCGGAGACCCGAAGGTCTTGAGTGATATCACATGGAGCATGAAGCCATTTACAGACACTCCAGTGTATTCATCACTCCATGATATTTATCCCACACTTCTTCATGCTCTGATCAAGTCTCCCAACGCAAGGCTTAATGACGAGGAAGGGGAATAAATGGCATCATGATCCGGAGAATCCATCATAGTTAGAGCTTCCAATCTGCTTCCATATGCTTTTTCATTGAGATAGTTTCCAGTCAAGATGTTTGACTACCTAGTAGCTGACAATTTTGTTTGACAATTGATCGATGGCTATTTGTGAAATTAACTAGAAAACTTCGAGGTTCATGGTCGATGTGCACGTGATTTCGTGACAGTGCCAAAACCAAGTTCACAAGTTCATACTAAAAACAAAAATATCCCGGTGCACTCACTTCTGCAATGAGCCAACGACAAATGAATGCCAGCCCAATTCAATCCTCGCAAATCAAGTCGCCACCGTATAGCTTGTAAGCTCAATTCTTCAATCTGTCAATTCGAGGCTAAACGATGATTCAAAGGCATTGCGCTATACAGGGCCCTGCTCGAACAATGTCCACGAGTTCCTATTCCCGCCGAGCTACAACCTAAAGGACCCCTCCATCCACTCAAATATCTTATCCGCAAACAATTCCGACGAAATGCATGGGAGCGCAGTTCAAAGATTATTGTCGCTGCACTGAAAACGGGCTATGAGGTATGTTCGCGCCGCTATCATAACTATCTACTTTTTTAATGATATACTCTCAGACGGAGAAGCTTCTTCGCACAGCTGGCGACGGTGACCTAGACTCAAGAAACCAGATCTACGAATTATTACGCTACCGTAAAAATGTAGCTGCCACCTCTGCGCAGCTTCCTCAACCTCCCAAACTCAAGATTCGCTATCCAGAAGCCATTCCCGGTGTCCCCAAACTGCTCGATGTCCGTCCTTTGCCATTCGAAAAACTCTCTGGGCCTCGTCATGTCCCTATATTTGCGAGAGCAATGGCATCAAATTTTCTACGAATACAAAAACCGCAAAGTCCATATCTGAGTCGGGTTCTACGGGATAAAATAGAAACGAGACAAAAGCGGATAGATCACCGCCTCAGAATCGAGCTTTTGGAGGAGATAGCGATTGCAGAGAATATTTGGGAAGACATAGTTGAAGATCAATTGGAAAAGGAGGGTTTGAGTGTTGACAATTGGAACAAGAAACAACCAGGATTAGGCTGGGGAGTGGGAGATTGGGAGAAGGACTTGCAATTCGCCGACGATTCTTTGAAGTGTCTGCTGTCGGCAGATGCGCTGAAGGTAGTTGAAATGTCTAAATTACAACTGGAAATAGTGGATCAGGAGAAAGAACTCTGGAGGCAGGAGAGGGGCCAAAGGAGGCATGATAAGAAACTGGCCAAACTAGAGAAGAAATGCCAGGCCGGGCATGAGATGACCACTGGTTCAGAAATTTGATGGCTATCAGTAAATAAGCTTCTTCGTCACCTTCCCGTGTGTGTCATTTTATCACGAGTATTGGCTTCGAGACATAGCTTGCGAAATTTGGTTAAGGTCATTGTATTTTGCGAGAATCATCACCTTATGCTTCATTCGTTCGTTTCTCATTTGGTAAATATCATAATCGGGATTGAAAAAGCCAGTTTCGCCGCGCTGATGCATCCGTATCAACATAAAGAAAAGTCATATGCTTCACGCATCTCTCCTCGACCTAATGTTGTGTTATATTCTCAAAGTTTGTTCATTTCGTGATTCGTCTAGACTTCACGTAGGATACCTATTCATAGGTAGAACCCTCTTGGGGTTGAGGAAGCTTTTTGTTGGCCGGATGAGCCATGTATCTGAATAAGGTAAGCCTCCGTCTTCGCGGTGCCTTTGAAGGAACTCACTTTCTCAGCTCGGTCAAGACAGTCTCCATTGTGTAGTGGCGTTGCCAGTTCGCAAGGCAAGCAATCTTTGAAGGGTCGACCTAGATCACCAGTCAGCGTCCATCTATTTCCCAATAGCGGTTTATACAATATAACAACCTTGCCATCATCCTGCACAGCGGGGAGGTTGATCTTATTGGTAAATTTAATAGTTGGTGGAACATCAGGATAGTCTTCTCCGCAGTGCATGGTAAGAGAGTAGATGCGATTCTCGTGAACGCCCTATCAGTATCCGTTATTAGTTCATGGACAATATGTAGAGATACGTATGGGAAGAAGCATACGTGTGGAGGACCAAGAATCGTGCCATTCCAGTTGGACATGTATAAGTCGTCGCCTTCTGTAAGACCATATGAACAAGCATCTTTACACAATAAATATTCGTTAGAGCTTGTCAAACTTCATTGCTTGTTGATTTCCAACTTACCAGCTCCAAGGCCCTTCTCGCCCTTCTCTAGCTCCTCTAGCAATCTAAAGTTTCTTGGAACTTTCGCACCCTGAGCAGCCATCTTGTGAGGTTAGGTATTTTGTACTGGGATGGAAAACAAAGTGTAGATATTCGTGAAGTTCAAGAGTCTTCCGTTTGTGCAATACAGAAAAGTTGATAAGAGGTATGACTTTATTAGGGAAGGCTGATTTAACGGCAGGCCTTGTCTCCTCTTCCAGAATCCCGGGCGGTCAACAGCGGCTAAATCTCGGCGAACTTTGTACTTCCATACACCTAGGTGTATCACTCACATCACTCATACAAAGGACAACCGAATACAGAATACATCTCAGCCATGATATCATGCCTACTGAAAAATAATGGAAATGACCATACTAGAAATAAATTAACATGACGGCGCAGATACTCGCCTCAGAGCTTGGAAACCTTATACAAGAGAGTAAAAGAAAGCATACAGATCTCAGAAATGTAAGCTCAGTTCCACGCGGCCCTCCAACTTGCCCCCTTTGCTGATTTGACGATATCAGGCCGCAGAGAAGAGTTTAGATGAGATTAAAGGTCTACGATCAACATCTGAAGCCCAAATAGCTGCAGGTAAGTTTATGGATAAATTCGATCTTTCCATCAGCCGGTACGCCAAAACTATGTCTGATGTATGATTATTAGATCTTACTCAACGACCCAACTTCGTAACACCTTTCCTCATTGCCTGCGGGACCAAAAATGTCAAGTTTACCGGAATCGCGGTCGTTTGTCTTCAGAGGTTGGTTGTGTCACGTGCACTTCCTAGATCAAGACTAAGAGAAGTGTTGGAGGCATTGAGAGAAGCTACATCGGCTGGTCTTGATGTACAGCTGAAGATCCTCCAGGCGTTGCCATCGCTTTTGCAGAATTATGCAGATGAATTGAAGGGGGAGCTCTTAGCTGCAGCCCTAAATATCTGTACAATTCTTCAGGCAAGTAAGAATGGGATTGTTCTTAACACAGCCGCTGCTACCCTTCAGCAGTTAGTTGTGTCTGTATTCGATAAGGTTGTAACAGAGGACAGTGAGTTTTCAAATCGATTACCAAATACAATACCGCATCTAACCATGGGACAGAAATTGCCTTAGAAGTGCCTACTATTGGTGAAGCTCCAACTGAAGATGGAGTTATCCAAGTACGTACTGCGGCCTTGGATGCTTATAGAGTTTTCAACGACATATGCTTGTTGACTGAAGCCCAAAAGCCTCAGTTTTTAAAGTCTACAGGTCTCCCGCAAACCTTCGGGCTGGAGTTGATCGAATCGGTCTTGACTAATCATGCCGACATATTCTTGTCACATCCTGAGCAAGCAAATATACTTCGAGTCCGAGTTATGCCATTCATCATCAGTGCACTCTCAGAGAAATTGAACTTTGCAGTGACTGTAAGAATTACCAGAATCTTGTACACACTTCTCAGACGACATTTGAGTATACTCTCATCCGAGGGTGAAATGGCGCTAGGTTTACTCACCCACATGCTTGACCATGATACTGCTCTGTGGAAGCGATCACTTTGTATGGAGGTAATAAGAGGTATTTTTGCCGAGGCAGCTCTCATCAGGAAAATATTTGCTATGTACGATGCCCGAGAGGAGAAGAAAAATATTCTGCGAGACCTTGTTGCAGCTTTTGTTAGAGTAAGCACGGAAAAGCCTGCCGTTATTGGTCTTGGTCATCAGTCTACTATTCCAGTTGCCAGCCAGGGTGGTACTTCAGATCAAGCAATGCTTGAGGCTAGTGGAGTTCCTGGTATCATCAGCAGCACTGTGAGTACGAGCGAGCCAAGCGCTGGAGTGAGTGCGCAATGGAGCACGATGAGGGTACCGTGCATTGATCAACTAGACAAGACGGATGCACCATCGATTCCCGAATCTTACATTTACAGCCTCACTCTTTCCTGCATTAGTGGGTTTTCTGAAGGACTTGCAAAATTTATACTGCCCCTGACGGTACCAGAGCGGCCTCGAAAAAAAGGGCCAAGGCAATCTGAAATTGAGTCAAAAGTTTCGGATTCTCGTCCTGGTACCCCTGATATCAAACCAACCGAGAGAAATTCGTCTTACAAAAAGAATCCCATCCCTATTAATCCATTAACTCTCGAAGATCATCATCTATATCAAGAGGTCAAGATCTGCGCCGGCATTGTCGACGAATGCTGGCCTGCAATTTTGGCGACCTGTTCAACCTTTCTTTATGCAGCGCTAGATCAGGAATACTACCATGGCTTGGTCAGATCATTTCAGAAGTTTACTCATGTGGCAGGACTTCTACGGCTTGCGACGCCTCGAGATGCCTTTCTGACAACTCTAGGAAAGGCGGCAGTGCCGCCCAACGTCTTGACAGCCACCACAACTCAGGTTCAGAGCCCAACGACGCCTACAGTAGACGGATCTTCTAGCTCGAGCATTTTCAATAACGCAAGAGGTCTATTAAGTGTTGACAGCTTGGTGAGTAATCCGGAACGGAATAAGCATGTGCCAGTTGATGCATCCAGTTCTTCTCTCAACACGCGCAATTTACTCTGCCTTCGCGCATTATTGAATTTAGGAATCGCTTTAGGACCAACCCTCGATTCGGCATGGGTGATTGTTCTTGGAACATTGCAACAAGCTGATCTGGTAATATTTTCGAGCGCCAAATCCGTCAGAACTCCCACCACACAAAGACCCGAAAGCCATGATGTTAATAATACCTCTGCATTGTTGGCGAATTTCGGCACCGAAATTAAAGCAGTTGAAATCGCTGCTACAAGATTGCTTGAAAGTACCATCGACTTCCCGAATGAGCCGTTCGTGGCGGTGGTTTCAGCCCTCTGTGATTTGTTCAGCAAAGAAGAGATCCTCAATACACCAGAAAAGCCAGCATCTTTTAATCCACCATCGCCTGAAGCAAGGAGACCTTCGTACGCCCATAAAAGAGCCCATAGTATCGTCACGGTACCATCTACTCAGAATCAAGAGGATCTCTTTGCGTTAGCTAAGCTGGGCGATATCGCCAGCATCAATATTGATAGATTAACGACATATGAGCCTGATATCAGTGGATGGCAGATATTGACATCTGAATTGATTTCCGCCTCTTGTTCTCCCACAGCAACACCTTCCGTCAGATTAAGAGCTGCAGAGATTCTGGTTAGAATTGTGATTGAAGCCGCCACTTCTACACTTGCAGACACCGAGGCTCGACGCGGTGTCGTCCAAATCTTGCTACTTCAAGCATTGAGTAGTGCCCTGTACCCACTTCAAGTGGAAGAGAGACAAGTCACCGTGGCTATACATTCAACGGACGTCGAAGTTCACAAGACCATTCTTGAAGGCCTCAAAAGTTTCTTAGAGCAATGTGGGGAAAAGCTAGTCAGTGGTTGGGACATCGCATTTGAGATCATCGTCAGTGTCTTTATGAAGTTCGATCCCAACGCAAAGATAACCGCTACTCGATCTGCTAAACTGGTCCGATCTGCCTTCAATTCTCTCCAGCTCATTTGTTCCGACTTTCTTTCGTCCTTACCAAACTTTTGCTTTCTGATACTCGTCGATACCCTTTATCATTTTTGCACACAAGATGATGATCTCAACATATCACTAACGGTAAATATATCACCAAATTTATTCTTTTCGCTGTATCTAATCATTTCTAGACCGTTACCTTCTTTTGGGTACTGTCGGATTTCATTTCTGGCAGAACCAGGTCATTTTCACTTAGTCCCGATCTTATCGAAGATTCAACCGAGGAGGCACTGGTAGTAAAGGCATCTGGTGATGATCGTGCTGTCTCGGATGCAGCTTTATGGATGCTTCTCTTACTACGACTTACATCCGTTACGGCAGATGAAAGGCTAGAGCTTAGAAATAGTGAGTTCAAGTTATTATCAGCAGGCGACTTGATCTAACTTTAGTGTAGGCGCAATTCAGACATTGCTAAGAATTTTCGATGCATACGGAGATCAACTCAGTGCAGTAGCTTGGTCTGTGTGCCTGAAATCGGTCATTTTCAGATTATTGTCTTCAATAGAGGCACATCTGCAGTCTATTACCGACCCTGAGCTTACTGTACCTGAGAAAGACAAGACAGGATGGAATGAAACTACTGTCGTGGTTTTAAGCGGCATTACCAATCTACTAGCCGACTATTTAGATGTTCTTACTGACCATTCCACGTTCGAAAGCTCTTGGGAAACTCTTTTAGAACATTTCAAAACTATGCTAGCGTTTAGGATTCTTGACATTAATACAGCTGTCTTCAAGGCTTTACAGCAAATTCTTTCACGAGGAAATATTAAGGAGGCCACACAGACAAACTTTACCCGGACTTCAATTGACATGGCATGGAGTCTCTGGTCTGATTCGTTGCCTTCAGTCAGAATTGATGTGAAAGACAAACGTGTTGACAACCAAGATTACCTGGTAGCCTACGTGTCTGCCCTTCGTGAGATATATCGTCTCGTGGAAAAAGATCTTGATGTAAATCGAGTCAAACGGATGCTTACCCTACTACGGGAAGCTATACAACAAGCGAGTGCTTCTACCTATTCCGCAGATATCGAGTACTTGACACCATTACAATCTCAGGTATTGGAATCACTCAAGATGATTCGCACGGATATTGGGGGAGTTCCTGCTACCTTGATTAGCCAGGTTGCTGAATTCGTAGCGTTGGCTTTCGTGCCAAAATATAGTACATCCAACGTTCAGAGGCCAACATACGTGGCTTTGTCTAAAGCTTCAATGGTGTTATCCGAGAAGCTCATTCTATCGCATTCCTCGGAACCAGACATCTACATCAGCGGTGCGGTGTCTTCTTCTTTAGCCGCCCTTGCCAACCCAATTGTTATGAAGTACTCATTCCCTATAATTTCGAAGAGTATATCACCTTGGCGCCAGGCAACAATGTCATCACTCGCAATTCTTGGTGCCATTCTACCAATAATGCCAACTATTACCTTGAATGACGAAGCCATCCGATCTATATGGACGTCGATAGTGAGTATAGCCATCGGAGTTATTTCTGCAGATTGTGGTATTGCCGCAGAATTAGTCGATATCAAAGATGACCAGGAATTCGATATCACATCATTCCTAGCCTTGCGCGAACTCATCACCCCCGCCCTAGGCTCACAAGTCATACCAGATCTAACCCGTCGCACTTATACCGAATCACTCTTCCACACGTCCATCATCCACCCCGCACAATCCAGCGAGCTTCCACAGCCCAGCCAGGAACTACTAGCCAATTTGTATCAAGTCCGCAAAGGTCGCACCGTCGATCCCACCCCCTCTCCTCGTACAAAGATGAGCTACGTCTGCTTCGATGAACTTATCTCCCTCGTCGCTCTCCACGATGGCTCTACGTCGCGCATTCAGCTCGCTCAAGCAGCCGCGCCATACCTAATTCTCAGATCGGGCCTCACTCTTCGAGCATACATTGCTGACCAGCCACTGCGTGGTCGTATGCCGCAGCCATTATCTCAACGCAAGGAACTATTGTACATTCTCAAGAAGCTTGTAGGGTTGAAATGTGAGGCAGAGGCAATTCCAGATACGCCGGGTGTGGAGAGCGAGGGAAAGAAACATCTGCATCGATTGTATCCGTTGTTTGTGAAGGCTATGGGTGCGGCGGCGAGGGATCAGGAGGTCTTGGAGTGGATTGGGAAGGCTTTGGAGGAGGTGGGCATGGATTTTGGGCTCTAAGATGGGCAATACAAAGTTTTGAAGGATGTTGAGATAAAAGTGGAATGCACATGAGAACAGAGATGGAAATATGGCGTTGGTGAATGTTTAGATTGCGCCTTAGATTGAGTCAAATTGATATATACCATCATCTGTAGCTTGAATTGGAGTCCTTCTGTTGCTTGTCATCATTACACTTCCAAAGTATTGGGTTTCTAAGAAGTTTTATTGGAGATTTAAAAGCATTGTGATTTTATTTGAGTTTCAAAGACTACCCCTTCAATGCTTGGGTAGGTAAAAATGTATTTTGAGTCGGCAGCATTTGACCCTGCCATAATAGAATGTACAATTGTTCGCTCATAAACGCATATCGCTGATAGTCATACATCCAACTCCCCTCCCCCTTCCTCATTCTTCCGTTCCCCCATGCCAGTCAGAGCATCGCTCTTTTTATCAAATCATAATTTTACTTTTTGGTGGTGGTGTTTTCGAAGGATGCAAGCATGCTTCTCTTCATCTCGTCATTAGGCGATTCGATTCCCGTACTCGTCTGCTTGGCGCTCTTTTGACCCTTTAAAACCTTTGCGGCCATGGTTTTTGCTTGAGCATCACCAACTTTTCCATATACTGCCATGGCGCTAGCAATCATACTTCCAATATCTCCAACATTTCCAGGTACCACGACGGCAGTACCTTCTTTGGCAAGCTTGGCAAATGCATCCACGTATTTTTCGGCGACACTGAGACTAACAGCACCTTGAGCAGATTCCTCCCCTGCAGCAATTACCTGAGCTACCGCCTCGATACCTGCAGCTGTGGCCTTTGCCTTCAACAAAATAGCTTCGGCCTCACCACTCGCGACGTTGATCTGCTCGCTCCTCAAAGCCTCGGATGCCAAGATTACACTTTGCTTTCGTCCCTCTGCAATATTGATGGCACTCTGTCTCTGACCTTCGGAATCGAGAATTTCCGCACGTTTGCTACGCTCAGCAGTAACCTGTCGATGCATAGCTTCCATAACATTTCCGGGTGTGTGAATATCTCTAATTTCGTAACGCAAACAAATCACACCCCATTCTTGTGCAGCTTCGTTGATGGCAGCTGTAATGTTGGTGTTCAGGGCGGCGCGCTCCTTGAGTACTTGGTCGAGGGTAAGTTGTCCGATTTCCGAACGCATAGTGGTTTGTGCCAGTTGAGAGATGGCATACTCAGCATCTTCCACCCCATAACTTGAGATACATTAGCACATTTATTAGCTAAGGGATAAAGAGGAATTACCTAGCCTTATAGGCATCAAAGACTCGAGTATACAGCACACCATCAAGCTCCAAAGTAACGTTGTCAGTGGTGATAGCACTCTGACTAGGAATCTCAATAGCAGACTCTTTCAAGCTCTTAACGTATGATATCTTGTCTACTATTGGCAATAAAATAGCGAGACCAGGCTCCAATATTCGGTTGAACTTTCCCATGCGTTCTACAATCCATGCTGTTTGTTGAGGAACAAATCGAATAATGGTGTTTGCGGGTAAAGACGGTCGCTGAAAATATGAAGTCGGTGTATCTGAACTATTCATCCCCATCAAGCCACTGTTCGGCGCTCTTAATCTGGGAGAGACATGGAGCTGTCGTCGTTGCTGCGTGTATCTTTGTGAGAGAAGGGCTTGAGCTCTAGGCAATAGAACTCGAGAGGTAGTTTTGGGCAGAAATGTCGAGATACTCTGGGAGAGTACTGGCGCCCTCATGGCCATGCGATAAGTTGTCTCGAAGGACATTGTTTTCATTTGAATCTCTAGATGGAGGTGATAGCTATCATACGTGACGGCCTTTCAACATCATGTACGGTGGAACTGGCCCGGAGAAACTCCACACTAGCGGGCGGCCGCGTCGGTCCGTGCCGAGAAGTCGATAAGCCATCCATTCGAGCTTCCTCTCGCTTTCCAATCTCAATTATTTTGACTCTACCTAGCAATTGTCTGCAAAGTTTCCAGCACATTTGATATACGCTCATACACACATTTGACTATAAGTACTATTTTTTTCGCTATCTTAGCACTCCTACATTCAGATTGATTAACCAATTTCATAAGATGTCTGAGTACTGGAAATCAACGGTACGTCACAAAACGAACTCCGATATGCAGTGATGCTAATACATGTTATAGCCCAATTATTGGTGCAAGCACTGCAAACAATATGTCAAAGATACCAAACTCGAGAAAACAAATCATGAAGCCAGTCCGCGACATCAAGGCAACCTTAAGCGCTTCTTGCGCGACTTACATCGTGGCCATGAAAAAGACCAAAGAGAAAAGGATCGAGCGAAAGATGAAGTCGCGCGACTAAACGGCATAGTTAGTAGAAGCGGCGAAGCAGGAAGCTCTTCACAGTCCTCGATACCTAGCTCATCGATACCAAAACCCCCAGCGACAGCCTCGCAGCGAAAGCAACAATTGGTGCAGTTGGTGGAGCTAGGCGTTAGTGTTCCAGATGAATTCAGATCCGATCTAGCTATGGCGGGAGAATGGCAGGTCACTGCTGAGCGTGTAATTGATGATGGGGACGGAGAACAGAAACCAGATGCACTTGCATTGGGGGTTCGAAAAAGGGAAGCCGGAGATGAAGATGAGGAGGCGATGGAGGCGAGAAAGAGGAGATGGGGCACGGCAATTCGCACATACCCTACAGAGAATAACGATGATGATTTAGACGCATTGTTGAGCAATACTGCTAAAGGAAAGGGTCCAGCTTTAAAGTCCGAGACGGACGACGGTATCAAGATAGCGATAAAGAAAGAGAATGACGAGGATCCAGATACTCTATCGAGTAGTAAAGGGAAGGAACCGGCTGTGAAGTCCGAGACAGAGGACGATGTCAAAACCGACATTCAAGAGCTGCCAGAAGCCACAGAGAAAAATAGTGAGCTAGCAGCACCAGGGGTCATCTTCAAGAAAAGAAAAGCCAAAAATATTCGCCAAAGATGAAAGACTACCGACCAAAAAAAACCACATCAACTAAATAAAACCAAGCAAACCAAATCAGTCATTGACACTCCCCCACTCTTTCAAGATATTAAAGTTCAAAAAGTATGCTAAACCTGCAAGGTTCGAGCAAGGCTGTAATTACAGTGGGTTGAGTGGGGAGACCCCTATGTTGCGGGGGTGGGGTACGGGTACGGGAACGGGTACCTCAAACCTCAAGCCTACAAGAGTATGGTAACGCTATGGAATCCAATCCAATCTTCGATCTACTCAGACAGTAAGTAGTCTAGACTCTAGCGATATCGATAGCGATAGCATCAAGAACTCAAGAATCTCGCACTAAAGTCAGGCACTCCATTATATAATCAACTACTCGAGTAGATAACCTCAAGACTCCTATCCTCCATAGAGGATAGAGGCCCCTCCTCATGTTTTTGACAGCGAGTCCAAGAGACGATGGTGATGGTGATGGTGATGGTGTTGTAGGGGTGTACAGTTTAGTTTGCTGTATATGTATACTCGTACAGTATAGTACATGGGAGTTCCTGAGTGGAAAAGTGGATACGAAAGTGGAAAAGTGAATAGGAAAGTCTGTCTAATCGAGGTACTTACAGTGAATGAATTGTATAGTGTAGCACTCGAGAATTTAAAATTCTTCAAGACTACCTAGGTAGATAAAGAAAGAAGCACCAATATCGAAAAGACATCAATCAGATAACCACCCCCTGAAAATTGCCTCCTACTCAAAGTTTCAAATAGGAAAGAGTAGCGAGAATATTGATGTTAAATTGAAATTCACTCATACAGAGTTCCCCACAGTACCTATAGCAACTACTCAGCGTGTAAAAAGTTGAGCTTTATAATATCATCTATCAATCACTATCACTATCCATAACTAAGTTACCTCCTATCCCCCTATCCCCCACACACTCCTTCCCTACACGCCCATCCATCCCAAAATAGCCTCCCTACACCATGAGTCCAATACCCCACCCATACCTACAAAATACCGCTACAGGCGGATTGCATACTATAGCAGTATACTATGTAGTAGGTCCGCCCTTTGAAACACAAATCCGTCCGTCGCCTATTGCGCCTATAAACAGTTGTATAATATCCCCTCTCGCACTCCAATCGCATTCAACCACAATCTCGCTGGGGGGGAAACCCACCATGTACATACATTTAAGTAATGTGTAATGGTTGGCATGCAGAAAAGAAATCCATCGCAGCCTCGTATCGCATTGCGTTTCAACATCTCACCATCAACTCTTCTCTTCCCCTATCATTTTCCCCTCTTGTCTCATTAGTGGGTTATCGCGGTATTGGCTTTGCTTTCAAAACTTGATCCTAATTGTTTTCCATCTTCATCTGATGGGTTCATGATCGCTGGGGTATCTGGTGTAATCATGAGCTCAGGTGTAATGATGTTGGTATTGATGTTCGTATCTGGCATCTGGAGCCTAGTCGGAATAGGGCGGTCGTGATGTACAACTTGGATTCGCGAGACAGTATCTGCAGCTCGTATAGTTGCGGTGCTCACATCCATATCTGTCGAGGCGTTTTCATCCTTGCTTCCATGTCTGGAACCTGAATTTTCATATACATTCTCAACATGAACTGCACTAAGCCTTTTCTCATTATCGTCCTCATTTTCAATCCTGGCCGTGAGACTGTGAAAGTTGAACATAGGCTCCGTTCCTGCATCGTCATAATCGTTGCCCTCACAACTTGTCGCAGTAGCACCAGGGCTTTCGATGCTTGCAGAGGAGCCTTGGACGTTGGTACCATTGCCAGACTCAAGTAACGAAGATGAAGCACTAGACGCGGTACTCATTTGTCGTAGATGAGAAGGCTTGTCGGGAGCGGTAGGTGAAGGAATAGATTGATGGGTATCTAATAAGCTAGAACTCGTGGAAGGATCCGAATGCTGAGCACCAGGGAGCCTAGCATCCGTGGCACTCCCTTGATTTCCCAAAGAAGATCGATCTACACCTTTCCCTTTCCCTTTTCCCTGTACAGGTTCCTCAACTTCTTCGGGAGTCACTTCTGTAGCCAAATGACTTGCGGTGCTACCAGATCTTTTTCTCCCAGTAAGAGTGGCAGCTAGGTTGCTGCCTAAGTTCAACACACTCGAGCTGGCCGAACTTCCGCTAGCACCGTATATTGATTTTCTTTCTTTCTTCTCTTTCTTTTTGTCTTCCTTGGCCTGTTTCCTCGACTGCTTTGCAACCTCCTTGGCAGTTTCTCTGTCGGCCTTCTTCTTCCGCTCCTCTTCAGCCGCAATACTAAGTCTAATGGCCTCGGCCATCATCAAGTCTTCCAGATCATCCCTTCTTTGTCTTCGAGCAACATTGGGGTCTTGACCTTCCCTACGTATATGACCAACCTGCTCAGCGACGGTCCTCGAACTGGCATCACGATTTGGAGGTGTTGCAGTGCCGCTAGCTTCAGGACTGTTATCGCTACGATTTCTACCAAAACGACCTCGACTGAAACCATACATGCGGCTTTCTGAGGTTCCAGGAAGCACATAGGCGGCTGCATGCAACGCCGAAGCGGCAGCGGACCTTTTAGCCTTTGTAAGGTTGGCAGCCTCAAGTTTTGTTGACCAGTCTGGCCTGATACGATCTGTCGTAATGACACGAGAATCGTCCGCCGACAATGAAATAGCCCGGCGTCTGTCTACTCTTGGTGCGAGTCCCGGACTTTTTACAAGCGGTGTTTTGATTGACGATGATGATGACATGGCCGAAGAGAAGTTGGCAATTTCCGGGGAGGGCTTTGCATAAACAAGACCACGACGGAAAGGCGGAGGCTCGTATGTGACGCCAAATTCAGGTCGTAAACAATAAGGACAACAGGCTGGTTCTGAAACCAGCATTTCTGTATCTTCAACAACAGTCTCGGGAGCTTCAGGGGCGGATTGTGGTGGACCGTGATGTTCAGGTATATGTGGGTCTGGTCTCTTAATTTGTACAAAGCACTCCGAGCAAATATTTTGGTCGCAACATCGAGTCCTATTGACATATGAAGGATACCAAGTCAAGCATATCGCGCATTCTATTGAATCCTTATACAGGAAAGCCTCAATAGCCTGACCATTTACTTTGGGATCTCTGGGTAATTGGATCTCGCGCCGTGTGACGTCAGGTGCCGAGGATTCTTTCGATGCAGATTTCAAACCTAACGTTTTAGCTCTAGATCGAAGCAGAGAGGTGGAAGTCGCAGGAGCATTAAGGGGCGATGCTGGAGACGATGTATTGAAAGCCGGGTGTGACGAGGAAAGGCCAACCGAAGTGTCATAGGAAGCGGATTGGGTTCGTAAAGCTAGTGGCATCATCAAATTTTGTAGATTCGAACTTGACGCATTCGGGGAATCGGAAGAATGAGGCCTGGAGATGTTTTCGGCGGGAACTTCATCCGCGGCGGGAATTGGAAGGCCTCGTGCAGCAGCAACCAACTGATGTTCTGTCCAATCCTTTTGATAATCATCTAGGCCTCTCCAAAAAGGTGCAATTCGTCGCTCAATCTTGTGCATGTCAGCATAATGCCTCGTCATAAACTCCCATCGTCTCTAACATACCATCAACTGTCTTACTAACACCTTATTGAAATCTTCTGGTCCAGTGTAGACGCCCATTGTGACTAAAAATCCAGTATCGACATGTTCTTCCTTGATGCTTCTCCCTCGCTCTTCTATCCTTGCAATCCTCTCCCTTTCCAATTTCCTAGCTTTCGCCTCGGCCCTTGTTTCCTTCCTCTCCGGCACATCATTACTTGATCCGCCGGACACCAAAGATGCTACTAAATTGCGTCTGCTGCCTCTGCCAGTACGGGAAGCATATAGATCTTGATCGGATGTAGATGTTGGACCACTCGTACTGCCGTCCTGATGTCGATGCCTATCACCATGCGGGTCGGACCGCGATGGGTTCATAGAACTTTGCTGATGACCCATTTTGCAGTCGCAATGTCTGCAGAACTAGGAATCAGCTGTTCATCGAGAATTGAGGCAGTAAGGACTATATCCAAGATAAACTTGGGTAGGATTGTGTCAACTTCTCGAAATTGAGTAGATGTTGTGAATTTATGCAGGTTCTCAATAAAGCGTGGGGGACTGTGATTGTAAGGTTTATTTCGCCTGAGCCACAGTGAAGTTCCACTCCCAATTTGGATCACACGAGCTGATTCAGATAAAGACGAGTGAGTATCTTTAGTTGTTGACAGAGGGGAGAGGATACAATCAGCTGCGGTCTTTGTGATAAGGAATAGTCATCTGCGTTGAACGTCTGGTACTTTTATTCTCGTCCCGATGATGAATTTATTGGTAGAGTAGATAAAATATAAATGAAGGAAACAGGAAGTGTAGGTAGGTATGTACTCGAGTATTTGTATTTGTTGATATCCCTACTACGAGAGGAGTTGTAGAGTAGGGTACTGTAGATCTCCTTGGTTATATGAAGGAACAAGTGAGTAAAAGAAACCAGAATTTAAATTTCTATGAGTATTATGACGGTAGGATAGACAAAGCCTAATTAATGATCTAATTAATGAAGAAGAAAGCAGGAAAGTCAAAATATTGAAGAACTGTATTCAACCAAATACCGGTATTATCTACTACTTGTTACATATGCTATAGATTCAATAGCCGCATTTTCCGAGTTAGACGTTGAAAGCATGTACGAATAGATTCTTCTTTTCCCCCCCATTACCGTTCTATATTGAAGGAACGAGATTACACTTGATACTCGAGTAATGATTATTAATTCACCTCTACTCGAGTATGTTATATTGTGTTTTTTCCTCTTTCAATATAACTGTTCTTTCTATCTGTGTACTTTTAAATGCGCCGCTTTCAGCCACATAGAAATAATAGCAAGCCATAATGAAGCTTTTTCATATTGGGGGGTTCTAGTTACTAGAAAAACCATACTATGGATTCTGGAATCCACTGATCCCGTTCTAGAACCGGACTATTCGGGTCGTACCTTGCCTAACCAGTGCCAATGTAACTGTCAGGCCGTTAGTGAAATTTACTTGTACCTGATTTCTCAAATTTGAATTTGATTCGATACAGCAGTCCCAGTACCTGAGATCTTTCAACACGATACAGACGATATCGACTGAGTTTTTGAGAATGTCTCAACTTCTAAAGCCCTGAAGCTCGCATTTATAAGTGCAATAGGACGGGTTTAACATGCAATTCACCAGACTTCATCAAATAAAATTGGATCAACTACAATACCATACGGATTTGGATTTGGAATTCAATTAATTCACACCCTGCCGGTGATGGTTCTCGGGCGCAAGAGTTCGTTCTATAATAGTTCAGTGAAATTTTACACGTGACTTCACCGCAAGATAGAATCTTGTGAGAGCATTATTGTTCGTTAACTCGATAATTATTTAGATTGCTCTAAACACAACCACCCCGAGAAAAAGTATTTCATATTATTGTTTCATTTTGAATTACATGGCTGATTGATCGAGTTGATTATCTCATGCAGCCGCTATGTCGAAAAAAACAGCTTCGGCTAGTCACTTCTTCATCATGTTTCCATGACCAGCAACTTGCCTTTTACTACCTCTTATCTATTTCTGCGTCTATGTACATTTACAAGTACGCATCAAGAATTGGCTTTTAGTTCTTTAGCTTGCTACTTAGGCTCCTTCTGCTGTCCTTTCTGTGTCTCCGTACGTTCAGTCTCCCCCTAGTGTTTGGCTCTGTCTACTCTACGATCCCAAATTGCCCAAGCATCTGTATCTGTTCTAAAAAACCCATAGCTTTCGTGGCTGCTTTACGCTCGTTTGGTATTAAGCTGCTCCGTCCCGGAATCCTGGATAGTACTTGGCGTCGTGAATCCCGGAATATCCTACACTTCAACAGTATATGCATTACCGTCTGCCTGCCTTCTTCGCAGGCACACCGTGGGTCAGTGATCTCTGGGACCCTCTGATATAAGAAAATCCTCAGGTCTATCTTCTCTGTTCGCATTTGAATTGGCAGAGAGTTGTGTTGTTTGCTGCGCTTGTCATGTAAGTATAAGACTTTGTATGTTGGTTTAGGGGTGTATCTGTAGCTGGTTCTCCCCCTTGTTTCCGTGCCCCAGCTGTATTCCCATCCCTTTTGTGCCTTCTGCTTGATCCAGGTCTTGGGTGTGTTGCGTAGTGGGTATAGCAGGGCCGACTAACTCACAATCAAAAACATCCGAATCCGACCAAAAAGAAAACTTGAGAGATTAACTTCTAATATATGAAAATATAGCCAATAAGTACGATCATTTCCTTTAGCATTCCGAACATGACTATTTCTTAATTGCATCTGTAACACCGTTGAAGAACACAACCTGGACAGTGATATCATCTCTCAAGCGCCGGGAGAACGGCGAGTCTATAGCGAGCCGGCCTGCTATCATTTCATGATGATTCCCACCGAGCGAATTTCGCACCAAGTGAACAGCAGCATTGCTGTCCTGTACAATTGTTCTCTCCTTCATAAACGCCCAGGTCGTTCCATTCCACCATTCGGTGAAGTCAAAGGGTCCGTACGTCGGCTCTGCTATTTTGGTCTTCCTTTCCGAACCTTGAGATGTGGTCTGCAGCCATGTCGCAACTAGATCGACCGATTCCTGACTTGAGACTGATTCCCACAGACCATCTGTTGCAAGAATTAAAAAGTAAACCTTTTCAGGCTCAATCTTAGTGGTAGTTACAACTGGCTCAGCTGTTATGTATGGCGGTGTCTCGTACTTGTACTTGGGCGTTAGAAATCCGGGACCCATGAATCGCTTAGAAAAGTCTCTTTGCAACTCCATTGGCCACTTCCATTGCCCATCACCGAAAGTACGCGAGACCCCAAGGCCTAGAACACGGCCATTATTGATTATATCCTCTTCTTCCCCAGGGTGCTCTCGCCTAAGCCTTGCGATCTCCTCCCCATTCTTACCAGTCTGGTCTATAGATAGAGGAACTGCTTTCCAGCTGCCGTCTGCATCCAGTTGTCCGAGTACCGCTCTTGAATCGCCAGTACATGCCACATGCAATCTCCTTGTAGTAGGATCATATAAGGATAGCAGAGCACATGATCCAGCAAAGCCAGGTGCTATTTGCTGCATCTTCTCTGGTAGTGGCTGGACCCTTTCTGCGATGCTGAATGCTGTTTTCATGATTGAGTCGTCAGATTCACAAAGGCCTTTATGATCGCGTTTTGCATCGACTGCTCATCAGCCTCTCCGTTCAAGGGTCTCGTGACGTTGCTCAAGCTGCTTCGTACATACGATAGAAGCTGTTTCTCTAGCAAATCTGCCGTTTGCCATCCGGCATGCCCATCAAATACAGCCCAGGCCATCCAAGCAGAGTCGTCGTCGTTCCAAGGCGAGGCGTGACGACCATGGATGAACCGGTCCTCACAAGGACTATTCGAGGCTAGCTGAGCACCGTCATATCTATCGACGCCAGCGATTCTCCAGACCTTGTGAGAATATGCTGCTTGCGAAAGTCGTCGTGTTACTTCAGCTTTTGAAGCATCAGACCTAGCAGCCGTGGAGAGCTTGGGCAATGATTCCTCAAAACGTGGCACATCATCAAAGCCAGCTATTGAAAACCAAATACCCGATACTGTGATCACACCAGCAATTGAGACATATCCTAAGCGTTTTGCGGCGTTTGCTCTTACAGTCGAGCTCTTTAGTTGTGTGTAAAGACGGTTTTGTATCTGCGATATGCAGGATATACGCAATCGAGCTGTACGCAATATCGGCATTGTGGACATGAGTGTTGTCGGATAAGTGTCCTAAACTTTCATTCAATAACAGTAAGAGAGTTTGTAGACAAACATTGATGTTGAATAAGAACAAACAGTAAATAAACAAATACAACTTCATGCGGGTACGCGCATTAGCGTTGTAACGAAATGATACAACTTTACGGCTCCTTTCGGACTATTCGTGAGCGAAGCAGCTCCTCCTCTCTCTCAAGGCTGCTAGAACGATATTTCCTGATTGGAATTAGCCAAATCTACAACAAGGTGTTTCTAAGTTCGATAACTGCGTGAGTAACACTCTCAAACGTGATATATACAACTTATACTGTTCCAGCTTTTCTGTTAACAAAGTCGAGCAGTCGGATTCTGATTCATTAATATCATAATATATACGGTAATTCTATATCCACTAGATTAATTATTCAATAATAGAAATTCTCAAAGAAAAGAAGACTATATTCAAGATAATAGCAATGTTCGATATCTGAAATTAGAATATTAATAGAGTATAAGAGGATCCTTTTGAGATTTTATAGAATGAGAAGAGATTTATATAATATAGTACTATTAGATACCTAGATAGATTAATAGAGTATCTTTAATATGATTTACAGAGTAGGTTTGCTTAATAATAACAATTATAATGGGGACACTCATGGGTCAGTAGCTTTGGAAAGATCAACGGGGTCCTCGACTCTTGATCATCGCAATAACTTTTTTTTTCTTCCTCTGGCGATTATCTATCGTCTTGTCTCGTCTCATCTTTCTCAGGTTCTCTTATTACACACGCGTATAGGTTTCGATAAGAAAGATGAAACCTATATAAGTATATCTTGTCGATAGTCACAATCAGAAATCAGTCTCGCATATCGAGGGGTAATTCTCACTACTGTATACGTGTATTAGCAAGAAGTCTAAACAAGCAATTTATTTAGATATTTACTCGATATTAAGAAATCGAATTACAAATACCTACTAAGTAGACTAAATTCATTAATGGATCAATTATTAGCATCATTCCTTTAACAAAATCAAAATCAAAATCCGCCAAGATAAATAAGTGCGAATGCAGAAAAAGAAGGATAAAACACTTGCCCCACTATGACCCCCCCTCTTGCTACAAGACTTCAATACATTCAAACAACCCAACTGTGGCGGCAGCACATTGTCAATTCTCAAAGGTAACTAACTACCTACCTAGTAGTAATTCTTTCCTTCATTACATTATAGTTGATCTTCCAACAACTTTTCTCTTCCTTTCACATATTCTTGTTTTCAAGCTTAGATACTTTCTTTTCCTACACTTTACACTTCAAATCACTCGAGCATTCCTTTCAACATACATACATACATACATACATACATACGTACAACTCCTATTCAAAAAATGACAACTCGACCACCACTTTCAACAGTTCTTCCACCTCTCATCTGCGGTACTGCAACTTTCAATAATCAATATAATGCCGATCCCTTCAAACTCCCCACGAATGCCATCGTGCAAAGAGCTCTCGAATCCGGCGTGAATGCCTTCGATACCTCTCCCTACTATGGCCCCTCTGAAGAAATCCTCGGTATGTATATATTTCCTCTCGCCATCCCATCCTCCCCCAAACCACCATCTAACTTCTATTCCTCCCAGGCCGCGCCCTCCAACAACCACAAATCCTCGCCCACCACCCCCGCTCCAGCTACCGCCTCATAACAAAATGCGGACGCATCAGCAGTTCTGAATTCGACTATTCCCCCGCCTGGATCCAACACTCGATTTCGCGCTCCCTCACCCGCCTCCACACTTCCTACCTCGACGTCGTCTACCTCCACGACGTTGAATTTGTATCCGCCCCCGAAGTCCTCGAAGCCATAAAATGTCTGCGCGAACTCCAGGCCCAGGGCACCATCCACTACATAGGTATCTCGGGGTATCCCGTCCCCATCCTCTGTGATCTCGCCGAAATGATTTTGCACCAGACGGGAAGACCTCTAGATTGCGTAATGAGCTATGCGAATTTCACCATCCAGAATCACTCTTTATACACATCCGGGCTCGCGCGACTGCGTAAATCAGGCGTGGATTGCGTGCCCAATGCCTCGGTTCTGGGAATGGGACTTCTACGCAGCACAGGGGTGCCAAACAACGGGAAGGAGGATTGGCATCCGTCGCCTACGGAACTACGATCACGAGTGCAAAAAGCTGCGCGCTGGGTAGAGGAACGCGGTGAGAGATTAGAAGTTGTGGCTATACGGTGGGGACTGGAACGGTGGGCGCTAGATGGTAAAGTTGGGTCTGAACCCATTGGTGTGTCTGTAATGGGTGTGAGTAATATCGAAGAATTTGAGGAAACGCTGAGGGTGTGGAATAGCGTGTTGGATGGGATCCCTATTTCTGGACGACAAGTGACGGAATCGAAAAGACAATGGAGTTTGAAAAGGAGGGAAGAGGTCGAAGAGTTAGCGAAAGGGATTAGGGAGATTCTTGGGGATTATCGTGATTATGCGTGGGCGAGTCCTGGGGAGGGATTCGTGAATACGAAGGTTGTCAAAGGGGTTGTGGATGAAGTTGCGCCGATGGCCAGGGTCGAGACCGGTGCTGTTAATGGGGAAGAGAAGGCAGTTTTGATTTCCACGGTTAGGGACTTGGGAAAGGATAGTAGTAGACTCTGATTATCTACTGTAGTCTCTTTTTGGGTGGATATGATTTAGGAGAAAACAGGCACGCATAATATGATGAATGGATGGATAGATTGAATGAGCAATGGGTTGTTGCCTTCAATAATACTTCAATTTATTTTATGATTACTTGATGCAATCATCATACTCCTATCTAAGTTCAAAAAGTCCCTCTGATTATCTCTCTGTAATGTGTGAATAGTTGAATATCCAGGAACTTTTTTTATAAAAAGAAAATTGCCCGAAGATGATGAACCGCTAGTGACCAACGGCCAGAAATCAGAAATAGCATGTTGAAAGAGAAAGCTTTTGTTGAAAGGCGAGATTTCGTTTTCTTGATATCAGTGCTCTTAATATCCACGACATTCCCAGAAGCACCACTTCACAGATTGTACCGGGCAGTAAAAAACTCCATTGTACGCCATATTTCGCATATTTTCCCCAAAATTTTAACCGAGCACTTTTCGTTTGTCCAAACGTAAAAACTGCATACATCTAAGATGAATGCTTGCGGCGTTCCCGAACGGAATCGGCAAGTTGCTCGAGAACTTCGATGGTAGATTCCCAGTTGACACAAGCATCAGTAATACTGACACCCTTCTTGAGCCCGGCTGGGCCCTCGGCTGGTACCTTTTGGTTGCCTTCGTTGATGTTGGACTCGATCATGACACCGATGATGGATTTGTCACCAGCACGGATTTGGTCACCGACGACTTGGGCGACCTTGGGTTGATTTCGGTGGTCCTTGTTTGAGTTGCCTGGGTTTGTTAGCAAAATATTTATATGCATATGTATAGAGTAGACATGCCGTGAGAGCAATCAATCATGATAGCTTGCTTTTGACCCTTGTTGGTCAAAGTTTCCTTAGTGAGCTTAACGTTCTCAGCATCGAAGTTTGTACCCTTGGTACCACCACGTAAGATAACAAATCCGTGCTCATTTCCACTGGTTCTGGTAATAGCAGCCAGACCTTGTTTTGTAACACCCATGAAATGATGTTTAGCTGCCGCAGATCCAATGGCATCAATTGCAACAGTCAAGCTTCCATCGGTACCATTCTTGAATCCAACTGGGAAAGACAGACCTGATGCAAGCTCACGATGTAATTGTGATTCAGTGGTTCTTGCACCAATAGCACCGAGCGAGATCAAATCTGCGAGAAATTGTGGGGAGATGGTATCGAGCATTTCAGTTGCAATGGGCACACCGATGCTGGTGAGATCGCAGAAGAGTTGACGACTGATTCGTAGGCCCTTGTTGATCTTGAATGACTCATCAATATCTGGGTCATTGATCAAACCTTTCCATCCAACAGTTGTACGGGGCTTCTCGAGGTAGGCACGCATAATGATGCAAAGATCACTAGACAATTTATCGGCAAGATTCTTTAATTTTCCTGCGTACTCGATGGCGGTGGCTGGATCATGAAGTGAACAAGGTCCGACGACGACCAAAAGACGGTCAGATCTACCCATAATGATCTCGACAGCATCTCTTCGACCTTTAACGACGGTCTCAAGAGAATCGTTTGAAATGGGGATTTCGGAGAGGAGTAATTGAGGGGGGATCAAAGGATCTTGACCTAAGACTGTAAGATTGGTAAGAAGATCAGTATTTGTATTTGTAAAAGAGTAAATTTTTTGGAATATTTTGGCGGGGTCATACTTCGAGTATCATCAGCGACGAGGGGTTCAAAGTCAAGTTGAGGCATCTTGTGTATCTTGTGTATCTTGTGTATCTTGTTTGAATATGATATAAAAAGAGTTTGAAGAAGGAGGAAATGTGATGGATCTTATAGATCTTGTTTCTATGCTGATTTGACTTTTTTTATATCAACGGGTATGTATGCAATATTATAGACTTTATTTTGCTGCGAGTTATATTGAGTTGAGTGTGCTTCGTTGTCTGGCTGTTGTGTAAAGTGAGAGTGAAAAAGTTCATAAAGTTGCAAGCTTGGACCAATAACACCAATAACCCAATAAACCTGATGATGGTCCGATGTTCCGATCGGTTCTTCTCTTCTCCTTCGGCCAAAAAGAAAGCTCGGATTTGATATATATGGGTTTATTAATGAAAGAAAGTTTGCAACTCGGGAAGTTAAAAACTAAGGCTATTCCTGTTGTAGTTTACCATTAATGAGATAACAGCTTCTTGAATTCCCATCCCCCTTGATCAATTTATTTATCAGACAGATACTACCTATGATACTACCTATATACAATACCGGTAACAGTTTGAAAACCTCATCATTGAGTTCTAAATGTTCTAATTGATTTTACTACTTACTACCTTAAAGATCTTGGAAATTACCGCTCTTTAGGTATTGCTCATAACTGACTACCTTCGAGGCTTACAGCGTGGCCAGAGGGAAACCGAGAGAAAAGTGGTAGATAGTAGTACTGCAGTAGTAAAGTATTATGGATTCCCATCTATACGAACATTTCCATTTGTATAAAAGCAATTAGTAATACTTGAAACCATTGATGAATAGGTAAATCAGTTAAGTTGACTAAATGGGCTAAAGTCAGTCTCTTATCGGTAATCTTGTGTAATAAATAATCTAGTAGAGTTTTATACCAAAATCATTAACTATAATACTTATTCAATGAAAATGATGCAAGAGTATTGGCCGAATACCCCTGTTTTTCCTTATCGAGTAGCTGGCGATTTGCATACTTTCTGGCGACGACGAGTTATGAGTAAGATCGGATCCGATAAGGATGAAATCTTTTAACTTATTTTAGTTTAGCTTGATCAATTATGTACTTATTATTGTTACCCCAGTTATTTAGAAGAATCTCTAAACACCAAAAGTCCATGATGAAGCATTTATGAAACTCAACTATCTAAGTAATAAGTAACTTACTTACCAGTCAGTGACTTAGATTTACTATTCTTGTTCTAGATTAATGATAATTATTGAGTTGGAAAGATCTTTTCATTTCCTGGTCCTTCCTGTATTGTATGTACATTGATTGATTTGTCCTTTATCATTTATCATCGTAAATACAGTATCTTTGGTACAGCTGAATCCACTCCAGCCTCGCCACCTCCTTCTCAACCTTCTTGTTTGCACTTGCACGACAAAGTGTATGACTACAGTACCCTTCAAATCAATAAGATAATCTAGAGGATAAATCATCAATATGTTCGAACCACAATGGTCAAGTAGGAAGCGCGAAAGAGAAGATGAGAATGATTTTGGTACATCGGGCTTTGGTGCTCACAGAAGTGTAAGCACTGCAGCCACTTCCACTTCCACTTCCATTTCCACTTCCATTTCCACTTCAACTTATCGACAAAGACCTGAACATTAATGCATGAACTTGATTAGAAACGACACATAGCAAATCTACCACATCGAACCTCACCACATGCCAAACGTCAGGGTGCACACCCTTTTACCCTAAATCATTCCACCCCAGCACCCACTATCGCTCCCGCGGACTCGGACTCGGAGGGAACTTCCACCATTGCGGACCCGACAAACTCATTTTATTCATGGACCTCATCGCCATTGACAGCGGTCAAACAAAACCATGAAGACGATCAAATGCACAGTCAGAGCGAAACTTTTCTCTCGAGTCAAATGTCGGATGGACCAATTTATTCGGATGACTTCGATATGACTGATAGTGGTATGCATCTATCTCCCGGACCATTCCAGCTAGATCCCTCTATCACCCTAGCCAATCGAATTCCCACTCCAATCCACAGTTCATTCTCCGCCTATCTCCGACCAGATAAACCACTCCACCCCACTCTCTTAGAACCCAACCTCACCACCGACGAAGCATACATCGATCGTTTTCGTCGCGGTCGACGCCTCCCCAGTCCCATTAGTGAAGGTGAAATGAGCCCCAGCGTCATCGTCAACGGAATCAACGATATGCAAATGGAAGTCGAGCCTTCCTTTCCCTCGCCCGAATTCGATAAAGAAATTCCCACTCCCCATAAGAAAGGCCATACTCGTTCCAAACATAGCTTGCGGAACTGGAACGGATCCACTGGGGATCTTGCGGGCAACGTCAACGGGGTGGGAACGAAGAAAAGCTTTAGTATGGGATATCGGGCGGATTGTGAAAAGTGTCGGAATAAGGTTCCGGGACACTTTAGTCACATAATTACATATTGATTGATGGGTTATGTTATGCTAATGAAGGAACGGAATGAATGGGAATTGGGATGGGGGATCAATGGGCATGACTATTGGTGCTAGGTGAATTGGGTGATGATATTCCAAGAAAATTAATGGTTAGCTATTAGCGATAAGCTATTAGCGGTTAGCTACTCAGGGGGGCGTTTAGGGGTCTCGGATAAAAGTATACCTACGAACAACAGTGAATAAATATTGTTAGTATATTGTTAGTAATAATGAATATATACCCATCAACCTGACTACGTATTTACCTACCTACCTACCTATACCCATACTCACTCTTGCACCATCGAGTTTTACAAGTAAATTTGTAGATCACCAAGTCACTTCAACTTCAACTTCAACGTTTTCAATTTCAAAGTTTAAATATACCATCCCATCCCATCCCACACCAAAACCGAGTAAGCATTCAACCAGTCAACCTTTTTCAATATCCTCGAGTATTGTTTACGAGTAATATTTACAAGTAAAATTTACGGATCTTGTTTTAACTTGAGATGAAACCAAACAGGGAGAGAGAGAGAGAGAGAGAGAGAGAGAGAGAGAGGTGTGAGATTACAATAATACAATCCTTTTCGATATAGTATGGATATGATGTGGTAGGGTAAGGGTATGTATGGGTGGTGTGTTGTATATCTAAGACTGTGGATTGTACGAGTACCGGTAGATTGGATTCAAGAATTATGTAGTGAAGTGAAGTAGTGTATGATATTAGTGTATTATAAGATATGATATGAAATGATATGATATGATATGATACCTATACCTTATAGAGTATACATGACGGCTGGCTAACGGCTAACTGGCTAACTGGCTAATCAAATTAGCATTAGGGTTAGGATTAGGATTAGGATTATTGAATCATTTTACTCGTAGACGAATATTCATCGAGTCGAGTAACCTTACTATACTATACTAGTAATAGGTAGGTAGGTAGGCAAAAGAAAAGCACATAAATATAGTCGTGTCATGGGGGTTTTTGATGTTTTTTTTCTTGTATTTATTGTATTGTATTGTTATAATGAAAAAAAAGTCGTTACTCGTAATGAATAATGGTTTTATTTATTCATGTATTCATTTATTCATTCATGTATTCGTTTTTCTTAATAAAGTTCTATTTCCCCGAATCTAACCTATCTTACCGATCGACTCGGAGTAATATTGTATGTATGTATGTATGTATGTAAAGTGAGTATTGTAGTGCTAGTGCTATATGAATATGCTCGTAGGTACGAGTATACTATAATTAGTACGAGTATACCACTGACAAGTAAGAATAAGATAAGGAAGGTGGAAAAGAGTGCCTGCCGCTAAATTTATATAGTATAGTATAGTATAGTATATACCGGTAGTATATTACAATATAGGGTCGATGTTATGATGGTTACTTTTCGGTACGAGTGGTTTTAGTGTATGTATGCAATCTAGGCATCTGACGGTACCCTTATCAAATTGGGCCCCTACCCCATTCATGGGAAAAGGACCCTCCTATGGTAAGATTGATATGTATGATATATTCAGTAAAAACACAGATTTCATTTTCGGGCAGTTAGGTTTGGGTTTGGGGTTGGGGTTGGATTTGATTGGTTGGTTGTGGTAACCTTAATATGGGGTTGAATAAAATCTATTACTCGTATATCATCTATGAATTTGGTTTAGTTGATATTTGGGATGGAATTGGAAGGTAAGGATGTATAAGGGGATACTCGTATATGGATGTACAAAGAAGGGAAGGGTGAAGGGTATTAGATCATGATATTACAGTACTGTTTTGTATCATATACAGTATATACAGTGGCTCTGTTCGTGTAATCTATGATAGCTTTCTGCCTTTGGCGAATTCGCTCCCGAGGAAGTAGGCACATATACTAGTATACACAACCACATCAAGGCTGTTAGATAAACTAGCAATATATTTTTTTCTTTGAATTTCTTGACCATGCTCTTCTACGTGTGAATATGAGAGCATAGTAGCTTAGGAGTCTTTGGTGGTAGGTTAGTTAGTGTTGGGGAATATATTGAGGCGGGGTTGAGGTTTAGGTTTAGGTTTAGGTTTATTGGAAAATCTTGGATATGATCGTGGGGCATACCAAAGTGAAAGGCAATGCTAGAGTTGGAGGAGGTTGACTCGAATGTAAGATTACAAGTACAGATTGCTGCGGAAGTGGAAGTAGAGGTTGCAGGAGAATGGTGTAGTGACTGGTGGGCAGCGTTTGAAATTATCCCATCCTCCTCCTCTCCCATCCTATCCTAGGTCTAGGATGGAGCTCCTATATCTATTGATTTTATAGATATCCTCATCCTAGTAGAAGGATATAGTAGATATCACATGATTAATTTAATTACATACTCATCAATAAATCAGATGATATTATATAAAGATTATATAAAAATCATATGAAATATTGTCATTCTACTAGCTTCCATCCTATCCTAGACTGTATATATACCTACTATAGCCTCTGAATATCTTGAAACTCCTTATTCTGCCTAGCCTCATCCTTCCTATCCTTACCTAAAGGATAGGATAGGATGGGATATTTCAAACGCTGCTGGTGGGGAGGAGCTCTGTGGAAAGAACGTTCGTATACCGGTACATGGTGAATCGATTGGCGATGGATAGATTTATCAGAGCTGAATTGTGTATGAGGCTGGTACAATGATGCGAGGATATATGAAGAGTGTCCGTGAGTAGGTGTCGGCAATGATGTCAGGGGCTCGAACTAGTCTTCCTCTAGCTTCACACAAAATTTCACCTTTTATTTCTCATACCAAAGATCAGTACTATCACTACTACTACCACTACTACTACCCATTACATTTCTCATCCAAATCATATATTATATTGTCAAGTGCTCCCCTCATTGCTCTCCGGAACTAATACAAATACAAACCCAAACCCATCTCAATATCAATATCAACAACAATTATGTGATATTAAAAGGCCCCTGATTATCACATTATTAATCATAGACTTTAAATCCCCATTCCTACTCTCGATGATTACAAACTTTTACCCCGAGATTTGAGATTGTTAGAATAGATATACAATCCTAAATAACTTGATGTGGAAATAAGATGAAACAGAAAAGATTGTAGTATCAGAATTGTGATGTGAGTAGCTCTCTAGCCCAATAGTGATATAATACATACATATTTATTTGTACATCAAAATGGAAATTGATATTTGAGATAACCCTTTAGCACACACTCATCTAAAGCTTTGAGGAGGTTACTGTACTATGGAATAACTAGGAATAAGTATTCCTATCTAATTATCCGAGTCGTGCTTGAGAAAGACATTCCTGATGTGTAGACCAAGTACAGTAGCTCATCTCGAGATATGAATTCCGAAGTTCTAGTAGTATCTGAACCAGATATAATTCACTTGGTGTGCCAGTGAGGGTGAGAGATGATGATATTGAAGAATGAGATCACGCATGTAGAAGTGACCTATTATTTGTTAACTTATATACAATTAGATTTTCTATTTTAACAATCCTTCTTTCAAGCTTAAATTCGAAAAAAAACGGAATTACTCATTATATGCTACTCAAGATATTAGAAGATTACCAATCTCTCGGACATTATATCTGTTTATAATATATACATAATATATTAAATCGACATAAATCAGAAGCAATTGTGCTGTCAGGATTTGGTTTCCCCTCTCCTCTCCTTCCTTCTCTTTCCAAAAAAGAAGATAGAGATAGAGGTGCACCCGGGCCTCAACGCAAGTCAACAGTATCTACATAATATTCGCACTTAATTGGACAGCCAGCACGAGTGAATTAGATATGTATTATCTCCTTGATATGATATTTCCCGCAACCGATCAGATGTCGCCTATTTTTGTACAACAAGTAATGAGTTATTAGGGAGAGGCATATTAACGGTATCTAATTTATACTTGTATAGTACTCTACCATATCGATGACTTTATTTAAGCTTAAAGTTGATTTAAGTTGATCACAAGTTCGCCCGCGAGTACAAGTATAGTGTTCATCTACATCTACAGAGTTTTCTTAAATCAAACCCATGCTAATAACATTATAACAGTATCTGAGTAACTAACAATTGTAATAGCAGCAAAACGTGAATAGAACACCAAAGATACATAATACAAATCCAATGAATTTAAAAAGATCCCACAAACTAATACCTTCCTGAATCCTCATCTCACTTTCCCCCCATCCCCTCCCTCAAAAGATACAAAGAACTATATAAATACGAACTTCAAAGCTAGTACCACCCTGTTTTCCCTCCAAAAACGTCACACTAGCACTTTGCACCCTAGGAGACTAAGTATATAGTAATTAGAGTACTCGTAGTTGAAAAACAAGTATTTTTATACTTCGCATAAATAGTACAGTACATGGCCGGCCTCCTTAGCGAAGCGAGAACTACAGTACTCTAGCGAGTTGTTGGTCCCACTTACAACATAGAAAATGGGATGGCTTAGTACAAGTCAAAATACTGGATTGTAGAGAAACAATTCATTCAATTTTGTACTTGAGTTGAGTTGAGTGAAACGATTTAAAAAAATTTGAGATGGTTAGTCCCATAGATAGTAATTATGGGCTATAAAAGTCTTCACTCGAGAGGCGAAGAGGCGGAGGAAATATGTTTATGGTGTTTATTGTCAATGGGCAAAGTACTAGTAACCTATACCACAATAAATACTTAGATAGACCAAGTTGATTATGACTTTACTACGAGTACTACCACTACTATACCACAATAAACGATAGAGATTTAATACTGCATGAACTAATAAATACCAAAAGGTGAGTCAAAAGGGAAAACATGATGCACTATTATCAAGAAGTACCATGCCTGCCATTAAGATAGGGTATCAAAATGTAAATATTCAATCTAATTCATCACGAAGACTCTGCCATAATAAGTCCCACAGTCGTCCTTAAAGCTCCTAATGGCCCCTTTTCCTTGATCAATCTCGCGAACATATCTTTGATCTTACTCAGACTATTGCGATCGTCTTGTGTATGCCCTGCATACATGTTAGTATCTTCTATTCATGCACGAAATCTTTTGGAAATCGACACTTACAACTACTCGGCAAGTCTAGATCAACATCCAAACTACTCTCCACATCACCTATCCAGTCAAAGCCAATCCTCCACCCAACTCGAATCTCAACATCATCTCCATTTATACTCATACTCGTCCTTCCCATCTGACGGTATAAATCTTTTCGCGTCCATTTTTTGGAACTTTCTTCCTCGTCATCGCCGCCCTCATCATCTTCAACAGCCCTTCTCTTCCTTTTCTTTTTCGCATGTTTCTCCATACTTTTCCTCCTCGTTTCCAAGGTTCCAAATTCTCTTTCGGCATCACACCAAAACTTTGCTCGTGCTACGGAGACTTCGGTCCATCTCCCCATTGCCCAGCACACTGTACCGATATCTTTCCCGAGTGGCCCTCTGTTGCTTGTTCGTCGTCGGACAAATGGTCCGAGTTCAGGTTCAGCGTTAGGATCTAATGAGTCCACGTTGAGTGACGATATTGTCAGAGATGATGTATCAACGACCATGGAAAGACGTGCGCTGAAAAGTCCAGAAGGATGAGATGCGGATATTCGATGGTGTTGAAGAGTCGGGATGGGAATTTCCAAAGCTGATTCATTGGGCGAAATGGGTTTAGGTGGAAGGAGAGTAATGGTAGATGTGTATGTCAAATGACTGAAAAGTTGCAAGTGTGGAAGTGGATCATTGAGTGCTATAGGTAGGTTAGACGGAAGAGGTTTATCGATTGGTGGTACAGCTGTCTGTCGGGCTTTACGTCGTCCAGAGAATGGCAAAAACAGATTAGTAGCTTTCAATGCACTTATGGGCTCTGGTTTTCTCTCTTGTTTCTCGGGCGCAGTTGATCGTAAAAGCAGATCTAGTATCTCTTCCGGGTTTGATGCTCTTGCCGGTTTTGAACCTTTAGACTCGTGATGTAGACGTATCCTCTCGTTTTCTTTATTTGCTAAACTAACATCGGCTTGCAATTGTTGCAATTCTTTAAGAAGATCATCTCGGACTTTCTTCTTTGCTGCATGTGGATCATGCGGGACAGAAAACCTAGCCGACTTTCGTCTCTTAGCGGGTGGTTTCGAGAGTGCTTTTACTTCTGGAAAAAGTTCTGCACGTGGCTTTAATGGAGATGACCTCATCCTTGCGCCGAGTGCCTTATTCCTCCTGGCAGTCTTGCTTGGGCTGTTGTGAATCCCAGCTGGGGGTGTTGTAACGACTGGATCTGCAAATCCTCGTTGTATAGGTGTCGGCGGCAGTTCTAGTTCTTCTGGTGCTGTGGCTTGCTGGGGCCTTTTAGATGGAGATAAAAATGACTTTTCAGATTGTGGGAACAATGGTCGTTGTGCTGGTTTGGACAAGGATAATTGCCGCGCTTTACGTCGAGTAGGAGAGTCATCACTCATCAAAGGATTCATGTCATCGAACTGTTGAAGCTCAGGAATCTGAGGTCTATCCTCTAACTCTTGTTGCTGAGGTACATTGATTACAAAGGGGCCATTTGCTTGCAATGTACGTGTTTGAGGTAGTATAGGATCGCTTGGCGTCGTGGAGATAACTTCATCTGCTGGTTGCAAGTCAAGATCAATATTTTCCTCTTCCTCTGAAACTTGAGGGGGGACGACAGGACTCGCAGGCATGACAGGTTCTGCGACTTGTGGACCTGGAACATCAATAGACCCAAACCCTTGAGAAGAACGAAGCCGGCTTGAACTTCTGCTTCTGATAGCAACCTCTTCTGATGCCCTGAGATACGGCTCTAGAGCTTGAACAGGTACTGGATCCTTTGGTGTTGTTGAAGCATATACAGGCGTCGGATCATTTGGTGTTGTTGAAGGATACACAGGGATCGGATCATTTGGTGTAGTAGATGCACGTAAAGGTACTGGATCTTTTGGCGTAGTAGAAACAGGCTCATCCATCTCTAACGATATTTGCGGCACAACAATTTCTGGAGCTGGTACTGCAGCAGACGGTGATCTTCTCAGCCCAGTCTTCTTGAAAGGATTGATGTCATCGTGCGATTGTTCTTCTTGCGAGGCTGCCATAGGCTGGCTGCTTTGTCCTGGTATGGGCGACCGTCTCAATCCCGTCTTTTTAAAGGGATTGGCAATGCCCTGGATATTCTCGAATTCGGCCGCGGGCTTGAAATTGCTTCTTGGGGTTTCCGATGCGATTGGCGGTCGTTTGGTTGGAGATCTTGATAATCTCCTCGGTTTCGATGCCATTCCACCTCCCACCGACCGCGCTCTTGTGGGTGTGCGTGTGATTGCATCATCTCTTCCCTCTGTTGTCGATCCCAAGATTGGCCGTTTTGCACCACTGGTGACACTCCGCCCCCTTTCTCCTTGCGGTGTATTCCCTAAAGCCCTATCAAAAACATCTTGTACTCTCCCTCTACTCGGAGACCTGCCAACTTCAGGTCCTGTCGAAGTAGCTCTCGCGAGTAATTGTGGATTATGGCGCGACAGACTGGCTTTCGTTGGAGAGGCAAATGATGGATAACGCGCCGATGATTGTGTAGGAACCGGAATGCGACTTGGAGTTGGAGGAACGTCGTTAGCGGCCGGGATTGGAGTCTTCGAACGACGTGAGGGGGTATTATCTGCCATATCGCCGCAATATTCTTACACTATCCCATTGTCTGTCGAGTGAGTGGGCATGTATTGTTGTGGAGTGATGTTTACTAAGTTTGGAATCGCGTGTTGGAAGACGCGACGAGAGGGGCTTCGCGAGAACAAGATTCACTCAGTACTTCACTATAAACACGAATCTTGGACCGAAAAGTCAAAATTAGACAAACTTCTATGGATTTAAAGTTTTTTTTAGACAAATCCATTTATCTTTCTAGCAAATGCGATAACTATACTCAACAAAGTTTGCCATTTAAAGTTTAACACCACTCCAGATGCTGACCATTCCAAGTCGCAACAATGACGTTCCTCCAAAACTCTCCGAACATTCATGCCGAAAATAAATAATGCGCGCGCCTCTCACTTCTACACCCAAAATCCAACACACCTAAAAACCTCACAACCCTTCTAATGATTTCACGATAGCATAAACCTTACAAGTTACTCTATAGAGTACAATATACCTATAAACATGGAGCACAGAACTCTCCTCCGATTATCTCAACGCCTCAAACTCCCCCCCTCAGTCCGATACATCCCCTCTTTTGCACGCCACGAATCCACGTCTAATAAGCCTGTTCCTTCTACCCGCCAGGCCCACCCTCAAGGCGACTACTACGCCTTGCTCCTATCCTCCTCCTCTTCTCCCTCCCCGAAATCATCATCCGCGCCCCCCACCACCGCCTCCTCCTCAAACCCACCTATAACCGCATCTACATCTCCCGAACCCTCCCCCGACCCCGCCATTCTCTTCACCTCGCGCCTCTCTTCCCCCCTCGAACGACGCACCGAGATCCTCCGCCAAAGCCAGCCCATATCCCAGATACACGTCCCGCCACGCCCCGAAGAACCCGACAACTGTTGCATGAGTGGCTGCGTAAACTGCGTCTGGGACAGTTATCGGGACGAGGTTGAGGAGTGGGCTGCTGCGAAGAAGGAGGCGGATAGGGCTTTGAGGCAGGAACGGAAGAAGAGGGATATGAGGGGGGCAGCAGAGGCTGCTACGAGTGTGGATGATGATGGGAAGGAGAATGGGGATGATTTGTTTGAGGGGGTGCCGGTGGGGATAAGGGCTTTTATGGAGCAGGAAAAGAGGTTGAAGGAGAAGCATCAGAGGGAAGGTACAGTGGGGTGATGGATTTGAGGAAGAGGGGGGTAGAGGAGTCTACATATATTTGCGCATAGAGGTGATCGGCTTCCGGTGGCTTGGATGCCGTCAAATAGAAGAACAAGAAGAACAAAGAGTACCAGAAGGGTGTTGATACAGTTAAAGCGGATAAAGATGCTTTCAAAGAGCATCACAGAGAGAGACCTGGAGTATTCAAAGCGTAGAAGTATAGGGGATTGTGGTATATTTCATCGGCGTCTGTATATCATAATGTAGATAAAAAGGTTAAACCATGGGTATGGTTTTGTAGAACACGATCTTCACTTTCCCTCAGCACCATAACGAATAGCACACCAGTGTAAAGAATATCCATCAATGATTCGACACATATACTCCATTCAATCCACCATCCAACTCCGACCAACTGCCAATAAGACCTTCAATATCCGGTTCGCATTCCCCTCTCCTCATCTCAAAGTGCGTCGTCCATCTCCATCTTCATCTAATCGACATCCACCCCTTTGGTCCTAAGATCTTTCCTTGCCAACTCAATCTCCCCCATCAACTCCGCATGCGCCTTCGGCACATCATTAAACGTAAAAACGCCATATCCCAACTTCCCCAGAAGATACGCTCCGAACGAGACCAATACCCAGAATGGCAACTATTTCCGCAGAAAACAGACCAAGTCAGCGATAATATTCTTGATGTGAGCGACGATCGATATGGTGGCTATGGATTTGATGGAGCCATCACGACGCGAGAATAAGGTCGACGAGGGAGACGGGGGTGGAGGGAAGGGAAAGGATTCGTATGTCCAATCACCTAGCGATGGGCAAAGAGGAACTTTCTCCCACTCCTCGGGCATGGGATCGTCATCGGGAATGGGAAGGGAGGTAATGGGTATGGTACAAGTAGCCATATCCTTCTTTCCCTCGGTGCGTGTTCGTCAAGGGAAAGAGGAAGAGAGGAATAGAAGATGTGAAAAAAGCAACATAAGATACACAAAACGTACCACAGGAACAACCTCCTCCGAAATCTTTCCAGGCAGGGGAATTAACTCCAAGTAAACCGCCAAGTATAACTAAGTAAGATTCCCGAATCAGCATTCATTCATTCTTTAAATTTCCTCCTTCCCATCCCATCTTGCCCTAAATAGGCAAATAGGTCTGCATCTCCCATCAATCGTAAACATCATACACGATGTGTTTGCACATCGGATACATCGTATACATCGTGTAAATTTGCACGTAAAAACCCAACAACACAACAACACAACAACACACAACACACAAGCAGCAAAAAAAAATTGACACCACCAAACGCAGACCACACATACCGAAGTGACAAGTAAGCCAATAGAGATAGTTTGCTGAGCGCGCGTCATCTTTGCGATTCCCGGGTGCGATTGCTCAGGTTCGGGGGGTGAGGTATTTTATAAGGTTAGGGTTGCGGTGTATGCGATGCGCGTGTGAGTTGGCAGATGCTCAAGGGTGGGCAAAGGAGCGTGGTTCGTAGGGAAAGGGAAAAGTGGTGGTTTGGCCTTTCTTTCGGGATTGGGTTGATTTGAGGACAGCTGGAGCTCGTCTGTCGGTCGCGATTGGATTGAGCGGCCCCGGGAATTTAGAGCCGCGGCGAGAGTGTCACGTGTCGCTTGTGGAGAATACTCCCTCCTTTTTTCCTCAAGGTTCTTTTCTCAAATTTATGGGGATGCATATTGGGACGAGTAAATCATTTGAAGAGCTTGAATTTATTACATCTAGTCCGTGAGGACAATCTTGATTACAAAACTATACGATATATGATAACCAATTCCATTCCATCCCATCCCCATCCGCATGGGAAACATACTCCTCCCTCTCGGTATCATTCAACGCCCAGCTAATCACCCTAATATTAACCAATGGAGCCAAAAATTAATTTAATCAACATCCGCCGGACTAGTTTCCTCTGCAGATGCCTCTGCAGAAGGAATTCTTTCTCTCAGCCATGCAAGGGTGGCTTCCGTACCTTTCTCCAGAATTGTGTATTTTGGCACACGGAAACGATTCCCAGTGACATCTAGAGTCTGTAGCCCATCAGGTCCACCCAAAAGCCCGATACGCGAGTTCAAGCTATTTATCTCATTGCTGCTGCAGTCCAAAGTTCTCAAGCCCCGGACGGCTTCGGGCATTAACTCACGAATTGTATTGTTCGATGCCATAAGGAATATCAAGCTCGGGAAATGGGGTCTTAGGACAGGTAGCGAGATTAGGCGATTGAAACTTATATCAAGCTTCTCTAACTTAGGAGCTTGTAAATGTTGTATTAGTGGTTGCAGGGAATGGAAAGTATTGGAGCTAAGGTTCAATTCCTTCAATACAGGTAGATCTAGGTTGTCCTTCAGGAACGTGTCGTTTGTCAACTCGTTGTGAGCAATACTCAAGGAGGTGAGAGTGGATGCAAAGAAAGCAATAGAGGTAGGTATCTCTTTGAATTGATTATGTTGTAAGTGTAAGATTCTGATTGTATCGTGTGTAGCAACTTCTGCAGCTAGCACTGGATTGAGGGAGTGTGAAGTTGTGTTGGATCGATCAAGAATTCCTCCCGTTTGGACGGGCCAATGAGAAGACGATGGCCGACTTGATGTGCTTGGAGTGCTTGGCTCAGACAAAAAACCATCTTTCTCTTGCTCGGCTGGTGCAATTCGAGCTCGCAGAGCATTTTTCAGATCTTCGGTGGACATTGCAGAGAATTTTCTTTCTCTTAGAGGATTCCCGCTTATGCGGAAGATGTTGAGACTTTTCATTGCACCAATTCTGTCATCTAAAACCTTGATATTGTTACCGCTGAAATTGACACTTTTCACCTTGAGCAAATCGACGAAGCCAGGCGGTAGCTCAGAAAGGTTGTTGTCCTCGGCTGCAATTGTACGTAAAGATACCCAGGAAACCAAATCGGGGAGACTTGCAATGCGGTTTGAGGAGCAGCTCAACTGATGAAGTGAAGGGAGGTCGAGCTCAGATTCACACAGAGCAGTAATAGCATTACTCGTGACATCCAGAACTTGAAGTTGCGATAACCTTTCCACGGCTCCCGTAATAAGAGTACCAGCGAGGCCATTCTTGACAGCTATAAGCTCGGCAAGAGGTAGACGGCTTAGAATCTCAAAAGGCAATGATTGGAACCTATTTTCGGTGATATTGAGAACCCTCAGTCGTCCTAATTGTACGAAAGTGTCCGGGAATGTGTCAAGAGCGTTTCGTTGTATGTCTAGAACCTCGAGATTTGTTAAGCTTTCTACGTTTGAACTTAGAGTCCCACAGAGTCCGTTGCCTGCTATTTTGAGATCCCGTAGAGATATAATCTGTGTAATGACTTGGAGGCATTCATTGCCTAATTTGTTGTTTGACTGTTGAGTATTAGTAATCAATTATTCGATATAATATTGTAAGTTGATTGAATTTACCAGATTCAAAGTTGTCAACAGCTCAAGTCTACGTAGACCCATAGGAATCTCTTTCAAGATATTACCGTGTAGGTCCAATGTCTCAAGACCGCCAAATTGGTTACCCATGAACTCATCATCTTCCATGGCCTCACGTGGGTCGACATCCGGGAAAATGTTCTCATCAAGCTTTTCAAACTCATTGTCAGCTGCAATGAATCTTGTTAAATCGACAGCTTCGGCCCATGATCCACCCTGATCTCCGAGTGCATCGAAATTGTACATGGTCATAACCTCCTCGGGCATTTCTTTGAGACCCATAGCAGCGACATTGAGCCGTCCATCGGTTCGTGCAGCAGCAATACGTTTGCGTAGGAGGCCTTTGCTGGCGTTTGGATCAACTCCCTGATTAAAAGGATCATCTGAAAGACCAAAATTGAATGACGCTGTGGGAATTACAGGTGCTTCTTCATGGTTGCTTGCGGCACTTGTGACTACTGCCGCTCGCTTTGCAGCTTTAGCTTTCATGATTTGGTCTCTAAGCGACGAGGAAGACTTTGGCACTGCCGACTCTCCCGTTTCATCGGAACTCAAAGCAACTTCGCTGGGAGCCGATGTCACAGATCTGTGCGGAATATTCTTGGAGTTCATTGACTTCTTCCCGTTGACAGATCCCATGCTGTCCTTGTCGAACGGCTTATCTACATAATCTTCCGTAGGAGCCGATGTGACCGATTTGGAGGGAATGTCCTTGAAGTTCATCGACTTCTTCCTAGTAACAAAGCTAACGCTGTCCGCATCGAATGAATGATCCATTGAAGGCATTGAGGGTTTGCGAAACAGACCAGTAATCGAGGCTCGCTCCTTTACGGATCGTGCGCTGAATGTCTTGCTACCAGATTTGATCGTGGGAAGCTTTTCTGTTTTTACCGGACTTGGAGATCTTTGTAAGGCATTGCCGGGTGATGGAAGCTGCGCTATGCTTCCGGGGCTGAAGCTGCTTCGAACCGTTGGTGTCTTAAGTGTCTTTACAGGACTTGGTCGTTTCATTGGTGTGGAAGCCTTATAACTTGTGGGTGGGGGTCGGAAGGTACCCGAAGATGATCGGAAGTCAGTAATTGATTGCCCAGAGTCTGCACTTGATGTCGGTCTTGAGCTGGCAGATCGGCGGGAAGGTGGTCTCATAGACCCATCATTTTGGTAACTAGACCCGGGTCTGGATGATGAGCTCGCACGAGATACGGAGCGTGGAGGAGCCTGAGAATTGAAAAAGTTCGACTGTCTCCTTCGAACCGCTGGCGATGGGGGAATATGCTGTAGTGTTTCCATTGTTCGCTCGGATAAGGAGGGTCGAGACGACGAGCTCCCACTGAATCCCTCTTCTTCATCAGATATGACGGGAGAGAATCTGTGCCCCTTCACATCCTCCTCCCTCGAAGTTGGCCGAAATTGTTCTTGGTCGACTATTGGAGGCTTTTGAAAGGTATTGTTGCTTGGCTTGCGCTGTATTGGTCGCGGGGGTAGGCGACTAGCAGCAGGTGCTATGATACGTTGTCTCGAAGGTGTTGATGCCGATAAGTGATCTCTTGATGGGGCGCTTCGTAAACGTGGGTTGACGATAGTATTCGTAGGTCGGGAAGGCTGCTGCTGCTGCTGCAAGTTTCCTCTTGAGGCCGATGGTAGTGGAAGACGTGAAGGCCTAGGTAGACCAGATGGCCTTGGTTTATTGACCGTAGTGTTGTCCATGATTGCGATTATGCTCGAGAAAGCAGCGTTATTTTTCAATTATTAATCATACCTTGCCGGAGCTTCATGAATTCTCAAAAACACGGAGACGATGCTCGAAGTAAACAAACGCGGTTTCCTTGTAAACAGGCCAAGGCTTTACAGGAAAGAAAAGGAAAGGAAAGGGGGAACCAAAGTCTTAACTACCTTCTCTGTATCACACAAAAGGGACCTAGTTATTTCGAAAGTAAAAGAGACTTTCTTTCCCTTGATGGGATAGATAATTAATTGTGTGACCGTGTCAAGAGCTGCTATTAAAGCGGATCTCTTATTCGAATCTCATTTCCCAGTCGCCCGCCATAGATTATTACCTGAAGGGGGTATTTATTATTTATCATCGATTAGGAGAACTGGTGATCTGGTGCCAGGTTGCTGGTGTGGGGGTGTTATTTGTTGATTTGGGTTTGTTATTTGCTGTTATTTGTTGTTTTTTTGCACCACAAGCAAGTTCTCATTACAGAATCACAGGGGTTCTTTGAAATCAATATTTAATATTTAGGCTTTGCTTTACTGTATGGAGTACCTCCAATAGTTCATTAGGCATGCATAGGTACCTACCTACCTAGTACATAAATAGTATATCAATGATTGTCCGAGCTCAGTTGCTAGGTATATATATAATAAAATACCGGTACTGTAGCAACTTAGGTATCTCCTGTTAATAAATATAAGAACAGATCTCTAAACAAACCAATGTCTTGATTCTCATAGTATCTAAATATTTATAAAAATACTTATAGATTGTTGTCACTATTCCTATATAATATACCAGTATATCCATCCATAAGATCTCCCTACCGGCTAGTTCTTTTCTTTTCATTTCCTTTTCCTCTTCAGAAACTTTACCCCACATGACTATCACCTTAGCAACCAAGCTATCTTTATCTCTATCTTTGCAAAGCGTCGCATCCCATTCGATCATCACCTCGTTTTTCACAACTTTAGTCTGCAACATAACAGCATATAATAAGCATATATCATTCATTTTCAATATACATTGCAATTTTAAAAGCACCTTCACATTGATTCTACTTCTTTCAGTATCACATTTGCTACCCCAACATACCAACATAAATTACATCACAAGTAGAAACTTTGCAAACGAATAAATCATAATATCACCACCTGCCTTTCCTCAAACTGGTGCACCCTATCCACGGTATCTATTCATCTGCGAACTTCAAGGGGAAAGTGAGCGGGTCATTCTGCAGAGTTGAACAAGTTTACAGATCTACCTTGGTGAAGGATTGGAATTGTAATGCATCATGGGTTGTTCATCTGCTCACATTTGCTAATATTTCATAAGATATTATCCTCTATCGAAGATCAGTATCAATGGCTTCTTTTAGCTCATGCGACGATATGTCAACTCCAGTCGATGGTCATGCCGCCCTTCAACTTCACAAGCCAATCCCTGCGCAAGATGAACCCCCAAAAGATGAATCCCCACAAGATGAACACCCGGATCACTTGTCTTCAGTGTCCCTCTTGTTAGCTAGCAATTCTCAAGGAAGTATCAGAGAATCTACTTTAGATGTCTCTTTAGGAGACATTGTGAGACATCATCGATTTGGTGACCATAAGTCATCATCAATGACCCCTCCACCATCATCCCAAATGTCAAACATTCGTCAATCGCTCCCAATTCCAAGAACCGCAACAAGGACAACAACACCATCTATTCTTGACTCTCCGCCCAGTACGAACTCGAACGGAATTAAAGCAGCTTCTATTCCTGGTATTACTCGCCCACCGACTACTAAGGAGATTGCCGAGGCTTCTACAGAAGAGAAGACAGAAATGATACACAGGTTGATTGCCGATAATAACGAGCTGGACAACGCATTTCGAGAATCTCGCATGGAACAGGCACACTACAAGTTGCAAAATACACTCCTGTCCTTAGAGTCTGAAGAAGCTATCAAGCATTTGGAGGCAGAGCATGAATTGACTCGTCGGGAGGTCCAAGTCCTGCAATTTGCATACCAGGGACGATCTGACCCCTATGCACCAAGTCCTGAGTATGTACTAAGGCTCAAAGCTATCTGCAAGACCCTAGAGATAGATAACGAAACTGCCAAACGTCGTCTTGAAAGAGCCAAGAAGGTAATAGAGGCAAAGGACGATCAACTGGAGGCTGCTAAAGATATAAATGATCGTCTCACGCAGCGTATACGCGAGAATAGAGAGCACATCAACATCATGCGTAGCCCAGGTGGTATGTTTCATGTTTCTACGCCGAAGCTCTCACACAACAGTTACCCGGCTACCCCACAACAATATCGCAGAACACCACATCGCACCCCGATAACTGGTCGCTCGATCCGTGAATCTCGCGAACATGCCCAAGACCCTGGATTTGCTGCTCTCTTAGCTGCCGCTCACCAGGAGAACAATAGTGCACCGTCCACTCCTCTCATCCGTCAACGCCCTGGTCCACTCACTCCAATAAATAGGCACAGTCGTGGCGTTCAATCCCTCTCTTCATTGCCTACTACACCTCCCTCAGCTCGCCCAGACACTGCCAACTCGACACTTCTTCCTTCGGCGCAATTCATCCCACACAGTACCGCTCGATCAGCTTACACCAACCGCGCCCCAAATGTCGCACCTCGCCAACGTCGACGTGAAAGTCGCGACAGCACTATTTCAGCTGAGGATGTTGAGGACTTTAATCAAGCTAGGTTCGAAGAACGTCGACGTGGAGAAAGTGAGGATATCCAAGAGAGCCAGGCCGCCCAAAGCGCAAATGCAATGCTGCGTGCTGATCCTCACGAATCAATCGAGGTTGCAGGTTCTAGAACCAGTACTCCAAATCCCGTTACAGCAAAGAGTGAACTTTTACAGTCAAGAATATGGGCAACTGTCACTAAGCCAGTGGCTGAAAAGAGAAAATGCGAAGATCATTATGGTGTCGATCATTCTAACAAGAAACCTAGAGCTTCTGAGCCTATTGGCCTCGGTATTGGTTACGAGGCATCCCGAGTTTAAGGTCTACTTTTGTACATCTCTTCATTTCGTGAGAGGTCATTTTTCTTGGCGATTTCATCTATGACAGATAACATGGACAGCTATTCTCATCACCCCATCATTCCATGCTTCTCTTAGATAGACTGCATCAAGGGAAGACTAACGTATCATCATGAACACCACTTACAAGCCAAATATTTTTTATATCTATCTCATTTATTTACCTTTTTCATTAGTCTGATGTGGAGTGTCAGCGTGCTGAGAGAGATCTGACGGAGGCGTGGTCAGCTCTAGAACAGAAGGATTCCTGTGTTGACCTTTTAAATAATACCCAAGGAGTGCGAAGGAAGCATGTTCACCCAGAACCACTGTCTCCTAACGATTAGCAGGCATTGCGTGGTATTTGGCAATGAGTCGAAAATTTTGGGTGAAGCAAAGAATCTTTTAGCGAATATTTACCAAGTTTTGAATAGATGATGATGATCGATCAATGCCTTCAAAAGAAAATGTGTGACTTTCCTACCAATTAAATATTGATGGCCTGCATTCATTCTAACCTAACCTCACATTATGTATTCGTCTCTTGTAATACGGCTGCCTTGGGGTCAAAATGTTAGCGTACAAGCACGCGTCAATATGTCTCCAACGCCTCCTCCAAGTCATGGGTTGTATGCGTAAATATCATGCTGACAAACAGTGGTATCTGAAAGCTTATACTAATGTTCAACATTTACATAGGAATAAGGATGCTTTCCGGGGACCTTGATATGGCCACATTTCATGGATTCTACCAGGGGTTGCGATAATGAAAGTCTCTGAATTTGTATGAAGTTTTGAACATTGATTATCAAGTAGAGTCTTTTATCGGCAGGCATTAATTTCTGTCACAGACTCACAGATGTTCTTTCGGTGATAAACAACTGAATCTACACCACCAATTAGATAGAAGTACTCGTAGTGAATATCAATTTTTGTCAGCAATCCCAATTCTACTTTGTCGACTTTTCCTCCCTCATTACATTATACACATACAATTCAAACCATAGATATATAATTCCAGCTTTTAATACATCTTCGTAAAGTTGTTGTTGTATCTCAGTCTAGACGCTCAACCAGAAACTTATACCGGTACTGTAGTACCCCTATTTCCGTGAAAAGTATACGTCAAAATAGAGTGAGTGTCCGCTATCTATCTTCCTTGTCAACGCCCACTTTTTCCCGCTGGTATCCTTCGACACACTGTTTATCATCTTCTAAACCTACAAAAGCATATTAAAGGGTATAAAACAAGCCTTCTGTGTCCAGAACCTTGTATCTCGTGTTGCTGTATCACTTGTTTCTTCTATCGGTATCCGATTGCGAACGAGTTTGTGGCGCAGTATTTCTTGGCTCTACGTAACCCAAGCCCCGGGCTATATTTACGACTTGTCAGATTGCAAGATATGGGCGGTGATTCTACGAATGAGACGGGCGTTATCGATCCGATGAGTTTCTTCGATGAGGACTCAAATACGAGGGCCACTCTCGCGTCATTTGAGGATGGCAAGGAGAAGTATAAGCAGTTAACTGAGGAGGAGCAGAAAAATATGTCGAAATCTATTGCGGACATCTTTAACTTGAAGGAGGAAGCTGAGAATAGGGAAGATGTAGATATGGATGACGATGCTGAAGAGGTGGTGGATGTAGAGGACAGGGAGAGGAGGACGGAGAGATTGAAGGGGGCACTGGGAATATTGGCGCAGTTATGGTGGCAAGATTCGGTTTTCATCAATGAGGCTGCGGAGAAATTGGCGGATGGGAGTAGAGATGGTAAGTTAATTTTCTGAGTTGAAGAACCATTCCACAAAGTGGGATTCTCGGTCTCACGTGGCCAAGTAGCTAGCTACTGTGTGTTCATCGGACGGACAACTCTTTGAACGTGCATTCGGTGACCGAAACCCATTCTAATTTGGAAATAGCTAAATGGCGAGTGCCTCTTGGAGACTCTGGTATTTTGAATTTCTTTCTTGAAATATTGAATGCACATACTTTACGCCATGCCCTTAGACTTCAAATATTGCGATTGGTGGGAAACTCTTGCGCAGATACAGGTAAGTAAGCCAGCCCTTGCTTTATATTCTCACGATAGTAATATTGAGGTAGACGAGAATAGGGCCCGTGTTGTAGGGTCAAATTACATACCCTTGATTATTACTCAATTATCGAATACCGACTTGCTCGCTTTTGCTATACCCGTCCTTTATAATGTTTGCGTTGACTATGGTCAGTAGATTTATATCTTCACATTAATGGCCAGCTACTGACATCGATTAGTTCCTGCTCAACAACAGGCTTCTAGTTCATGTTTGAGCAAAGAACTTGTCAAACTCATTGCGAGCCCTCGGTTCAAGGACAGCGTACATTTTCTTGAGTACATATGTAAATTACTCGATCTACTTATACAACAACGTAAGCATGATATTCGGCCATATATGGATATTGAGACTAACGGACATTAAGCTTCGGAGCCAGATATGGCACCAGATAATATTCCAATTGTCCTATTGAAGTTGGCTTTTGATCGTGAAAATCCAGTAGATATGGAAGATTACATTGCTCTTGTCAACACTGCTGTGGCGTATCTGGGACACGAGAAATTCCAAAAGACATTGGTCAAAGGACCTCAAGCGCTCGATACCGCTCTTGCTGTCCTCGTTGATTCATATACACGATTCGATTCCCATCCATCAATTGGTCCCTCGACAACACACGAGGACGATGCAAAAGTCTTGTCACAAATGCGTATCAACTTAAATTCGGCTTTGTCTGACATCTCAGCTTTACCGGAATTTAAAGAGGCATGCCCAGTTGTGTCGCCATTTTCTTCTTCGCTGCGCCGATGGTTATCAAGCGAACAAATTCAATTACAGGTTTGTGCTTGTATAATGCTAGGCAACCTTGCTCGTAATGATGAAGCTTGTGAACTGTTCGTACACACCGCTCGAGTTCACACACCCCTGATCTCTATACTCAAAGATGTTAACGATTCACAATTACTTCATGCGGCCCTTGGTTTCCTCAAAAATCTGGCGTTGCCTATAAAGAATAAGGAAGTATTAGGAAGCTCCGGGATTTTTGAAGTCCTCCCTAGATTATGGCTTCTTGATATGCTACAACCAATCCAATTATCATCCATATCTCTTAGTCGTCAACTCGTCAATGGCTCCATGGAAAATGTCAATCGAGTCTGTGCACGTCTTTCGGCAGATGAGGATTCGCCAGCTCACGAACGTTCAAATCTTTCTCTCTTAATCGCGTTGTTCGATCGCACTGATGTAGAGCCAATTAGAATGGAAATCTCCCGTCTAATTACAGCCGTATGTCGAGTGTTCACAGCCTATAAAGGTCGACCAGTTGAAGAACTCAACGAAACTCGAAGAAAATTCCTACTCCGCCATCCCGACATCGGACGCCCCCTAAGTTTCATGGTCTCTCAAACCAAATGGCCGATCGTCAGAAGCGAAGGATGGTTTGTGTTTGCACTCATGGCTCGACATCCCGATAGTGCGCAATGCATTAGCGACATGATGCAAGACGTCGCCGTCTTCCAACCTCTCGTCGAAATGCTCACGGGCAAACCACTCCTAGAATACAACCCCGCCTACGCAATTCACACTCCCCGATCTACCACCTCAGACAGCAACTCATCCGGAACCCTGGGAATCGAGCCCCAAAGCCCTGAACCGGAGCCCGTACAGCCACACGCACAAGCCGCGGAAATGGCACGCATTGATCGGGAAAATGCGCTGGTGCTCGTGAGTGAGCTGTTGAAGAATAGGGGGAACGATATGGCGGTTATGAGACGCGCGGTCTTTGAGGATTTGTTGAAGGGGGGTGGGGAGTTGGTTATGAGTAGTAGGGAGGGGATGGAGGGGAATGGGCCTGCGAAGTGGAGGGAGCCGGATCCAAGGGGTCCGGGGCTGAATCTGCAGGAGGTGGCTATGGAGAGTATTAGGGAAATTTCGTAGGTTGAGAGAAGTAAATATGGGGGTGTGGGGTAGGATAGCAACTAGATGGGGCTCCATACTGGGGAAACGTATTCGGATATTTCTCAGCTCATCTTCCTACGTCAAACGATCTCATTTCTGTTGATAGATGATGCATAACAAATAAATAGGATCTGATAGATAGATAGGTAGATAGATAACTGCTAGATAGCACAAGCAATCCATAACTATGACGTCAATGTTCATATATAGAATTCAGACCCTTCCAAGGCTTTCATTACGCACTCATGATATATAAAATATGTTTTACTTGTACTTGTATCTATGTATACTATTATCTACTGTACTCGTACTGTATATGTACCGTGAGTGTATCTGATAAACTTATCAACTACTTAATCTTACATAACTCTCGTTACTTCAGCATAATGATGTGAATGGATGATGATGATGATGATGATGATAATATAGATATCAATCTAGGAATCCAACGGTACCATTATCATTATCTAATTGATGGAGCCCCTAAAGTTACCCCAATCATGAAAAATTGTGAGCTACTTACCCTAGTACGAGTAGAATGCGGATAAATTTCTTGGATGGCTAGCTAGCTAGCTAGTACGAGTATAAGAGAGGAGGAGGAGGAGAAGGAGAAGAAGAAGAAGAGGATATGGTATACCTATTAGATAAAAGATATGCTCGAGTATACCAGGCAAATTAATCGATGAATGATTCACAGATTACCTCTTTTTAAAAAAAGACGTTATTTTCATTTCCAAATTACAAACCACGGATCACCTATCACTACATATTTACAATATGCAATCCTACTGTACTCGAGTATTGGAAACAGTCTTCCAACCTATCCTGAATCCTGATTTCAAATTCCCAATCCCGCCACAAATCACAAAATCACAAATCACTCTCCACAAACTCCAATCTAAATCCTAATATCCCCTTTCTTCTCACCTCTTACCTCCCATCTCAATCTCAATCCCACTCTAACCCTTGTAATCCCAGCCCTTACAACGATCATCTATCTTGCAACCTCTTTACTCATATACATCCTCATACTCATTTTCAAACCCCCCCCCCCCCCCCCCCCCCCCCCCTCTTGCTTAGTACTATATGCCCTCGTGTATTTTACCAATCTTGCAAATCATACTCGAGTACTGAGTACCACTAGATAGCACAGTCCTTCTCATAATATAGGTAGGAGCTAAACATACAAATACAAATACAAATAAAAACCCAAATCCAAACATAGAATTAACCGCGGACCCAGGATGATAGTAAAGAGTTAGTATAAACTATAAAACTGGAAAAACAATTGGCAGCATGGGGTGTTTTTCTAGTATTGGAAATATAGAAAAGTCAGAAATATGTTGAGAGAGGGTGAGAATCTACTTCTAGTTGGCTGGCTGGATGGCTGGCTGGGAGGGAGCGAGGGAGCGAGGGAGATTGATTAGTGCATGGATTTGTATAGGTTGAATGGATTGGATTGATTAGATAAATTGGGTGTTTGGGTAAGAGAGCGTCTTCAAATATGAAAGAAAATAAAATGAAATGGAGAAATTAGATGATGTGACCTCGAATGGGTGGGTATACTATAAGAGTCGGAGTAGGAGTATGATAGATATATCTACTCGTAGAGTTAACATATAAAGTACTATAAATATATAAATACAAATATAAATATAAAGTACTCGAGTATATAATCAATATTCGCTAATTCAAGTTCAGAGCTAATATATATTTCCCCTTAACTTATACAGTAACACTTCCACTCTAATACTAGCTAGTACAGAACTAAAAAGCCTACTAGTCTTATTTCATACAACGATTATGATATTACTATAAACGCCATAATAAACAACTATATAACAACCAAAGAATGATTTCCCCAAAATATTCTATTTATACTTCTACTTGGTGTAGCGTAGCAGTGATGAGATACAGATACTTACTACTCGAGTATTCTGGTTGGAACTTCTCAACATCTGGATTTACGAGGATATACTGAGTACTTATTTTCATGAATTCTTTAAGAGTGATTATAGAGAGGAAGTCGGATTTATAATCTTACAACGTGACTAGAGATGAAGAACGAGATTTTTTGTTTGCGCATGAGAGTAACTAGTAATGAATATTTAAAGTCAAAGATGAAAACCGGTATCTACTTATCTACTTAGTATTTGTCTCAAGGTTTCTTTTGAGGGGATGAAGATTCGAAGCGAGGTGGGACAGTAACATTTGTTCTCGTCTCCATTTTACTTCTACTTGAGTAGCTCTTTGTCCAAATTAAATTATACACCCGCTCGTGTGTGGTGCCCCATTTTTATTTACCATTGTGGAATCAGAATTGACCCTGTCGCATTGACGACCAAGATCAATGAGGTTGCATAAAGGATCAACACATTGGATCGATCAAACATAATTCAAAAAGGCCATTCATTTCACCTAAAAACAAAAATCTCAATCTCTTCCCCCTCCTCCCCAACCATCCCCAATGGCACCTTACACCTCTCCACAACCACAAATTCTTCTTTCTCCATAAATTCGAAAAACACCATCTCACTATCATGTCTTACCTTCATCGCCAGCAATATCAATGCCCCTTTATTCCCCTCCCTCACTCTCTTCAATGTATGTACCAAATCAGGTACGACATCGGGATTATACGTACAATCCGCCACCACCACCAGTTCCCACCTTTCGCCTCGGACACCTTCAGGAAGTGGTTCAGACCAATCAAGAACTTGGTGAGAGCACGAACAGCAGAGTGAGGTATCTGACTGTGAAGCCATCGTCGTGATGTTTTTCTCCAGTATCTCCGAGGCTTCTGGGAGATCGGTGAGTAAGATCTTGTTGATCCTGTTAGAAAAGAGTGTGGCGAGTGTAATACCCACGATTCCACAACCGGCTCCCAATTCAAGAATGTTGATATCCTGTTGAGTAGCCAGGAACTTCTCTAAGGTAGGGAGAGAGCCTACAGGTTTGGAAGAACTTTGCAGAGATGAGAGATACGATGAGAGCACTAAACCCGCATCCCCTACATCATGGGATCGTTAGTTTAAGAAGAAAATAACCCACCCACCTACCTGCAAAAGAAGAAACCTACACATGTGTCTCGCAATACTTTCCCCCGTTTCCTCCCAAATACGTATTTCCTCTCCCCTTCCAAATCCAGTACTGAAAACACGTTCAGCCATACCCTCAGACTTTGTCGCTCCAGTTTTCAGATCAATACTCCTACTCCTCACCTTCGCAATCCCACCTCGATTGCCCTTTCCCTCCTCCAAAACGCCCTCAAAAGAATTCACTCCATATATCTTTTCCGCAGGTCCCACAACCAACGTCGTCCATCTTCCCTCTTCACGCGATGTCCGTACCGGTATCTGTATTTCCAAACTTCTCATTCCATTCGTTCCCTTCCATACATATTCTTTCCCAGCCCCAACGCTCACCCCATCCACCTCTATCTCTGCATGAAAATTGACATCGGACATTAAAAATGATTCCCCCAAATCTGTTGTAATAGTAATCTTCGCAGATAATGTTCGAAGAGTAGAGGAGGACGCGGAGGATGAGAGGGGTAGCAGACGAGGCTGCTTGAATAGCCGTATGTAATGCATTGTATCGTATCGTAACGAAAAGCCTCGTAGGGATCCGAACAAGGCTACCCCCAATTCCTCAGCCTTCGAGGCTGACTCCTCGTTCGTAACTTTCGTAATCGTGATCGTACACTTGTTCCTGCGGTGCGGTTCAGAGATGTCTTGCACATGTGTAGATATGTATGTCTCAGCCCAACACGGTAATTGCTCAATCCGAAACTCCCGTCTGTCACCACATACACCCACTTATCCGTCACGTCTTCCCAAAACTTTTCTTAGTCGCCGTTTAACGTTTTCCCTTCCTGCATATACAGGTACCGTAACACGTATGTACTTACTCCCGCACTCGTAGCAAGAGTAACCTTAACGAACAGTCCAATCCACACACTCAATTCCGTGCAACGCACTCTCCCTTCCTTTTCTTCTTCCGTCCAACGTTTCACGGTCCGCAACTAGCCTTTTCGTTCCGTTGCTTTGGTGCTCTAGGTGAGTGGTGTTGTACGGAATGCGCGACAGCTTTAAGGGGGTAGGTATCACTGGATGTATTGGGAAATCTTCCCCCTCGTTTCAATCTCTTCCTTTCCGCTTATCAACGCACGCACCATGCACCAAGCTAGCTTCTGGCTCTGGCCGAACCGATCAAGCTAACATAAGCTAAAGAAAGACCCCTAAATTTAAAACTAAACGTCCTTTACTACTCGAGTCTACAACCTTGTCATTACTGTCACAACTTCTAATTCCTGAATCCTTCAAAATTGATACCAGTTCAGTCTATATCTATAGGGCTGGCGTTTTCTTCTTCTTCTTCTTTTACATTCTCTACAACGCCTTGCTGCAGGTCAGATTCTGCAACCCTTCCGTTGCTGACCTCTGTTTAAAGTATAGCTTGTGGCTGTTGAATCATTTACATATGGTGAAAACTATAAATAGTTTTCTATAGTATGAAAGTGAACAGGTGCAGAGGAGGGGCACAGCTCTTTGAAGGTGTGGGTGGTATTATCTGTATTGGGAATGCTATGGGATGTGGTGCGACAGTAAGCGCAGACATGTGTATGTATGTGTTTTTGGAATTATCCAATTATCCATCCGTCCATTTACCACTCCATCTCATCCCATGTCAAGCCAGATATTATCAAGATGGCTTGGGATCCCAAATAACGGAAGCCTAATTACACATGTGATATTGATGGAGTTGGCGCAAGAAACACCAAGGTTCTACTGTTTTCTGGCTCATCACCAACAGCGCTGAAAAGATTTCTATAGACATCCTAGACGATCCAATCATTTCGTTATTTAACCGCGACAGCTGGAATCTAAACTAACGGTTCTCACGCCCGCCGGTACTTTGTTCAGCTCTTATCTCCGGAGGTATATCACGCATCACGCATCACGCATCAAGCGCCAACCCAACTCTTCTAGTATCGATATTCCATACCCCTCCCTCTCTAGCTTTAAGCGCTGCATCAATCAACATCACATTCTCAGACATTTTGATATCGATACGGATATTTCATAAGCTATCAAATAAGAGCACAGATAAGGCTCGTGCTCTACATGCCCTGCGATAGTGATAGTCAGCCCGAGCATGGAAGGCCCGAAACGAATGGTTCACAGCATTTCCACTTGCATTTCCACTTACTTTAACATTTACCATTACCATTACATCCGCATTCTCAAGCCAAAGCACGGCGAGTCAGGGGGATGCACACATTATTATTTGGGTAATGACACTGCATTCCTAAGATGCAAGCCAAAAAGGGGAAAAGTATAACTAGCGAACCTGAAAATGTTCCAAAAATTGCACGCATCCAGGAAAGGAAATCTGATGTGATATTCGTGATACGTGCAATACCAGTTATGCCAACTTGCCACTGCCAGTATGTTGCGCTTACAAGGTGGGTGGAGTGGGGTCTTCTATCTCTAATTCCAACTTTGGACCAACCCCGCTGACTGTAAGGAGGGGTCGTAAAAAGCATGTTAATTTTATTTTTCATGTTATTTTTTGATATTGATGGATGGGGGTGGTAAAGTGAAGTATGGTGAGCTGACAGACATGGTCTGTACAGTGCAGCACAGCACACCCTTTTCCGAGAAGGTGGTCACAAATGAGCAGTCTCGCACTTATCTGCAATGGAACACCACAACAGGCTCTGGGTAATAACTAGTCCACCTCCTTCTAGATACTTGGTACGACAATGCGACGATGATTCGTTCAATCCCAATGCAAACCCTCAATCCCAACCATCTTCGTGTTTCCCTTCGACATACATCTCTCCTATCCCACCCCATCCTATCTGTATCTAGCATGTCACATCACATTCATCACATTCATCACATTAGACTATTGTATTAATCGTATCAAATCAAACTAAGAAGCCACAAACCTACACGGTCAGAATACTATACTGTACTGTAACGAAGTTCCAGATCACTCACAACTTTTGCATATATATGTCACTGTACAGTACCGACAAAACAAGTATTTACAAGTAATGAAGCAAATCGATTGATACATACTCGTACAGTACTGTATACTCGAGTATTTCACATGCCTCTTTTTCTTTCCCCCCTTGCTGTTTTTACTACTAGAAATCTTCAAAATTGAAGCTTATATCAATCATAATCAATATAAAAATAAAAATAAAATACGAGTAGATTATAGAAAGGACTTTGATGCTCCTTGGGAGGAGAAATCAAGTATTGGTAGCCGAGTTTATCTTATATTCTATATATTTCAGGTAAAAAATATATATATGCTCGAGTAGATATATATATATATCCCTAATGTCCTAAATATATATATGTATAAAATTACTATACATATACATATATATATAAACATACCGTGACCCAAGCTAGAAAACTATCTATTCTACCCCACTTACATACATACATACATCATTGCATCATCACCATCACCATCATCACCACCAAACACATACACGCACACATGGGGAACCACGAAATCCCATTCCAACAGACAGATTTATATGCACATCCACACCACACATATCATATCCCATACCACATATCACATTTTACACCACATCACACATCACACATCACATCACATCAAATTCACAAAAAGATAATAAAAAAGATCCCATCTTAGAATTGAAACTATTCGCAGCCAACTGAATGACAAAAAAGCTAAAACCTAAAGATTTAAAAGAAAAAGAAAAGAACACAACACAACACCCACGAGAGTTGTATGAAGGGGTATATCCAGACGATGCGAAATTTTCTCGACATCATCTTCCGTGCCATGCCATGCCATGTCATGCCGTGCCCATAGCATAGACAGACAAACAAAGCAGACAGGCAAACGCCAAAGCAAAGCCCCATTGAACTACTAAAAACTACTATTACAAATTTGGCTATTGCTCTTGCTATTGCCATTTCCATTGAACCATTCCATTCCATTCCATTCCCATTCCCACAAGATGCGTAAGAAAATCCCGCCGCATCTCTTGAACAACCATAAGAAAATCTGAGAAGAGAATTAAGCAAACAAATCCATCCATCCAGCTAACAGCCCTTTAATTAACAATCTCCAATGCTCGTGGAAAACGCACAAACTTTTTTCCCAATCCGCTGTAAAGAACATGTCATGTCCAACATGCAAATGTACTCTTTAATAAAAAACCCCGCCCAATGCCTGACTGAACCGGAAAGTTTTGGCTTGCGCCTCCCTATGTAAACCATCCTTTTTATCTTACAATGACTATCCCCGTAAAGCAAATGAGAGCGCATGCATAATGGTCTCATGGGTATCGTTTGGTTCGTAAGAAAATCGAGATGATGGAAGAAATAAACAAACTCCCTCCCTCTAATCCGTTGTGTATCGATCCATAGTATTTTTTGGTTTATTGCTTAAATTGTTTAAACATGTTGACCTGGTTTGCGTAGAATTTCTTCGCAGTTGGCGTCGAATCGCATATTCCATAGCCGAACTGATGCCATGAATTTCTCGCTCTGTTCAAGCTGTCTATCGCGTCCAAAGATAGAATCGACGAATTCGGTACCGGCGTTCTTGCCGAGTTGTGTTGTTGCGGACTTGGTTCCGCTTCGACCTGCCTTCAACATAGGTGCTTCGCATGCCTTGAGAAGCTTCTTCAATTTATCTGTCAAGCGTTCTCCCGACTCGATGAAATCGTCGACCATCTCGCGGTTGTCTTGTTGTCGGATACGGGGCATGCATTCCTCAGCACGCTTGACCTTGCCGGCTAATTGGATTAGTAACAACCAAAGCTCACCAGCCATGTCGGATAGTGGTGTAGCGGGGCCATGGTGATAGACTGTCCAGTCGTAGATCCACTTGCCAAGGCTGTTGGCGTCGAAAACACTGCCGAGAAGCATGATAGGTTCTTCGGTAGGGTCCCAGTTCTTGAGAGAGTATCCAGCCGGGATGTGGTGTCTGCGCGCATCGTCCTCGGTGGCCTTTTCTGGGGCTGGTTGAGGTTTACTTCTTGACGATGTGGTTGTGGGCCGGGTTGCGCCGGGTCGAGTGGTCGCTGGTCGTTGTGGTGTAGATGTTGAAGTTTGTCGGCGATGTTTGTATGGCGACTCAGGATCTTCAGCATACTTGGGGCTCTGGTTGTAATATTTATCAGTACCATGACTAGCATATTTGTAATTTGTGTGCGCCGCCGACCGACGAGGAACTCTGCACAAATATATTGTCCCTTCCACGTCCTCTAAATATTCATAAAATTCGTCGTCCTCGGCACCCCCATGAGGGGTTCGGTGGGAGTAAGAATTCTGACGCTTCGTCTCAGGACGGGGCGGCGGTGATGACCAAGAACTTTTGTTTCGACTCACATTTGGACCAGCACCAGTGGCGTAGTGTCCGTTTGAAGTAAATCTGGGAGAGAATGGCCTCGCCTCAGTAGCAGATGCTCTGTATGTAGTAGTATCCGCATAGCTTGTATGTCGGGAATGGGTTCGGAATGGTTGTCGTGAAGAAGTGTATCCGGGAGATCCAGATGGGGAATCAGCAGGGGAAGGAGTAGTGCTGGTCGAGAAGCCGTAGTAAGCGGCGCCCTGATGGCTGGGAGGTGTTGCGTATGAGAACGACATGTTGATTTATTATATAGTGATGAATTCTGAGAAGATATGAAAGGATACCCTTGAAATGAAAATGGAAGAAAAACGAAAAGGTCTAGATGTTCGCGCCGATGGATCGAAGACGCGATAGAATGTGACAAGCCCGTCACCGTGGTATGTAGTCGGTACGAGAAGAAGGAGGAGAGACCTTTATCGTTGATCCACACATGTCAATAACTGCCTGTTGATTCCTTCAATAAGGATATCGATGAAGACAAATTCGGAGTCGAAATTATATCTCGACTTCGAATATTCTGGAATAGACTAGACGAAATAGAATTCGACAAGCTGCTATTTCAAATGAGTTATTGGTAATCGTGTTGTGGTTTGGTATTTCGTTTGGTTCGGGAGATTTGGGGGCAAATATCTTTTGTCAAGATTTATTCGAATAGAAATCCGATCGAGAAGAAAAATGTAGAGGTTGGGGGAGTTCGTGTATCTTAATAGAGTAGAAGTGTGCGGGTATTTTTGAGTAGTGTTATGTGTATGTGTGAGTGGTGCGTATAAACCTAGTAGTTTCGTTCTTGGAAGAAAAAAGAAGCCAGGGATAGCGAGATTAAAAAAAAAATCGATTTCTTTTCGGGTAGAGTTGGGTTTGTGCGTTGGCTGCAGCAAAAAAGTTGCAAAAATGCAGCGGTGCAGTGGATTGCAGGACAAGCCTACAAGGACAAGGATGTCAAAGGTTCTTTTTAAATTTCAAATGATGACTCTGTGCTCATCCATGTGCTCTATCATCAGCCACAAGGGTGAACAGGAATTATCCCAGAAATTAAACAATCAATAAATCAATAGTTAATTAATTTATAAATTGATCCTAGACTTAAATTAGTATCAAAAATACATCTTTCGTGTCCCCATACAAGGGAAGGAGGGGGATTGAAAAGAGCTTGGAATGCGATGATATGCTAAAGAAAATAATTGATTAAAGGGAGGGATGAGAAGGAAAGACAGGGAAAGACAAGAAATAATAGAATAATAGATAAAGTATATTAATTGGATGAAGTGGTGGATGATGATAAATGAGTGGATGAAAATGTAAAGATAGCAATTGTGAGTAATACTGAGATATGGATATTGGTAGAACAAAGTGGATGTATGGGTAGATTGATTGGTAAAAGGTACAACAACGAGAGAGGAGTACAACAGACAAAGTAAGTACCTAGGTACCTAGAGAATTGGAAAAGATATGGAAAGACTAGTAGAAGAAACAGAAGAAGAAGAAGAAGAAGAAAGAAGAAGGCAGAGAAGAATTAAGAATAATCAATATATTGTCACGTACCTAGGATATTGAAGATGGCGTACGTTCCTGCAAACGTTTCCGAATGTTATGTTATGTTATGTTGCGTTGTATTGTATTGTATTGTATTGTATTGTATTGTATTGTATTGTGTTGTGTTGTATTATTGTGTTGGTACTGTGTATTGATTGCGCTTGAACTTTTCTCGCTGCGACAAACGCCCTTCTTGATACTTTTCGGAGGATTAAAGCTTTCGACGAATGAGAGAATTTTGATACAATTGCTCTTGGATTATCTGGAACAAATCCTCTATCCTCTATGTCCTCTATCGTAATCGGTGGAGGAATCCCTGGGGCGGAAAGTTGATTGAGAGAAATAAATGAAACCCCCCCTGGATTGATGGCTTTGAAAGTTTTGATTCAAGGCCTGGGCTGGGCGGGATGGAAGCAGCCTGTGCCCGCCAGAGACTTATCTTAAAATGTCTCCTTCTAGCGAAATTGAAGAGAGACGGAAGAAAAGAGAGTTAGGACTGGCTCAAAGTAGAAGCTCTAAGACCCCTTCTAAAAAGACGCTGGCATGGATTTATTCCACGCACAGATCTTCGTAACCTCGATTGTGTTTTGATTAGATCAAAGGGAAGGAAGACCCAGGAAGAAAGAATATCAACGGTTCAACGGTACGGGTCCAACGGGGAAGAAGTCATGTAGCTGCCGCGGCTCCTCGCGATACCGTAAAGTGAATAGCGGAGAAACCGAAGATCGGAAATTGTGGATGGATGAGTCGTATCGAAATCTTCAAGGATCTAGGAGATTAGAAAAGAAATTGAATATTGGAGGGAATCTTAAAATTTATGATTGATCAAGAAAAAACTTCGGATTATTCTTCTTCTTTATTATAATACGATATGATATGTATTATTATCTTTTAAAATTGATTATTGATTCTTTTTAAAAGGTGTGTTCCCTTTAAAGCTTTAAAGGTTGTTCTCAAGAGGTGAAAGAAAGGATTTGGGTGGTAATAGTGAATTGTGGATATGGATGTAGATGTGGATGTGTTGGGTAGATCGATTTGCTTTCAGGCCGTGTATTGTTTGTTCTCTTCGATCTATCTGTTGAACCATGTTAGTTGGTTTGTTTTTTTCAGTGTGGTAAATCTAATTGGACGAATTGTAATTATAATATTGAGTTTTCGATTATGAAGACATCAATATTAGAGAGGGAGGTGGTCGAGTCAAAGGTCATCAAGTTGATAAGAAGTGAGGGGTTTGAATCATATCGCTGGTGGATAGATGCTGTGAGCTTGAGGTTTGAACACAACCTTTGGAAATGGCTACACTTGGGAACTCTTTGGACGTACGGAAAGTAAATCAATGTAAAGTCACACCGATATTTCCATTCTCCGGAGAGCCGGGTGTGATGATAAGGTCCCGTTGAAATTGACTGGATATGGATATGGATATATGTCCATGGAAGGAAAGGCTCCTGAGTACAATACGGAGGATGTATGAAGCTGCACTTCTTCTATGCATGTAGGTTCGGTATACAAAGAGGGGCCATTTTCCGTGATATGTTGGGCAGGAAGCTTGAGGGGGATTTGAGGTTATCGATATTCATGTTTTGAAATGAAAGAGTTGTATTACAGCAGTAAGAGAAATTGATTTGGGATTAGCAGGAGCATCAAGCTTCAAGTTGAAAGGGTGTGTAGTACTTTCTTCCAAGTTCCAACCAAGCCTTGGAGAATTGGTTTTCCCATCGTGACTTAATGTTATGTAGCCCTTCTTTGCATGCTTACCTATGAGTATTCCCCAATATAGTTCAAACCCGGAGTTATCCATAAGGATCACATGGAAAAACACATTCACTATCTATTTGGTCATCTTCGCCCCCTTTTGGTAAGCATTAGTCAAATTAGGTCTAGAATAGAATATCCAACTGTTCTTCGCCATTTCCTCCATTTCCTCCAAGTTCATCAATGGCTACCTCATAGTATATATTAAACAGGGTTCCGAGGGGCGGGACCCCGTCTATGATTTGATTATTTATTTGATCATACCCTATGGTTGAATATATTAAACCTTGAAGAGCAAAAAGAGCCAAACGAGCCAAACGAACCAGGACTCTAGAGGGCCAATTAATAATCATTCCTCCAATCAAATTCCTTACTTGCTGTTTACAACCTGGTTCAATTCATACGACTCGGCCTTTCTATCCAACCCAAACTATGATGCGGAGGATACCCATACGACCTTCCTTGGATGTCACGGATTGAAGGATGCTACCATGACATCTTCATGAACCTGGATACGCTGCTCATAATCTAATAAGAATTTTCGTTTTCGTATCACCGCAATGAGAAATCTCCTCAACAATTTCAATACGATTTATCGGCTTTTGATTAAAAGTACGAAGGCCTAAATAAAGGGGTCTGGATATTCTGCATAATTATAATTTCACAACATAAAGAAGTCATGGCTGATTGCAAATTGTAAATAAAAGAAGATGAATGGACCAGAACCAAAACCAGAACCAGAACCAGAACCAGAACTAGAACTAGAACTAGAACCAGAACCAGAACCAGAACCAGAACCAGAATCAGAATCAGAATCAGAAGCTAGAACTAGAACCAAAAGGTTCATGGGAAACAACATCTGTACTAAAGTAGAATGCATATCAACATGCTTCTTTCATGCATTCTATCTGCAGAGTTGCGGGACCTAACATCAAAATCGTTATTAATTGAAAAATTCCCACTGCAGTGGGTTCTCTTGGGGGAATGAACCCATGTTATACTATGGCTCCGTACTGTACAGCACACTGGCACAGGCCATCAAGATTAGACCTAACCCTAATGAAAGGGTACATACAAATGCCACAACATCGCCTAGAGAAGTCACAAACACCACTTTTGAACCTTCATCAATTCAATTGTTTATTGTTTACTTAATAATGCAATAGTACATAAAAGTACGAAGGTACCCCTCCTCCTCAATCCTCTACCAAAATACAATTGTGGTAAAACCTACTGGATCCATCAAACCTTCGACTCTTATTACTTTCCTAGCTACAGTTTCGTCATTAAGCCCTGCTCAGGCTGCTCCTGAGTTGCATTCATTATATTAATTTTTGCAGAGTTTTCATTCAAACTTTCGGTGTGCAAATCCTTTCATCAATTTGAGTCATCTTTGACTTAAACTTCCTTCACCGTCTCTATTATATCATCTTTTTTTTCACATTCGCCGTGCTTGATCGACTTCCCTTACTTGATATGCATTGGAGGGAGCTGTCCCTACTACTTTTAGTACTTCTAGATCATAAGTGGCTAGAGCTCTCTGCTGTTCTGCATATTTCGAAATTCTCATTCGTTTAAAGAATCCTTGTTTGCGGAACCACGTTTTTCATACAGAATCAAGCAGCGAGAACATACCCCTTGTGCCGCTTCCCGTTGAGATGTATCCTTAAAGTACTACTGAGTATATGTATGATCTATCTCCAAAATCCAAATCATCTACCTACTACTTATAGAGAAAAGTTCCTGCCCTCCCCACTTGCATCGATAGCATCAATTTCCAATTTTCCCATACATATAAGGCTCTTCCCATGCACACGTGTCGTACAACGAAAGGCCCAATATGTATGTTGAATGACGTACCTATAGGTCTCAAGAAGAAGCCCTTGAAGAAACGTTATCTCTTTTCCCCTCCAGTTTCCCACGATACCAAAAATATTCTATTGAAGAA